TACTATATAAACTACTAATAGGATAACTAGATAGGATTATTATTAATCGTATAATTCGTGTATAATAACGCGATATATATAACTATAAAAGAAATACTATTCTTCGTAAACTATAAATATAATCCTAAGTTAATTAGAGAACTATAGAATAAATATAATATAATAGAATTAGTATAATTACTAGCTACTAGAGTTAAATAGCTTTATATATAAATAGCTTAAGATATCGAATTTCTAAATCTACGTATAAAAATATATTACGACTAGTACTATCGGGATAGCCCTAACTTAAAAAAGGGAGAGAAGATCTACCTCCTATAATAAAATATTAAAACTAAACGACTAAGTAATAAACTCGACTATAAGAAACTAGGACTATTCACGATTGAAGAAAAAACAGGACTAATTAACTACTATCTAAAACTACTAAAAAGTATAAAAAGGATTTATTTAGTATTTTATATCTTATTACTTAAACCGGCGCTAAAGAACGCTAAACTCGCTATAAATATAGAAATCGAAGAAGAAACTAAAAATAAGTATAAGGTCGAAGTAATTATAGATAACCGCTAATATAATAATTAATAATAATTTCTTATAAAATAGAAAAGGTACCCTACCTCGGAAAATATATAGGAATCTATTATATATTTAAGAGGCTACTATCGGATAGTTAAGTAGTACTATCTTATAGTAAAGAGGACGCTTTAATAATAATAGTAGAGGAAACGCCGGAACTAGCGTTATCCTAAAAAACTGAAGGGATCCGGATAATTTTATCCTATATCTAATTAAAATTCAGATTCTTAGTAATAGCTACTAATTATTAAAGATCAAGAGTAGAAGATATAGCCTACTCTAGAGATATTTATTTCTTATCTAGAATCGCTAATAACTCCGTATTATACTTTAATATCTTAAACCTCTTCTACTTTAAGAAGGCTATTTATTTCCGTAGATAATATTAATAATTTATCGTCGCCTAATACTACTTTTATTTATCTAATACTTATTAGTATAATACCGCGAGACGACCTTATAACTCGCTTAGCTTAGGCTTTAATAAATCTAACTCTGATTTATTCCTTTTAATATCCGCCGACAATTTCGATTTAGTATAAGATAGCAGATCCTATTCCGTGTTAGTATAGAATTCCTTTTTATAAGAATAACTAGTATAAATATACGATATATATTTTAAGTATCTTTAGGAATAGTCTATTATATAATCTTTGTTAGACTCGGTATAATAAAAATATAAGATAGAGGTAACGAAACTATTATCGGAAATATAATTCGACTAATAAATACGATTAGCGACTTAATCCCGTAACGATAGAAGCTTAGGGGAACTTTTAATAACTACGTTAGCTTTTCGTTTAGGTATTATAAATAAAGGATATACTAAAGAGAGAAGATATAACCTAGAGACGGATAGGTTATAAGAGGTTCGAGGACAAAACCTAAGAAAAGGGGGAGGTAGTATTATAAACCCTATAACTACTAATCGATCTAGCCTATATAGAGTAGTATAATAGATTACTAGACAAAGATAATTAAGATTATTATATAACTATATATAGATAGTAGAGGGGTATATTAATTAAATAGTAGATAACACTAAATCTTATTTATTACTATACTATCTACTAGTCTATTAGACTAAGAAAACGGGGGATATAAAGATACTTATTTCCGGTATATACTTAGTTCTTTGTGATTAATCTTTATACTATTATTACTTAAGTACTATTCACAGTCTCGACTATAAAAGCTAAAAACCTTAACGATCTTAAGAGTTTATTTAGTGATCTCTGATCCCTAAATAACTAATTTAATCGGCGCCCTAACTATTATACTCTATAAGTACCCTAGAGACCCGAGTCTATCTAAGGCCTTACGCGGTATTAGTACGGTTATAGACTATACTTAGGGACCGCAGTATTCTAAGAGAGGTATTATCCTTTAAGAACCTTACTCACCGTGACCAGTTAGCGGTTCGTAACACTAAACTCTCTATTAGTCTTAACTATTAGATATCGCTATTTTAATAAGTATTTATAGCTATCTCTAGCTATTTTATTAATATAGACTAGAATTATTAAGAGGTTTTATTTAGCTTCGAACCTATTTCTAGTATATACTCTAGGCAGAATCTTAGTATAACCCTCCTCGATATCCTCTAGAAATATTAGATTAAAGACTAAGTATTTATAATAATAACTAATAATATATCGAATAACTCTACCCTTATTTTAAGTATCTAAGATTCTATTTAATTATTAGATATTAACTCTAAGATAATAATTATTTAGGTTCTATATATTATATATATAATTTAGTTAAGTTTAAAGTAATTATTTAGCTAGATAAAAGCGAACCCTTAGAACGAGATAACTAAGACTGTTTAGTCTAAGGAATATACCTAACACGCCTATCGAAAAACATAAAAATAAGATATTACGATAACTCTTATAAAGATATATATCTATATTCTTTATTTATTAATTAAAATACTAACCTACTTTATATTTTAGATTAGAAACCTTACAATCTTTATTAATATAAGCCCTTAATATCGGGAGTCCTTCCTTAGTCTCTAGCCTAATTACCCTTAATTAGTTCTAATTTAAGATATCTAAACTAGATAGAATTTAATCTTTTTAATACTCTAGCGTATAAAATAGTTATAACTAGTCTTTAATCGATTTTACTCTAAATATAATTATCCTTATCTTAAAATCGATATAGATAAATAGTACTAGATTAACTACTTTCTTAATATTACCTAGCTATTTTTCTAATTTACTATAGTCCTCTCAAAAATAAAGGATATTACTATTTATACTATCTTTACTATTTATAATAAGCTATTTAATTATCTTAAAAGATTAATTAGATAGCTTAGTAGAAAAAAGGTTAGATAGAAGTAATAGATATATCGAGCCCTTAAATTAGCTAAAGATAAACTCCGTAAGTATTACTTTATAATAAATAATAAAGAGCTTAGTGATATCTATATAATTAGTACTATCTTAGCCTCTTAGTATAAGGTTAAATTTTTTTAAACTAAAGACTAAGATTATCTTTAGATAGATTATAACGCCTAATACTAGCGAAGTCTTAAGGATCGGCTTCTAAGCTACTAAACTAGTAATATTCTAAGCTCTTAATCACTATCTAAAATAAAATAGTCCTATTAAACTAGCGAGCTTAATATATTTTTAATAGCTAATTCTTCTACCTTAAGCTCTTAATCTAAGGTAATATAGTATATTAAAGAAGGTAAGTTTTTATATATATCTCTATTAAAACTAGGGTTCTAAATAATCGCTTAAAACCCTAGTTCTAATCTATTAAGTTTCTATCTTTCTACCCCTATTAGAACCAGGGTTTTAAGGCCTACTTTAGAACCCTAGTTTTAATAGGGGTATTAGTTCTAATCTATCTAAATATTATACTAATTATTATAATCCGCCCTCTATCTAGATACTATCTTAATCCTACTTTATTAGTTCTAGAAGGATTATTAATATAAATTTCCTATATTTATAAACCTCGCCTATAATCTTCTCTCGATCCTAGCTACTAACGCTAACGTTAAGCGATTATTTAATTCCGCGCGTAATATTTACTATTATCGACGAGGGGTATTAAATATATCTATTATATAAGATCTAATAATACTTATATATATTACTAAATTTAAAATCAAGGAGAAGCAGCTTATATTTATTTAAGAGCTTTAGGAGTAGAATAAGTTAGAAATTATATAAGAGGAGGAAAAAGAGACCTAAAAGACTTATAAAAAGATTATACTAATTAGTAATAATAAAAAGGAGAATACTATAGATCTAATAATTATAGTCGATATACCTTACTAATTATAGTAAGAAAAGTTAAGGAGTAATCATAAAGATAATTATAGCCTCCCGTGGATTTCTAGTAAGGTTCGTAAACGCCTATAAGTATTTAATAATTATAAGCTTTAAAATTAAAATCGATTAATATTTAAAATAATATTCTCTAGAATTACTTTTTAAGAATTATTCTCCTAATTACTATAAAAAATTATTTAACTAAAATAAATATAATACCTAAAAATATAGCCAAGAATAATATAATTTATAAAAGTTATATAGTTAACAAAGTATCTACCTAAATAGGTCAAATAGGTTGACCTATTGACCCGCGGGACGGGTCAAAAAAATCTTAACCTACCCACAGGTCAAGAGGTCTGACCCACGACCCGCCCATAGGCTGACCCACGGGTCGACCCATATGGGTTATCCGCGGGTCTGTCTAGGTCTAATATTAACTAGGGTTCTTGTAGGTATATATCTAGGGGTCCTAGCGGCGGCGCCGGAAATATATCTTATCGTGCGGATTTCTAAGGGGCTCTTTTACCACGATAATATTGGGGAGCGGTATACGTCGCTAATTCGGTTACGGATAAGCTTTGGTAACGGGTTTTACGGGGACGATCTACGGGTCAAACTTATCGAAGACAAGTAGGTCGTCTATATAGAGAGAGAGGCTAGGAAGATTTAGGGATAAGGTATCACAGTTACTATTTACGCTAGAAGAGACAACTAGTGCGGCAGGCAGCCCTAAAGTAAATCCGGTAATAATAGGGGTAGTGTTAACAAGGACCAAAGGGCCGAGGGTAGGCTAGTGCTGGAGGGAGATAAGTGCAGTCTCACTCTAGTAGGCAGATTCATCGCCGGGCTGAAGCTAGTGGAGCATTGCCTCGCGGGTGCCTATGTCTCTAGCATCGAGGAGACCCCTACCGCTGTCTTGTACATCATTGTACCAGAGTCTGAGGAGATTGAATTCTCGCTTAATTTGGATGGAGAAGATAGGCTTACAAGGTAGCCTGAATGAACTGAAAGGTGGTTTGAAGCCTTTGGTAAACTGCTTTTATATTGCATATTGCTACTGTAATAAATGTCGGATATATAACAACATTGTTGTGTACTATATATTCTATGGACTGTGGTCTACGCACGAGACGAGCCAGGAGTACCACTAATACCAGGATGCGGGAAGCCGTCAAACTCCGCACAAGGTGCCTTTTCACCAGCTGCCGCAGAAGTTCTATAGCAGGGCTGTGCCTCGGCAGTCTTACCAGGAATGGCGACTGCACTGACGCTCATTGTGAAGTAACGGGCAAACTGAGCTCCATACCGGATATGCTTCTTATTCAAGGTGTCATAGATGTTGCTGACAAGAAGCGGCTCACCGTCCTTGTTCTTCTGCTTGAGATCTTTTGGCACCTCGATCTTGATTCTAAGCCCTTGGTTCTTGGTGATGTCGCCACGCTGCCACTGGAAGACTCTGTCGGGTTCCTCGATATCCTGGAGATTGAGGGCCTGGCCGTCAGTCGTGCTGTTGATATCAAATTTGAAATTGGATTTGTCAAAGTCGTGGATGTAGATCGCAACCGGGTCAGCCACCGTCAGACTTGCGCCTTTCCGGGCGAAAAAGTTGATGCCTGCTCCAATCTGAATAATGTCAGTCCCCTGAAAGAATCGACCAACCAGGTTGCTTACTCTGGGATCCGAGTTTCTGCCCCTGTTGCCATACTTGGAGCACTTGATGAGGTCATCCTTGTCTTCGATAGTCCGGCCCTTATCATCCTTGCGGATCACGGTGGCCTGGGCAGCAATGTCAATCTCGGCGGATAGAGTGTTGTTGGGCTGGATCAGATGAGCGATCGTGCCGGTCGTGCTGAGCAAATTCCATGGATTGGCAGGGTTATAGACTTCGTTGCCGGAGACGTGGTCTTTGAGGAAAAAGTCACGGTTGTCCATCTCCTTGTCGAATCCCGAGTTGAGGCTTCTCATGAGTTTGATGAAGTCGGGTTTCTGGGCGCTGGCCAGGAACTGCCAGTACTGTTGATTGTCAGTGTTTGCAATCTATGTGAGAATAGGAGATATACCTCAGGCCCTTCACACGTAAAGCTCACACTATGGATATCCCCACTGTACTTTCGTTCACCTCGGCTGACAGACCATTCGAGATACTCGTCTTGGACGACGCGGGAACTGTCTGCAATCTGATTCTGAAGTTCCACTCCCGGATATGAATCTACGAGCTGTACATTGTCAGTACACAAGAGCCAGGGATGAAGGGATCATAACTGACCAGATTGGGAAATGCATTCCATGTGACGGCTTTGGGCTTTCTCTGATCAGAGGCTGTTTTGGTCGCGTCGAAGAATTGAGTCAACTTGGTGCGGTCTTTGCTGACGACGTCTGGATTGGCATCTATTTCGCCTTGCATCCAATGAGAGATGAAGTCTTTTGACCATTTGTCTTTGTTTGCCTCGGAAAGCTCTGGCAGGTTGCCTGGAGGGGCGTGTCTTGAAAGAACGGAGGCCATGTTGTTCTTTTTGACTTGGTTGATTTTGTATGTTCGTTGGGGAAGATTTGTCTGCTTTTATAGAGTCTCTGGTACTTTGTCAATGACATGTTGGAGTCACCATAGGCTGTCTGTCTAGAATGCGCCATTTTCTCTTCGCCCAGGTGGATCCGCAATCAAACCAGGCGGTTCAAGAGCAGGCATGTGTTGGCTGAGAGAAAAAGTCGATAAACAGTTCCATCATACCTGAGCAGAATTCCCTCACCCATTAACCCTGTTAAATGCAACAACTAAGCATAAACGACGTTGATTATGCATCAGGCAGCGACTAATAGCTTTTTATTGGCGGGTATTCAGTGGCTGCAGATCGATCATAGTTCGCCTGAGATGAGCTGAATCAATGGGAAGAGACGATGAACACGAGACAAGACTGGCGTAGCTGAAATCAGCCCGAGTCGGCGATCGTTCGTGCGGGGAATGCATAAAACGGACATCTATATAGCGCCGATCGGGGCAAGCGAGGAACAGCGTGATGTGACGAGCTGAAGAACCATGCGTAAAGACACTCCTGGCCAACCATTTATTCTTGTTTTGGCATGCTGCAGGTGTTTTACAGGACGATCACTCTGACCTGCATGAAAAAGAGATGTATGCACGTCTCACTTTGTAAACCATGCCATTATTTTTAGCTGAGGAACCACTTATTGATATACGAGCAAGCCTTTCGAATCCCTGCCAAAACCAGCCAATCATAATAATGGCGATAGTCATACACGATTTCCAGACATAGAGATGATATAAAGATGTCTATCATCAAGTACTGACTACACCCAACACATTCCTACCTTGTATCACCCGTGAATAAAGGAAATGACAACTCCAGAAATTTGGCAACGCAAGTTCACCAGAGCTGCTGGTCCAGACACCGATAATTTACTTTCGGTCAGTCAGCAGCAGCAGCAGCTCAAAGACAGATTCGGCCAGTTTCTCCAGCAGGACTCACACTGGACGCTCAACACGTTGGACGAAATACTTTCCTATTACTACAGTAAGCTCTCTCTACCAAACGAATGATTCATGCTGACACCTATAGAACAATCCACAACAGCATGGACTCTGACAATGTACGCGATCGCAGACGGCACTCATGTCAGCCGTGCGGACCTGCCCGATGAAGGGAAAGACTGGTTTAACCCCCACTGTCGACTACTGGGCGTCGTCGACTTTAAGATCAAGCAGAGCAATGACGTGATTTTCATTATTGGCTCAGACGAAGTGTCCAACCCGAATCGGTTTCTGCAAGTTGTCAGCTGGGATGGCGAGGAATTTCACTATTACGCAGTATGTATATATCTCCTGACAGAAGACGGCATTAACGATCATAGATAGAAGACATCAAGGGCGACTCGGGGAAAAGGAAATGGACTTACCAAGCCAGATCCTCTGATGCCTTCACGGACGGGTCATCCTACGACACCTCCTATCTCGGTCCCTTCAACGGCCACGTCAACGGGGCATGCATCATGAAAGAAATCCACAGGTCAGTCTGGAACTCTGATTCCTAAAAATGGTAACTAATGGTAGAAAGCCCATGGTACCATTGGAAAACCGAAAATCACGACCTGTCCAAATGTCTCAGCCAGCAGCAGATAGACCGTTTGGGCAAGATCCCATACCTCTCCAACTCTACCTTTCCGTATGATTTCTTTAGCGAAGTAAAGAGCGCGGAGACTCTGGAGAAGAAGGTCATAACACCTCTTGTCCAGACTTGGTTTGCCCTGCGCCACAGAAAAGACTTCACAGTGGACAAGGGGGTGTACAAGGCTCAGTCAGCCAATCTGAACCGTTGGATGGCTCACTTGCTACTCACGACTACCATCAACATAGCGAGTGGAGAGCGGGTCCAGGCCTTCTATGCAGCGGATCAGGATGCATCAACAGCCAGTCTGCCTTGGCGAGCCCCAACGCATCTGTTTATGAACTTTGAACTTTTGACTGACCCTAAGTTCAACGACATTAATGTACGTTGCTGCCACATTTACTCATCAGATGCTGACAGATGCCCCAGGAACCCTTGAGAAATTTCTCTGCGGAATTTCGGCCCGAGCACTACGATCCCGCTATTCGATCCCTGGGAATCAGTCTTTTGCAGGAATGGGATTCAGAAACGTCCCCGTCTCCAAAGGTGGACGTGGTGCAACTGCCGAAGGGTACTCTCGGAGGCGGGAAACAGACTAATTCATACAACACCACCAACTTTCTAAAGGTTAAGGAGAACTCCGAGGGCGACTTGATCTATTTCGTTGTTCTGCAAAGCTCTCTCGAAGATAAATGGGGCGTACTGAACCTACCCAGTAGTCTGGTCGATAACACGCTGATGAAGTGCATTCTGCTCCTCGACTTCTACAATCCGGTTTACAGCTGGCGTCGGGGTGTGCTGATGCAGTATCTTCCTAAGACTACAAGTCTCGACGGCGATAAATATGATATGGAGGCTGCATGGATTGCGAACATCCGCAAATCCTCACACGCGTCGGAGGCTGGCTCCCCAGAATACGAATTCCTCGATCTCTACTGCCACCCTCCCTCGTGCTCGGCAATTGCAACGCGGTTCAGAGATTACCTGGGCATGGTGAACGTCAGGCTGAAGACCCAAGAAGGAGTGACCGATTTCATGAAACTGGCCGAGTCTCGTCGTCGGATATACCGTCCTCTGCCACTGGATGAGTTTGGAATGACGCTGCCTTATGCGTTGAATCTGCCGACAGACTGGAAGCTGATCGAGATGAAAGAAGATGCGACTGTTACCGAGATCCCAGAACGGGGGCTCAAATTCTTGAATGGCTGGACAGGGACGTTGCATGGGTATGATCCTCACTTGCTACCGCCAGATGGTTGCTATTCTCAGGCCAGAGGTGCAAAGTGTCCTCGACGGTAGTTAAGCAGTGTATTCAGTTGAACCCAATTGACATGGGGACATTATACTCAACATACAAGGTGTATATATGCACTGCTCAATGCAAATCTGCTTTCTGGAAATATCGTATAATACTATATCAACTAATAGATGCTGTCTTCTCCAACTAATCTATAGTCCTATAAATGGCTTAGCGGAGTGTGGAGTCTAATGCCTTGTTCCATCCTGCAAGGTGTAGTGGCCATACTACCGTCACCGTAGCCTATCTCTGGTCATGCTTCTTGATTAACACTTCAATCTACCACACCAAAATATATTTATAAATAGATCATTGAAAGGATGTCTCTGGGGAATGCTTGCAAAGCACTTGTTATCACGGAGATTCTCGAGGCAATCTTCCTGAAGACCGATATGGCCACTCTCTTGACATCGGCACAACGAGTCTCGTCGTTGGCTCGCATTGATTCAACAGTCTGAGAGGCTTTAGGTAGCTCTGTTTTTTAAACCCAACAAGGAAAAGATCCGTTGGGGTCCTCATAGATGGAGAGAGAATCCCCTTATCAAAGCAAACTTGTGGCCTGGCTTTTTTCTGCAAGGAGCTTCATACGCTTCCGAAATGGCAATATTCTACTGAGCAAAATTATTTCCCAATGATGGATATACAAAATGAAGATGCATACCTTTGAAAGGAAGCAAGCGGGAGACGGATGCTCATCTACCAGCCCCCTACATCGCAAGTGGCAATTATTGAGACAGAGGATACGAGGGCCAGTCCTGAATGGACCCAGATATTTATACAACCAAAAGATACCGATTTTCTACGCCTGGGAGACCTAGAGAGTAGCTTTAACCATTGCCGTCTAGCACCAATCCGAGATCCTTTACTATTCTGGTATAGGTGCAGACATGTAGGAGCGGCTATATAAAATTGAAAGAGACTTTGCAGTTTCCAAGTTGCTCGTTGACTGTGATGCTGTCTTTCTTTTGCGAATCGTCTAAACTAATTGTCCGTAACAACTTTCACCGGTACCTGGATTATTGGATCGCTGGTTAGAATCACTCGGTTCCTTCAGGAATTACCACGGTCGATACCACAAACCAATTTGGAGTGACAAGCCTATCAACTCCACTTCCTGAATTGCCAGAAGGGATGCTGTAGGGACATGATACTCCGAGGATATCAAACTCCAAAAAACTTTGACCAGACAAAGATGCGAGCAGATCCGGCAACTCAGCCCCAGCGGTGTGGTTTCGTGGGCAATGTCCTTCGCAGTGCTCGCTAGCGGTTGGTAAACGGTTCCGAATTTATTGCAATGCCTAAAGCATTGGCCCTAACGGATTCAGGTTGCGATAGAGTTCTTGGTGACCAAGAGCAGGATGAACGCAGATAGCATTTGACCATGATTTCCTCAAGGAATTCGTGGCTTCTTGCTTGTATAAAAGTCAAAAAAGCTTTTTTGTGTAATTATAGTATTTGGCTTAATATTTTGCTCCTTCTTATCAATAGGCCTATACCTTATAACCACCCTAAATACATTTGCAAACCCCGCAGACACAGAACAAGGCAATTAGTTTCAATAGCTACTAAAAAGTCTAGTCGATCTTATCAATCCTCGAAGAGGAAATTGATACGCCAAACACAATATCGTCGTCGAGTAAACGTGATAAAGAAGGCGTACGAATATAGTAAGATATATGATGCGGATGTATACATCGGTATTCGCCTCCGAGAAACGGGCAAGGTACATATTTTATCCTTGGATAACTCAGGATTTTGGGCATTTCTCAATTCTCAACTGGTATGTTGTGGAAACTCGGTCATCGCGTGACACCTGCCCTAACCCTTTGCCCTAAACCCGAGACATGGTCATGTGCCAACTATCTATATTCCCATGTCGTCACACCAGGAAAGAAGAAGCATCCGGCAGGGGGTACTCGTTTGCCGGAAAAGGACCTCTGCCGGGGCCGTGACTCGCTGGCATCAGCCAATCGGGTCGAACGCTGGTCGCGCGACACCGCAACTGCGGTTGTCTCAAGCTATTACTTCACCTTCCGACAAGTCGATAGCCGACAACAGCTCCCCAGACTACAAGAGTCTCTATCTGCAGGCAGAGAGACGGAAGCAGGCAGAAGATGAGGGAGACGGGAGAGGGAGTGCAACCAACGGACCACTTCTTGGCCATGATGGGAGATCTGGACAGATACAATGCCTTAACTTCAAATGGAGCCCCTGTAAAATACACTGAACTAAATTCATAGATATTGATCCTATCAAAAGCTGTGGCCCCCATGCTTACTGGGTGACAAATGGCACCGAATGGCTCTTGTATAATGTACTAGAGTCCAGAACATCACCGGTCGATGAGCGAATGAAATCGATCTGGAGGTGCTTGTCATCCAGAAACTTCAGCGTGCTGTAGCTGTAATCTTTCGCATAAGCAAACTTGGTGTAAGAAGGCTTATGCTTGATGTGAAGCAAACCCTCAATGTTACCTGCACCGCCGCAGGTGATATACATAGGTGCTTTGGGGTTCCTCATACCACGTGGATCAGCAATGCCATTGAAAACAGGCAGCAACCTTTGTGAGTTGTGCACGTGCCCAAAGACAGCTAGATCAACACCATATTTAAAAAACAGCTTTTCGAATGCCTTTTGGCACGACTGACAATGATGACCTGAGCCGGTGCTATACCATGGGCGGTGTCCAGCCACTATAATCCATGGGGTCACCCTCCGATCCACGCTGGACAAATCGGCATCCAGAAATTTTAGCTGCTCCCCTTTGCTACCGAATGGCCCACTTTCTAGCCGGGCGGAGCCCGTTTGGGTGTCCGGTGCATTAGGAAAATCAGTTTCGGTGTTGATCATCACCACATGTACCATTCCGTATTCAAAGGAATACCAGAAAGGTGGCTTCGCAAAGCTTCGCGCTTTTTCAGACTGGGTCTGAGCAAACCTTTCGGAGGAAGATGAAGCGAATGTTTGAGGCATGACTTTTCCAAAATGGTGCTTGAAATCGGTGAAGTTCTCCTGGCCCTCGGGGCATAGTTCAAGAAGGCGCCGAATCTCACTGCAGTCCGCTTCATGATTGCCTGGGCTGGCCATATAGAGCTTGTGTCCAGTTATGGGAGCGAGTTGCTCGTAGAATTGTTCCAAGATTGACTGGTAAGCCTCTTGACCCTCTTTCACACTGGGCAATTTGAGGTACCAATCGTCGGCGTATGCGAAATCGCCCGGATGAATTACAACCTCGTAGTCGCTCAGTGTGGCGGCAAGATGGCCAATCGTGGTGTGATTAAACTCGGGTTGGGTATAGGGAATGTCGTCTCCTTTCGAGATTTTGAACCCATCTTTGCCATAAACGCCCAAGTCTGCCACGACATTCATATTGAAGGGAGTTTTGTCTCCGGACATCCGAGGGCTTAAGAAAGGTTCCACACTCGAGTTCGTCGAGACGATCTTGTAGAAGTATGTGCTGGCTGGCTTTAAGCCACTCATCACTGCCACATTGGACCAGGTACGGGAGGTGCTGTAGGTAGTAGAGGAAGTTGAACAAGAACGAGAGTTCAATTTGTCTGGTGCAATTCCGTATGTGACACAGCTCTCGTTGAGGGCTTTATATGTGTTCCACCCAATTGCGACAGCTTTATACCAGCTTTTATTAGACAGGACTTATTCAGTTTTGATAGCTGCAAGCTCCTTACCGTTCTGTCCATTGACGGCTAAGCGTACCTGGAATGGTGTTGTCAAGTCTTCCGGAATAGGCGGATAACCGATATTACCGAAGACAGGTGCTGCTAGGAAGAGCAGACCCTCGATAGAGATAAGAGATCTAACCATTTCTTTGAGATCAGTCTATTCGATGTCACAACACAGAAAAGCTAGCTGTGTAACCAAGTGAGTATAGTAGGTAATTTAAATAATAAAATGTGATAGCTGTCGAGACATTAAGTTGGGGTCTTCCCCACCATTTTGCCACTCCCGCTGATGACGATGGTTATAATGACTATATGAGCTTCACGGCCCGGATCCTAAAAGTGAAAACAGGATGCCAAATTTGTGTGGTTGACCTCTGTTGGCTTTGATTGGACAGCCTGGCTAGATCCATGACCTCAGTCCAAAAATTTAAGACCCTGTCATATTACAAGCAGGAATCATGTTCCTTGGTTAGCCATAAAGAGTATACGCGGGCATCCGCGGCTCGTATGCATGTGACGGCGGAGCTGCCTTTGCAGACTTTCCAGATGACGAATTCGCTCGCTACAAGGCTCATGATCCTGAAGACTAAGCCAATGAAATCAGCCTGGCCTATCATCGATGGAGGGTTTCGACTTTACCCGGGAAACATGTCGCGGCGTAATCGCAGCAAAGTATATGATCCAAACCGGCCTGGGATGACCTGTTCAGAGCCTGCCTGCCTGTAAAACCTTGGCGACTGAGATAGGGGTGGGCGGCCAAATTTAGACTTGTTTAGCGTCGCTAGGGGCTTTCTTCCCATGGCCACGCGTTGGGGTGTCGGGAACTTGGGGACGAGAAAGCCACAAACCCACAGTTTTTGTTCGAGATTCACCACACTTACCGCTATGGGATTTCTGCAGAAGGTAGGTGGTCACTTGAGAAGCTTCCCGCTCTTGTGAGAAGGCTATTACGTCCGCGGTGACGCGTGCAGAACTTTCGTCAACTGGATCCTATAAATTCAGATGATACTTGAAGTCAATGTCAAATAGGATGACATTTCTGTCAACATGTGCCAGATATAGCGACGCAATAGCTACACATATTCTAAGATTTATCGACATCCCCACTCCGGCGTTCCGGCCTTCCTCTCGGAACGGACATGACTTCCTTGTCTTCGACATATTAACCAAGCGAATATCAATAAATTGTACCTTAATCCGATGAGCGAATCGTTCTTTGGTCAGCAATGAGAATTTGGCAGATTCTCCGACATTCGGCACTACGAAGTCTTCGGTCTGTCCATGATAAGCTACACGATGAAGAGCGACTGGGATCAGAGCTTGACCCCGGAAGTCGCCAGCAACAGGAGTCGCCGAGGAAAGCAGCAATATATTCTATCGTCCTGCTGGTAAATTTGGCTGTGTTCGGACTACTGCTGCGCACACTTGAGCCTCTGATCGCTCTATTGCGTTTCAATGAGCGTCTCTTTAGCCCTGACGTCTTCCTTCCGAACCCTGAAATACCACATCACAATAACGAAACATTTCAACCAAATCGAATCCCGTTAATTTTTCATCAAACTACCGCGACAGAGGAGGTTCCCGACCGTTGGGTCCAGCCCCAAGAGAGCTGCAAAAAAGCATACTCAGAGTTTGAATACAAGGTATACCGTCCACCATCAAGTAAGAGTGGTATCTCACAACAAATGGCAATCGCCACGAAGTTTTCAAATCAACTGACACACGAATGACTTTTGCTATCAGCTATGGACCGATGATTCCGCTCGCGATTTCTTATCTGAGTACTACTCATGGTTTGTCCCCACCTGGGACAACTATGCATTTCCCATCCAGCGCGCCGACGCGATACGATATTTTGTCTTATATCATTATGGTGGTATCTACCTAGATATGGACACAATATGCAATAACACTTTGCCAGCTCAGATGATGGGGTCAGATCAGGTGAAAGACTATGCTCTTTTCAAGCCTACACGGCCAACTGGCCTCACTAATGATCTGCTTGTCGCGTCTCCAAGACATCCAATCTACAAAATGGCGATTTCTAAATTGCCTGCCTACCACTCACTCACTCGGAGTTGGGCTCGATTGCTACCATACTGTGCCATCATGATATCTGCCGGGCCAATGTTCTTGACAATGGTAGTGAAAGAGTACCTATTAGAACAACACTCACTGCCTTCGAACACCATAGGAGTCGTGGAAGAAGCCACCCTGGGTCCTTATATCACTGACCTTCAAAGTGGCACCTGGCATCGAACGGATGCGAAAATGTTAATGTGGATGGGAGAGCGACCCTGGGTATGGTTTGCTTTAGGGACATTGGTTCTTGTGGCTGGTTTTTACGTTATCGATCGGCTGATGCTCGTTATCTATGCTCGCTGTCGACACTTTTCGTCCGAGTTCTCTCTCATAAAGTCGAACAAGAAAGCCTAGAGAGCTTTCGGTGACGGTTTTTGTATGATTATATTGATTTATACAAACAAACGACCATAATAACTGGTTCCGCAGGACCGTGCTTGGAATCCAAGCCGCGTATTGAAGCTAAATTGAGAAGACCACCGATCCTTCGTACTGATCTAGCAAGTTGAGCTTTCTGCCACTTGAGTTAGTCAGGGTTGGCTCCGTGGGTTCCACCCGCTAGAACCATTCCTCTCTAGCTTGCGTAATCTCTTTGTTTCACCTACATCATCATCTTGCGCAGCGCGTCCCAGCCTCATATGCAATGTGGATTTCCGCCACGCAGCATCATTTATTTGGAAACACTGCTTCACCGCTTTCCAATCCCGATGGCGGCGGCCTGGTTCCTCGAGTGTTGATGCAAGAACATATGATCTTTTCGTAACACCAATGGCATTTAAGTGTGATGCGTACACATGATCAGCGGAGTTGGATGGTTCATTCCATTTTCTTTACTTTTTTTTTCACCTGGTAAATTTTTGCCCTCAAAACCTGCGTATAAAAACAGTCAAGATAATATTGGATGCTGGGAAGAAAGAACTCGCAGATTTTGGAATCAGACAAAGCAAGGCATAAATATGGTCTGCTCATCCCAACATATCTGTATCAACGTTCGGAATCGCCTGTCGGAAGGGAACATTACCATTAAAAATATCTTCATCATGAGGTAACTTACCTTGCGGTTGCGCTCAGCAATTCAAGTGGGACACTGATTTCTGGATAAGTGGTCAACCTTACGAGAAGAGCGACACATTTCGTCTCATGAATGAAAACGATGTGAAGGCCATTTCGATTCCACCCGAAGCTGAACACAAAATATATATTTGCGGAAGTGCGACATATAAGATAGGCGTTGAAGGCGAACTTGACATCTATTCTAACGATCAGGCTCGGATAGCCTCGGTATCCTGGTGTGGGCCGTGGCGGCGAGTCGGAAATAAGTTTGAAGCTAACAATGTCGACACCAACTATTCAACTACAGCTTCATCCTTTAACGACACAGGGAGCCTGGGAGAAATCTCAGTTACTATTGCGCGAAAGGTGGCCGGAGACTATGTGTGAAGGTGGCCAATGAGTCACCTTCATTTCGTTTCTTGGGGCAATAAACCGCCCCTAGGAACGGATTTGATATCCAGCGATCTCCCGGGTATCCCAAAGGCTTTCAGAGTGACATATGGCAAATTTTGTCTTTTAGAAAGAAGCAATTACTATCTGGAAGTAAATGAGATGACTTTCACCTAAACACACCACTTCCCAAATAATGAGAATATAATATTATATATATATATATAACTAGCTACAGAATAAAGAAGGATATAAATAGAAAATAGTATTTCGGATCAAATTTAGATATTTTAAGTATATAGTTATATCCTTTAGATATACTAATATACTAATATTATTCTAACGCTTTATCTGTTACGGGACCTTCGTACGAAGTCCTATATAACAAAGAAGCTCGACCTAAGGGCCTCGCTGGTAGAAACTAACCGCCCTCCTAGCAAAACTCTTAACGAATCTTTCTTATATCTAGGATATACTATTAATTAATATAATTTAGTCTAATCCCTTAATGTTAGGATTCGTTTATTTCTCTCTCAAGTAGATAGTATCAACTAGTTATATATAATAAATCCTATAATAGAAGGTTTATAGTTAAACTATCCTTTTCTAGTAAACGACCCTAACAAGAATTTATAATAACTATAAGTAGTATACCCTAATATCGAGATATATAATAGAAGCGACCTAAGTCCTTATATAATATTCTATACGAACCTTAGAATTAAACTTAAGATAGACTAATAGTATTTCTATATTAAGAAAATAAAGATTTACTACATCTTTAGTAAACTCCGAGGCTAAGCTAATTAATAGATCTATTTAAAATTAAAACGATAGTAATAATAATCTAATTAGTATCGCTCGAAGATTTATGCTGATTGGTGGTTGATTTCATGGCGTTGATCATGTATTGGCAACGTGGAAGAAGGCACATGGGAAGATGTGAGCTGGTACGGGTAGATGTGGGCAGATATAGGCGAAAGTACGATAATAAATATCGAGGCAGGAAACCACAGCCTTGCTTGACAGAAATTTTGGTCGGTAGACTTGGAACCAGTCGGCCGCCGAACACCATACACATATGCGAGAATTCTGTGTGACAGGCCTGCAGGTGGCTTAGGCGCCAGCTAAGAGGTGGGTCAAGCGCTGAGGAAAAACGAGGGATTTGCAGCACCTGGTACTTCGTCATATTGGGGCACAGAATGCTTTTCGTATCGAATGATCACACTACTGCACTGACAGTCACTTTCGTACTATGGAGCCTCTTTTACTTCTGTTGTTGCAAATACGTGAAAGCAAATGAAATCCACATTCTCACCAAATTGCTTTCTTATGGTGGCTTCAAGACTTACAACAGACAGGGAGATGGCTATCGAAGTAGAAAAGGCACATAAAAGATGAACAACAGTAAATGGAAAAAAGACAGCAATGGCCCTAGAATAAATTTCAGAGGTCTTCTGGCTGCTTCCAGGTTTTTATCCATCGATTCTCCCATTTCAATTCTTATTCTGTTGTAGAACATGGGTTAGCACCGATAGAGCTAGCTCAGCGTGGATACCATACTATGGGCAGTGCAATATCTCGAACCACTCTCTGCCCAGGTAGTGTAGCCTTCTTTCACGCATTTGATCGCAGGGCTCGGCATTATTGTTGATTCCGACTGAAAAAAAGGTCTAGGAAATACCGATAGCTGATCCACACAGTAAGTGGGGGATTGTAAAGAGGAAATTCGTGATAATATGAATGATTTTTTCAATGGACCTGCGGAAATCAGTCTTCGTTTAACTTCTCGGTGACCACAGTAGGATCTTATTTGCAATTTGTGATGAATCGTCTTCTTATCACTGCTCATACGTGACTATTACTTCTATAAATAAGGGGTATAGCCTATCAAATACTCCAATCAAGCGTGCGTCACTGCGTTTCATGAGGCTTGAATCCACTCGCTGCGCACGAGGCACTCGAATCAGCGAAGGCTTTACTTAATCATAAAGCAACTACAGGCTTTATCTGGGTGAAAAGCTAGCAGGTCAGAACTCAAAGTCAGCACAGACGCAATGTGTCAAATTGGCGGTGTACTCTCCCAGTTTCTCCTTATCAAACTGAATAAAAATTCATGCGATACATAAATAGCATTCCCGGTCAAATTTTCTGCTTCTGCTGTCTATCTAAGAGATAGACAAAGATTGGCAAATGACGATGTGGTTATGTGATATTGAAAATTGTAACAAAGCCTCTGTTCGCATGTACGGGGAATGCGTTCTATGCAATCGTCATCTTTGTGCGAAACATCTGGGACCAGATCACCACACCTGTCCAAGATGGGAGGTAAGTCAAAAATCACGATGTCATGGGCCATGCTGATTTCTGCGGACAGGAAGAAGCTGAATACGACCCCGCCGCCAGGAAAGCCGAACGAGATGAGATCACCAAACTTGTTGACAAAATCAACATTTCTGCGCTTATTTCTCGAGCCTCAGCTCTTCGGGGAGGCCTCACTTGTTCTATACCACACAACCTTGAGTATGATAGATCAACACGAAGCTCAGTTATGGGTGGGATGAATTATCATATCGAGATATCATTCGATGATGGAGTCAGTTGGCTAGCGCGTATTCGAAGGTCCAACGCTACTTCTCCGCCAGCAGAGCTACGAGATTACATTCTGCGCAGCGAGATCTCAACCCTACAGTTTCTTAGTGAAACTCAAGTCCCAGTTCCGAAAGTTTTTGACTTCAACTTTTGTGAAACAAATCCTGTGGGTGTTGGATATATCCTTATGGAGAAGCTGCCTGGAAGTTCCCTGCGATGGTCTCTTGCTACTCCTGAGCAAAGAAGAAAGGTGACAAGTCAGCTTACGGACGTCTATATAGAGCTGAAGGCTCATCCTTTTACTATGACGGGCTCTATGCACCATCCTGGCTCTTATGATATTGGACCATTTGCTCGAGAGTCCTTGACAGAGTATCATGATTCCCGGATGAAAGCGCTCGGCCCTTTCTTCTCTACTGAAGCGTACTTTAGTGCACATATCCAATTAATTTTGGATTTAATCATTCGACAGGAGTTGTACGTCGACCGGGCAGTTGATGCGTTTTTAATTCATCGGTTTCTCTTGGATCAAGTCTCGGAAGCTTGCTCTCAAAGTCATCTTGACGACGGGAAGTTCTATTTGAAGCATGCGGATGAGAAGGGGGACCAAATACTTGTTGACGATGAATTTAATATCACCGGAATCATCGACTGGGAGTGGGCGCATACGGATTCAAAGTCAGGAGCGTTCAATTCACCGATCGTCCTGCTCCCCGTTGCTGATTTCTACGCGGGTGAAAACTCCATCGGTGAAGACGAAACGTTTTTTGCAAAGTGTTTCGAAGCAAAAGGGCATCCGGATCTCGGAATGATTGTCAGGAATGGCCGGCTCATGCACAGATTTCGATTTTGTTGCGGCTACGACCTCGCCGATTGGGAAGGATTTCTTGGGCTCTTTGCCGGACTTCTGGGAGCTATGGGAATCACTCATGATTTCCATTGGGGGACTTGGAAAGCAGAAGCCTTGGAACGCTACGAAAATGATCATCAACTCCAAAAAGTAATCGAAATATACAATTAGAACAGTTGGCATCGCAAGAAGCAGACAAGTAGAAAGAATCACAATGTCAATTGAAATTTGAGAATAAATCAAGATGCCTGCTTTTCCTTGAGTGTCGTGTTCCAGTCCACTTATATAGCCCCTGCGCCCTGTCTGAGAAATTCTCGAGTCGTTCAGTCACCTCCCACCAAGCCAGCTTTTATTCGTGCATAAGACCAAGGGTACAAACCTCCTCGCTAAACGAGGGTAAGCCCGTTCTCGTCAAAGAAGCGTCTCAGATAGTCACCCGGGGGATGTTGTCTTTTTTGCAACGGCATTACCGCAGCTGAGGCTCGTCAACACATTGGCAGGAGGCCTTCTTCGAGAGTATCGAGGTAAGGATTCGAAGTATAACCTTGTCGAGGCGAGTTTTCATCGCGATTCATAATCATCAACTTTGTACGGCCACCAAGCCAAATTCCAGCCCAAATCATTTGTGTTATATCTTTCCCGTGGCTCACATGGTTCACAAGATCCCTTCGATAGGCTTCGCATGTAAATCGAAAAACGAATTGGACAAGTGGATGAAGTTCCCTTGCTCAAGCAACCTTCAGCTGGTACTGAAGCAGCGGCACTATCACCACCCGTCATACAAACGTGTTCTCAGTTTGGGAAAGTTTCCGCACTTCTGATGCCCTGTATACTCTCAGCAAGTTTCAGCCGCCCACCCTCAACCATATCGTCGTCTGCAAAGCTTTCCCGGACCAGCCGCAGCTGGCCGCTATTATGTCTCAGGTTTTTTCCCTAGTCCCAAACTGATATACAAGATCGCTAACCATCCGCAGTTCCTTGGTGGTTTATCTTATCTGGTGGCCCACAATATCCAGCATACATCCCTAGATTCGAGCTCTTGAGGCTGATGTGAGACAGTTTGTGGTGCGTGTGCTCGATGGAGCGTAATCGGCTGGTGGTCAAACAAGTGTGTACGGGATTTGGGATTAATATATTATAGGAATAAAAGTAAAAAGTTAATGGAATATATTGACTAATATTATCACTATAATAGTAATAATAAACTACAAGAAACTATGATTATAAAAGAAAAAAAAGTCATATTCTTATAGCAATTACTTAAGAAGCATACCGCCGGGGCTACATCCCGAATCTAGAAGATTTACACTAAAATCAGTCATATTTCCAGTTGCCTTGCTATCTCTAACTGTGAAACCAATGGAGTCATCCTCACTATCGGTTAAATGCCTTAAAACTCTTGAAGAAAGAAGCCCTGCTCCATTTCCATCCTTATCACTCCACATGGCTTTACCGCATGATTTCCTCGAAGATGAGTACTAGCACAGCAGTCAGCATACCACACGAATAAAAAGAGGCCTAGATAAATCAACAAACTCACCCTTCAGCTGCTCCTTGCTCAGCGCATCCTTGTTCTTGTCGAAATCAAAGAACCCTTCCGGGATCGGTGGCGCCGTCGGCTCATCGTCCGGGTCGTGGTACGGCTCAAGGTACGGGTGGCGCAGAGCGTCCTCGACGGAAATGCGCTTGGCCGGGTTAAAGGCCAGCAGCTTCTCGAGCAGGTCCAGGGCCAGCTCGTTGCTCTTGGGGAACATCGCCCGGAAGGGAATCTTCTTCTTAAAGGGGAGAGACCGGATGTATTCGCGCGCGCGTCGCGACTTGATGCCGTAGTAGTCTTCCATGGTCGGGGTGCCGAGGACATCCAGGATGAGCGTCAGCTGGTGGTGGTCTGGATAGTGTCAGTTCGATATTCGGTCAATGTGGACAGGATGTCAGAAAACACCTACAATCCTTCCCGGGAAACAAAGGCTTTCCGCTCAACATCTCGGCCAGTATGCACCCAACACTCCAGACATCAATAGCCTTGGTGTATTCCTTGAAGGTCAACATGATTTCCGGCGCACGGTACCAGCGCGTGGCCACGTATTCAGTCATGAATCCAGAATTGTCATCGGTAGACGCGGCCGATCGCGCCAGGCCGAAATCGCACACTTTCAAATCGCAGTTGGCATTGAGCAGAAGATTCGAGGGCTTCAAGTCGCGGTGGAGCACGTTGGCCGAGTGCATGGCCTTGAGCGCACGCAGCGTCTGGTAAATAAAGTATTGGCAGTGGTCATCCGACAGGTCTTGTGTCCGAATGACTCGGTGCATGTCGGTCTCCATCAGCTCCTGCAGAACCATTAGAAATTAGATTCCATGCGACTGACACCTTGAACTCCCACCAGGACAGCATACTTGAATCAAATACACCTCATTGAACCCCTCGTAGTTGCGAGGTCGTTGGATGTCCAGGATCGAGATAATGTTTTCATGGTTAAAGTATCGCAACAGCTTCATCTCACGCAATGTGCGCAGACAGAACATGGAGTGGTCGAACGGTGTGATCTTCTTGATAGCAACTTTCTGGCTTGAGGGCTTGTGAATAGCAGAGCTATATGGATTAGATTCTGCACACATACACAAGTCCATTCCGTGTGGATCAGTAAGAATCGCTTACCAGACAACACCGTAGGCACCCTCGCCAATGACATCCTGGATCTCATATTGGTCGGACACGTTGAAGGAGATCTTTCGCGATCCTCCCTGTGGAGGGTTCTGCTGCCCCATATTGGCAGATCTGGAAGACTTTGGGGAATTGTCAGTTCTGAATATTGACCTGGGAATCCAGAGAAGACAACGGGAGAGACAATCCATGGCGGGGGTAAGCAGTGACTCGCACGGCTTCGCCAGAGGCAAGCAAAAAGCTCACCAGCTGGGACACACTCCAGTGATGCTGATTCCAAGGGTAGGCGGGGGAAATCGGTAGCAGTCAAGGGTCTTGATGGCTCCCGAGGCAAACGGCGCATTGCCCAACGAAATTAGAACGGCCAAGCTTACTTTTGTTTGTCGAAGTAGATTGGGTGACCGTGGTCAAGTCAAGTCCTCCTCTCACTGTGTCTGCCGCTCGATTTCAAGATCTGTGGGTGGAGAAAGCACCGGTAGAGCTGGGAGAATAGGAGAATAGGATGGCACGAAAGCTATCGCGGGTGATGGTCCCGACAAGAGACACTCGGGTGTCCAGACGGAAGAGCGACACAGCTCAGGGGTCAGAAAAAGAAGCGACAAGGTGTCGGGTCGGATCACGGTGAACAAGTCTCGGAGTCTAGAAGAGAAGCCGTGTTAGTGGATTCCAGAGCATGGTCTCTGCGAGACAAGAGACAATCCAAGGCCCGAAGCGGGTTTGTCCCCTGACGCGGATCGGGCCACTGTTCGTACGTACCATGCAACAAAGTGGGCTTGGGTAAGGCACTTGGATGTTTGGAAGCTGAGAGAGGTGGGGGAAGACAGAAGATGGGGAGGGGAGAGAGTCGAGAAGCCGGGCGTCGTGGTGGGGCTCGGGGAGAAGATGGAGCAGGGAGATGGAACAAATGGCCGCGCGCTACGGTGTCAAGCAGATTGAAGAGTGCGAAAGGTGATGTTTTGGACTCTTCTATTTTCTACAGAAAAGGGGTCTTGTTGACCAACATGTCATGTTAGGTGAACCTTGGGTCGCGGGCAACACATCTCCACTGGGTAAAAGTACATGAGGGGTACATTTTCAGCCGGCGATGGAGAGGGGGCCGGCCAGGTCTTCCCAAGTACCCTGTCGCAGCAGCCACAGCGCCAACTTCTCATCACATCGCCCCTGGGCGCTACTGTCTGGGTTCAGAATTTGTCACAATCACTCGATGTCTCCACTGTGTCTGACGGATCTGACGGAGCCGCGCACTCTGGTTTCAGGTTTCAATTGGCTTGTAGATCACTACGGGGACTACAGGGGACTACAGGGGATGAGGGCGCGAAACAATTTTTCTCATAGAACTCATATCGACTCTCATGCACACAGGGCTCCTCTAGCGCTGGATTATACGCTCCAAATAGATCCACATCCAAAGCGACCCCTAGAAAAATCCCGACCAAACGCATCCCCGTAGACGTAATGGTACAGGAAAGGAAATATCGAGCAAAAGCATTCTCAATCCATGGGTAGAGCCATTACTGCACGACCTGGGATTGTTTCTCGTCAGCGAAGAAATCAGACGAAACTTGGAAAGGAGGTCAAACCTTTTCCCGCAAGGAGCCCATCCATTGCTCCAGGCTCACACTTTGGTCCGCACGGTCTTCGACCAACATCGTTTGTGCCCAGAGGCGGAGACTCGGCTCGCCGTCCTCGCGGACCACATACAGGTGCGGCACGATCATACTACCCACCCCCTTGGCCCGGTGGTCGCGGCTCTTCTCCACAACCGCCCGCACGCGCTGGTTGAACTCATTGTCAACATCCGGCAGAGTCTGCTTGCCCACCCGCACCTGGGTCTTGTCGGGCACGCCAAAGACATCCACAATGAGTTGCGGCACGGCGTCGCGACCGACCCACAGGAACTGTGTCTGGCCGTCATCAATGAGGTACAGGCCAAACGAGGCCAAACGCCCCGAGGACAAGTTGACGGCCGGGGGCAGGATGATCTCGCCAGTTTCCGAGTCTGGCTTGCCGGCGTCGTCGGACATGTCGTGGAGGGAGTACATCTTCGGGTAGATGTATTGAATAAGGAGCGGCAGGGGCAGGGTTGACAAGAGGCAGAGCGCAGCGGACCGCATGTCCGTCGGGATCTGCGCGGACTTGCGAAGACCAAGCTATCAGGGAAATTCCAGTTAGCCATTTGAGCTCTCAAGTAAATCCAAGACTAAAAACACTTACGTTCTTGATCATCGCCAGGAATAGAATCGGGAGTCCTCGCATATTGGCCGGGAACTGCAAGCCACCGCCGCTGACGCTGCCACCGGCAAGCTCCTTTCGGTACGTGGTCAACAGCTCCACAATCTTCGCCTGCAGGGCTTCTCGGGCAGGCTCGAGGCCATTGCTCAAGGCGCGCTCGACAGCTTTGTGGCTGAAGAACGTGGCAATGGCTTGCTGGTCAGCCGAGGCATAAATATCCGCCAGATTCTGGGTCGTAGGCAATGCCAGGGTCAGGACGCGGATGCGACGTTCGCCGTTGCAAGTAGTGTGGAGAACAGCGGCCTGCATGCACACGACCGGTTTCTGGACAGTCTCATCGATCGCCACCTCGACCACGTACGCCTGGTCACGCGGGAACGCCGGGAAGGCGCAAAGATCGGAGCTGCGGTTGAAGAAGTTGCCGTAGAAGGTGCTCATGCGTAGACCTGTTGTCGCGCGCACACGGAGAACAGCCTCCAGACCGATCTCCGATGAGAGATAATCAGAGAACTCGCGTGCAAACTTGATTGCGTCCTCACTGCGCGCAGCGTTCCAGCCTGGGTAGAAATAGGTCTGGCCACCAGTGTACCGGGGCAAGTTGCTCAGGGATGCCACGTCCTGGTACTGGGACGAGAAGAGGAACATATCCACCGATACCTGCGCCTTGGAGCACTCGACGGCGAAGCTCTTGTAGAAGGAGTTGGCCGTTTGGAGGAGACTGGATTCCTTGCTTGTACCCAGTACCTTCTTGTCTTCTCTCATGGTGAGTGCACCATGACCAATGTTGGGCAGCGAAGAGCTCAGAACGGTCATCTTGCCTCCAACGGGAGCGATCAGCTTGTAGCCGGCCCGCAATGCCGAGCCCATCGCGCAGCTGTTGTTCTGGGTGTTCTGGAACATCTCCTGCAGCTTGTCGAGGAAAGATTCGATGTTCTCCCGACATTCGCTCAGCGTCACCAAGAGATCACCGGGAATCGGCAGGAAGGGTTCATCGAGGTCACTGACAACCAACATGCGGGGGTCCGAAGCTCCAGAATCATCCCGGGGAATGCTGAAGTAGTGCAAGCTGGAGTCGACCGCGAGGAAACCCAGCCGAGTCCGTCGGTCGGCATTGGGAATGCGATCAAGACTTTCTTTAATGCAGCGCGCACTGGTTGCGAGGAGACCGTTGGTCACGGAAGCATAACTCACGTCGATCAAGAAGAGGTACACTAAAGGCTGGGGCGGTCGAACCATATATTCCTGTGGCGCAACGAATTCCACCATGCTATAGTTGAGGTCGGCACGCAGCGAGCGCTCGGTCGGCTGCTGCAGCGCCGAGTCCCAATCAAACGCCTGCGGCACATCATTGGTCAAGTTGCACATGTTGCAACGCCAACGGTGGCCTTGGTCCAGGAAAACAACGAAGGGGTTGATATAGGAGCGGCAGCGTCTGCATCGTGAAATCACCTGGTCCGGAATAACGGGGATTGGGTCTTCCGAGTCGTGAAGGGCTCCGTACGGCTGGATGACGAGGGCCCAGGGCAATTTGGACTTCTTGAGGAGAGAGTTATTCGTCGGTGCAGCGTTCAACGTCGACCGCATATATTTCGGAGGGCAATTGGCGTTCGGGGACGGGAACACGCTAGTCTATTTCCTCATCAGCACCTGATTTTATCTGCACCAGGAATTGATACATACCCCCGGAGGCAGAATCACGGGAGGTGGGGGGTAGTCCAGTTCTGCCACATTGAACGGTTGAGAGAGAAGGTCTGTCGGGTAGAGCTGGTTGAGCTGAACGGGTCGCGGGGCCTGGGCCATGGGCGGCTGTTGCGTCGGGGGCAAGTGGTGCGGTTCGGCCAATCCCATTGCTCCGAATTGCTGCGACATGTGCGCCACATGGTGTGACCCGGCAGGGGCAACAGGAGGAGGAGCATAACCAGGCGTCACAGGCGGCAACTGAGTCGGATCCGACCCGTACGCGGGCTGCTGGTATCCCGCGACCTGCGGCTGCTGGGGGTATGCGCCATAGGCACCTCCAGCAGTCTGCTGTCCACCAAGTCCAGCATTGGCTCCAGAGCCAAACTCAAAGGCCTCGCCAGCATACGCTCTTTTCTTCTTCCCCCCCCGCGGGGCCAGGAGCGGGCGCTCCTTGCGCCGAGACCGGAGACTGTTGCGCGGGGTCCGGAGAGCCATAGACAGGCTGACCGTACCCTTCTTGGGGAGGGTAGCCCCCTTGTGGTGCTGCCATGAAGGTCGGAGAGGTTATGATGTGGCCGAGATGAGATCACCCTCGAGAGGTTCGGGTGGGTTGAATTGATCCGGGCGGGGGTGACAGCTTCACTGCAGATCCACAATCAGCAACATACCGAGTAGGAGAGGGGCAAATAGCATACACAAGAAAGCTGCACCAAAGACAGGGGCAGAGAAAGCACGATCACCGAAAGGAGGAGATGCGTTGAGGGCGGGAGATGGCGGTGATGGAGCGTGGCCTTTAGGTTGCGGGTCCGACCAATCACGGGGGCGGTGTCCTCGACTATATACGAGCTGTTAGATCTTCTATCTTGTATATTATACATTGTAGAAGGTATATTTTATAGATTTTGTACTTGATATATATGAGATCAAGATATTAGTACCTAATTCTCGTCATTTCTAATAGAAAAAAAATCATCGTCCACATGTTCTGGTAGTGAGCTATCCCGAATCCCTGAACAAATACACATAGTCAATTGGGACATTAAAGTTGGAAGATTCAAATATCCATTTAACGCATGGCCTTGTCTCTTACAGAATTGCCTCTACCAAAAACCCGACCGAACGGTATGTGGTGCTGCTCCAGGACAAGGAATGTGCAAGCCAACTGGGGGCACCCTCGTTGCCCTGCCAACCCGCACCACCGACAAAGAGAGCGCTGCCCCAGCTTCAACTCTCTCCCATTCAGCATCCACCGTGAACACGTAGGTAGGTTTTTCTTCTTTGTTGGCTTTTCTTTTCTTGTGGTTGGAGGATTGGATTTCGGTTCCACTTTGTCATTCTTTTGCTCTCTTGTCTCCGCATTGGGCTGTCTGCAAATCGAGTTGAAACGGAAATCTGCATGACCGATCCACCACAATGAGCATCCGGGTTATTGCGCGTGTTCGGCCTCTCCTCAAGTCTGAACGAGAACTCGATGCGATTCTCCGTACGGGATCCACGGCGGGCACGGACTCCAAATCGCGGGAGTCAAGCAATGGCGATAAGAAACTGGCGGCGTTGCGAGACCGGGATAACGTGGTGCGGATCCCCAACCCCAAGAACGAGGGCGAGGAGTATTCGTTCCAGTTCAATGGGGTGTACGACGCAGAGGCGTCGCAGCAGGAGCTGTTCGACGCGGAGGGTGAGTGTCCAATTTCGTGTTTTGTTTGTGCGGTCCATATTGACGAGGTGTGGTAGTGGCCCCGACGATCAAACACTTGTTCAACGGATTCGATGTGACTTTATTCGCGTACGGTGTCACCGGAACAGGCAAAACACACACAATGCGCGGCGGTAAGAGCCTGGCGGACCGGGGTGTGATTCCACGCCTGCTCAGTGGCATCTACAGACGCAGCCGGAAGATCGAAAAGGACACCAATGGGGAGACAACGGTTCAGGTCTCGTTGAGCTACTATGAAATCTACAATGACAAGGTGTATGATCTGTTGGAACCGCCGGAGAAGCGTACGATGGCTGGGCTCCCCCTGCGGGACAACGGTGGGAAAACCGTGGTCGTTGGTTTGACCGAAAAGCCATGCACCAGCCTGAAGGAGTTTGAAGGAATGTACGACCAAGCGAACAACAACAGGTCGACTTCCGCGACCAAGGTATTTTTATGTTGTCATGGTATTGGCCTTGCGCCTTGGCTAAAACACTGCTTCTAGTTGAACGCTCATTCCTCGCGCTCCCACGCTATTCTCGGTGTCAAGGTCACTGTCTGCTCCCCGGACAAAACTCGAGTCAGCACTGCCTCGGCCATCGATCTGGCAGGGTCGGAAGATAATCGCAGAACGGATAATGACAAGGAGCGAATGGTCGAGTCGGCAAGCATCAACAAGAGTCTCTTTGTGCTCGCTCAGTGTGTCGAGGCAATCACCAAGAAGCAGCACCGGATCCCTTATCGCGAGTCCAAGATGACAAGGATCTTGTCTCTGGGGCAAAACAACGGCTTGACAGTGATGATTCTCAATCTCGCGCCCGTTCGGTCGTATCACTTAGACACAATCAGCTCTCTGAGTGTTGCCAATCGAACAAGGAAAATCGAAGTGCGCGAAGTGGAGAATGACCCAATGTTCAAGGGCCCTGCACGACCTTCCATCCGGCCATCGATGGCAAACTCAGGACACCGACAGCCGCTGCGACCGCTCACAGCGTCGGTTAATGTGAACATGCCCGCTCCGGCTGTCAAGGACCCGGCAAAAAAAGATGATGGCAAGCCTGTGAAAGCATTTAACGTCTATTCAGACCGGCCACTGGCGAAACCAGTAACACAGTTCAGGAAACCCGAGATCCCCAAACGTTCATCTCTTTCTTCCGACACGCATTCTGTGCGGCCCCAGAAGCCCGCTCGTCCGGCTAGCCACGCAGACATATCCGCTGCCACGATTGAGGAGATGGTTGAGAAGAAGGTCGAGGCAATTTTGGCCGTCCGGGCTGTGAGCGAGCAGTCGCGGCAAACCCAAGTCCGAGAGCTGAATGAACAAGTCCAACGGCGTTTGGAAACACTGGAGCAGCGCATCGAGGGCACAGAAGATGCGCGAGCTGAAGGGCTGTCCTACTTGCTTATGGCCAAGCAACACCAGGCGCGGGGTGAAGAAGGCTCGGCCTTGAGGATGTACCAACTTGCACTTCCTCATTTCCCGCACAATGAGAAGCTGGCCGGCAAGATCGCCGCTCTCAAAGAACGAGTCCACGCAAAGTCCTGGGGTCAGCATAACTCCCCTCCTGCCAAAGGAAGAACGGGTAGCATGCTGTCCTTGAAAAAGGAGCCAACGACAACTCTGGGAAAACGCCAGTCAGAAGATTTCGATCGTGACTACGAGGACGCCATGGGTGGCGACGGATTCTCGAGCGATGAAGACAGCCTCCAAGAAGCCTCGCGCCCCACACATAAGAGACGTGCCACGGCCAAATCTCTCCGTCCGAGTGTGGACGCGCATGATGCCCTGGACTGTGAGGATCCCACTGTCTCGCCTCGCACCATCCATCTGTTGTCCATCATCAACTCGAGAGACGTCAGCCAGATCAAGTTGCTCAAAGGTGTCGGTGCTAAGAAGGCCGAGGCTATCGTCGACTGCCTGTGTGAGATGGACCAGGCTTCTTCATCATTTGGTGGCAATGCTCCGGAAATCATTTCTGATCAGCCCCAGTTCCAGGTCAATAGCCTGGCGGAGCTGAGCAAGTTGAAGGGCGTGGGGATTCGGACGGTGGAGAACATGCGCAATGGAGTTTTGGTCTGATCGTTGCATGTCGAGCATGTCAGGCGCTGGGGCATATAGAGTGGAGGGTTTCTTTTTCGTGCATCATCCTTCAGCGACGGTGCTAGGGCGTTCCGTGTCCGTTATATTATATTATGTGGTGCTGGTACTGGATCAATCGAGGTTCTTCTGCTTTGAACGCTGTTTTTAGTAGCTGTGGTCATGAGAGATACGTCAAATCGAGTACAGCATGCATCTTAAAAGCATAAACTACTAACCATGGTTATTTCTTACCCTTTTTAAACCCATCTTCTAAACCCTTTTTATACCCCTTTCAGCGGTCTATTTATTTAACTGTAGAATATTCTCTCTAAATAATCTAAAATGTCAATATTCCAAACGCCATTCTATTAATCTTTCTATATATTATTCAATCCTCTATTGTAAAGAGGGTATTTATACTTTGCTAAACTAAACCTCGCCAACACAACCGGCGTCGAGGCCCACAATCATAGTAAACCTACAAAACACCTGCAGCTTCGTTTACGACCCATGCCACACATCATGCAATACATCAGGGACTAGTGTCCCACGGATCGGGGTACCCGTCAAGATAGGGATGCGTTAATCCAGCATAACCCTCAAAGACAGTTCGAATTACTGGTTACAAGAAAGATTTGAGAGACTCGGTCATTGCTTCATTCAGTTGTACAAAGCACAGACACCCGGAAGACACCAGACAGCCCAAACAGTATAAACTAATATAATAATACATAAAATAGGGGGCGGGCGACACGCGAGCCAACAGCACCATCCCGGTCAGGCCCCGGGGCAGGCACCATTCTCGTGTTAGGCACAGCGGGGACGGCCTGTGCCGAAGGGGATAACGGATCGCGCCTCCCGGCCAAACTATGGGGCGGGCGGGCGGGCGGGGGGGACGGCCCGCACCAGAGAAGAAATGTGGGCGGACAAATAAAGGGTGGCGCCGGGGGGGGGGATCGATGGCAATTTGTGCAAAAAGCACAGCATTTTCCGACATGGCGTTGCCGCAAGTCGGGCACGGGGGTTGGCATGGCCCTGGGTGGGCCCGAGATCCACACCGCGGGCAATAGAGATTTTGATTTTTTAGGGGGTATCACCCCCGGAACGTTTCTGACCCGCAGCACTGATTGATGATCATTAGCCCGAGATCCAACATGGGACTCAGGGGATACTCACATTTCAGACATGGTGGCGTTGAGGAAGAGAAGAAAAAAATCGAAAGGGGGTACCTATGATTTCTACTGGGCTGGGCCACTACCAAGGCAACTACTCAGTCCCTCCTTCCTCTTCGTCTATCAAGTGGCTTTTTGTTTATTGCCATCAAGAGGTTTGCGTCATTTACACTTTGGTAGATCGAAACCGCCCCAACAGCACACCTCGTGTCTATTAGATTGCATTGTGGGGTACTAGTATAGATCTCGAAGAATAAGCTACTAACCTTATTTTAAACCCTTTTTCATATCCTCTTTGATGACGTTTTTAGTGATCTATTTTTATTTCAGCTTAGAAAAATCTTAACAAAGAATCTTATAAAATAGATATTCGGAACAATAGTCTATTGCTTTTTTTTTATATCCATCAACTCTCCATCAAGAAGAGGGTATTTATTTACACCTTACTAAACCGAAATCCGCCAACAACACCCCTGGCCAACACAAACAGCGTTGAGCCCGCAATCATCACAACCCCACAAAACACCTGCAGTTTCGTATACGACCCATGCAACACATCAGGGGCCAGCGCCCCGCCAATCGGGGTACCAGTTAGGGCGGCGAACGAAATCACTGCAAAGAACGTGCCGTTGCGCACGCCGACCTCGCGCAGGTCAGAGATCTGCGCCACCACCGCCGGCGCCAGCGACACAAAGGCGCCGGACCCAAACCCGTAGAGCGCGCTGAAGATGATTGCGGGGATGTTGCCGCGTGACGGGAGCCAAAGGGCGAGCACGAGGATTGCGGAGAAGTACATTGTAAGGATCATTACGTTGTAGCGGCCGATTTTGTCGGCGAGGTACCCTGGGAGGGTTCGGCCGAAGATGCTGTTTCCATGGTTAGTCTTTTGTATTCTAAAAAGAGACTGGGAGGGGGAAAGGGTGAGAGGGAGACAAGGTGCATCGCATGGAGAACTCACCTGGCAGCGTTCAGGATCGGAATCAGATACGACGACATGTGCCCCGACATGCCGTAGCGTTGAGCCTGGGTAATGACAAAAGTAAACGGCAGAAACATGCCCCAGAAGAAGCAAAAGGCACCCGCAACAGTCAGCACGAACTTGAGTTCCGACAGCGGCCGCAGGAAGTTGATAATATCGAACGGCTTGGGGCGGTGCGAGAGTCGCGATTGAAGCGTGGCATTTGAAATCGCCAGCAGGAACAATATCAGGAACGCGCAAATACGCATCGCCCAGGGAAATCCGACCTGCGGGATCAGGTGCTCGACCATGATCGGGAAGATGACTCCGCCCAGGCTGGATCCAGAAGCCGTGACGCCCAAGGCGAAGGCACGGCGCTTGGCGAACCATGTGCTGACCGAGTTGACTGAGGCATTGAAGATGGCGCTAGCGCCGAAGGGGCTGCAGATGCCCTGGGCCAGGATGAATTGGTAGTATTCTGTTGAGAGGGAGGCCATCATCAGGCCGAAGACGTGTAGGAATGTGCCCATGAGGAGGATCCAGCGGGGGCCGTAGCTATCGAAGAGCGTTCCAAAGATGGGGCCCTGATGTTGGGTTAGCATTTGACTCGATATCAGATAGCCAATTCAAATATAGCAGGGCACGCACTCCAAGGAACATCACAAAGGTCTCCAGCGACGTGATCCAAGTCACGGTGCTGGTCGACAGATTGCTCAACTGATGACTCTCATAGTATGTCTGGAAGACACCAATACCTGGACGAGAAGTTCAGCGCGGTGTTTCAAGCAACAATACAACAAGACAAATCCTCGACGGGAACTCACAGTTAATCCAACCGAAACTGACGAACAATCCGCAAAATGCGCCCAAGACAACCAGCCATGCCTGCAGCCCGCCGTCTGGCGGTGGGCCTATCGGCGACGGCGCGGGGGTCAGCGCCGGGGCAGTCGCATCTTTCTCAGTCGCAGTGTTCGTTTCTGGGCCCCCGGCCTGCGAGGGCGCATCCTGGTGGGTTTCTGGCTGGGTCCCCTTTTCGAGGTCGCCGTTCAGTTGGACAATCGTGGCGGGGGTCGAGTTGTCCGAGGGCGCCTCGTGAGTGGTGGCACTGTCAATCGAAGAAACATTATCGTTGGGGGCGGTCATTGTTGTCTGATGTCGTTAGGGGAATTTCTTGTGTGGTTTTGGGTGTTGTTTGTTTCGCGAGTTGCGATAGTATGCTGTGCTTCAATCGTCAACCTGCTGGCATCCAAGAGGTTAGAAATTGGCATTTTGCGAGTGCGCATTCGAGAATTATATAGTTGTGACTCGGGCAGGCACCTTCTATAGATGCAAGCTAAAATCAAAGGATGTGCAACGTTGAACAAGGGACCAGATGGTTTCAAGATGCGCAACTTGCCTGGCAGATTAACGGTTGACAAACGGTGTCTAGCATGTAACCGGCTTCACACTTTGCAGATTCGGGCGCCCTGAGACTCTCAAGTTAGAGATTCGTTTGGCGGTTCAGGGCGCCGGGGCTTTAGTATTAAGGCCAGCTGCAGGGGAAGAGTATGAAAAAAAAAGAAAGAAAAGAAAAAGAAATTGCGGTCGCGACTTCGGTCATCGCGTTTGACTAAGTCCGAGAGTCAGACAGTATCCCATTGATTTACGCCGCTAAACTACGTCCAGTATAGTTGAGAGCACTAGGACACTTATCAGGGCCATACACAAGACTTTCCTAGTGGCGACGGGGGGTGTGGAGCCCTCGGGGAGATGGCCCCCTCAACGGGCCCTCCATGGAGGGTCCATTGTGAAAAAGGTGAAAAGGGTGGAAAAGGGGGCCCAGTGATTTCCTGGAAACGCAAGCGCCCGGAGATATCGTCGGGAATATGCCTGCGTTAGCCCGAGAAACCGAAACTCCGGATGGAGCTGACTCGGTACCTTACGTGAGGGAAAAAAAAGCGAGGCATATCGGATGTTTCGCATTTGATTTAAATTTAACGTTGTGTAACCTAAATCACGATCGCGGGATCCCAAGGACCCGGGACAAGACGTGTAAAATATCTTGACGGAGCGAGCCGTTCAGTCCGAAACCTGAGATCTGCAAAGAAGAAGAGATTAGGGCAATAATATTGTATGTTTGGGATGGGTATAAACCATTAGTTTATAGTCTATCTTCAACAAGGGTTCTATAGTCTAATGGTTAGGACACTGGATTCTGATTCCAGTAGTCCCGGTTCGATCCCGGGTAGGACCTTTATCTTTTTCTTTTTTCCCTCTCATATATATACCATTATCTCATTTCGATAGTCCTCTGCCCCTCTAATTTGATTATTTTATTTCCTTGATTCGTTCTTTTTATATTTATTTTTTATTCTAATTTCAACAGGGCTGAATTGATTTAATACCCGCTTGGTTGGTTCCAGCTGAAGCAGATACCCGGAGATCGGCTGGAAATATATATACATCGACGGCTCAACTGCAGCATAACACGAACCGAACGGGTTCGATCCTGAACTGGTATACTCGAGAATAAGTTTATTCATCTCTCTCTTTACCTGAGTTGCCGGTACTATGGCACAAAAATTAAAACAGTAGTCGTCACTGAAGAGTTCGTCCGCCGGAGCCTTTTACTAGATTTGGCAGATTCTTCCAGGATGCCTGTAGCAGAGAAGGAATATAAATAGAATGGCTCGCAAGAAAAACCAAGTTACTCCCAACCCAAAAAAGACCTTTACTTCACAATAAATACATTTGCCCATCCAAATCATTTCCACATTATTCCAAACACAACCACCATGGCCCACCAAAACACCATCACCGTAACCCTACCCCAGGTAGCCAAAACTATCGACCACTCCCTGCTCCACCCAACAATGACCGACCAAGACATCCACGCCGGCCTCCAAATCGCCAAGAACCCCAACGTCGCCACCACCTGCGTAAAGCCGTACCTAATCCCCCTCGCCAAGCAGGTACTCGCCGGCACCGACGTCAAGATCTGTCCGGTAATCGGCTTCCCCTACGGCAAAGTCAGTGCCCAAGCTCTGGTCCGGAGGATGACATGTCCACAGAGTCAGTTGAATCTGGAGGAAGTGGAGGGGAAATTTCTTCGCATCTGGGACGTCCCTGGCTCTTGTCACTCCTGCCCTGAGAGAGCATCTCCTTGAGCTCCTTGTCCATGACTAACCTGGCCAGTCGCTCGAGAATTTCGAGTTCCTGAGCTGCTAGCTGCGATCTCGGTTATAAGCTCCTCTGCATGGCCAACAATCGATGTAACCTGATCTTCGACTGGTGGGACTCGATGCTGGCAAGGATGCAGAGCGTGACTCCTGCAGTGAAAGTGTGGATCCCGATAAACGCCACAGCGTAAGTATCAGCAGCCAGAGAGAAGATCGACGCAAATCCCAATATCTGAACGAGCGGAGAGACCGCTGAAAAGTGCTGACTTGGTCAGATGCAGAACTGCCGAGCTCTAAATCCGTTGTGGAGGGGATCGTCTTGTAGGTGAGGAGAGGGCGATGAACGAGAATCTTTGCATTCTCGAACGCAAGCTCCAGGGTTAGGGCTTAGAGTTAATAGATGTGGTTTTCGAACTCTGGGCCGCTCGCCCCGATGTCCCGGTCCATTTATTCTGCGGAGTGGTATTTCACTGAGGACGTTCCGCGGCTTTTGACGTGCAACTAGGAGGGGATCTCTTTTTTCCATTTATGCAGTCGTGCGTCGAGATCAGCCACTTTGTGGATGAGATGGCGCAATTTCGATGAACAGCCTGGCGTGCAGGTCTGGCATTGCGTTTGAGGCAGGTTGGGTTCAACACCATACAGCTCGGTTAGTATGGCTTTGGTGAGAATGGATAGTTTTGACATCAAGTTTTTATAGGAAAGAAGACTGGTTTGATTCAGAGGTGCCAAGCTAACTGAGCCCGGCGACTGGCCGCTAGGGATGCTATCCAGCAGCTCGACATCGCAGTCCGCGTCCTTGATGCTCAATGGGTAACCATAAGACATGGAACAGAGCGTCTCGATTTCATAGATAGCTCACCAGCAGCGTTTTCGCGTTTCGTTTTCGCACCGTGTATCTGGACAAATCGGCGTAGACAAATTCTTCTTCCCATGGAGGTTCAGGGCCTGTGCAATGCGCAGTTCACACCCACACACGGGCCACGCGAGTTCAGGGTTTCCATGGTAGAGATAGTAAGTCCCCAAGAGCACACAAGTCTGAGCAGCCTCGAGCGACCCCAAGGAAACAATATCCAGGCCCATGGCGCATGGTAGCGAAGATCTTTTGTTTGAGCATTCCTGGATCGACACCGCGTGTTTCCATGAGGCGTCGGCGGTGCGAGCCGGCATACTGCAAGCCAATGGCAAGAACCAATATAAACGTGTTGATTATTAGAAAGATGGATAAGGGTAAAATAATAGGCAAACAAAGGGCAAAGGAAAATAAAAAAAAGAAGACACGATATAGAAATAAAAAGATATAGAAGAAGGGAGGGAAGAAGCTATGCCTTCTCAAGCCGTTCTCGCTTCGCTCAGGCCAGCGGCTTGTCTGAATAATTACAGTGACAATGAAGATAATGATTATGGTCACTCGGATGCCGAGGACTAGCAGAGCAACGGGTAGTCTTAGGCCTCTTTGTTCACTGAGGAAAAGCCACGGGAACCGCAGGAAGAGATATGTACAAGCTGAACTGTCCGCAGGAGTTCTCCAACATTACCATGGGGAAGTCTGCATTCCTCTCATCCATCAACTCTTGACCCGCGAGGTGAACTTGGTCGTGAAATTCAGTTGCCTCACAAACCACGCATTGTGCAATTTCCATTCTTCATCAGGATACACTAACTCGACCTGCAGATCGATAGAAGAAAAGAAAAATGTCAACAGTGCCCCCACGAGAACCAGGACCGGTCCCAGTCCAAATCAATGAATAAACTCACATCAAAGCGTCTCAAAAAACTGGGAACCAGCTTATAGATCTCCATCAGACTAATATTCTTCCCAATACATGTGCGAGACCCAGCCCCGAACTGAAACATAGCCGAGTTCATAAGCTTCAGCCGTTCAGGATCCGCGTCGAGCCATCGCTCCGGACGAAACGTGTCGACATCATCCCCGAACACAGATTCCTGCCGGTGAATCACCCACGCGCTGCAGCCGACAATCGTATTGCCGGGGATCCAGTCACCGCAGATATCCATGCCCTGGGGAGGGACGACTCGTTCAAGGGGGAGGCCAGCGGCCGGGTGCATGCGGAACGCTTCTTTGATGCAGGCGTCCAGATAGGGCAGATTCTGCGACTCTGTCCACGAAACAACACCCGAGGCATGGTCCGTGAGTTTGCCAGCGCGAATAGCCTCGTCTATTTCGTTGCGCAGCCGCTGCAGACAGCTTGGTTGCTTGAGTAAGAAGTAGAATACGGCGGCTAGACTGATCGCCGTCGTCTCGGACCCGGCAAAGGCCATCGAGACTGCCATGGTCAGTACCCGTTTTTCGGTCATGACGTCCGGCTTTGTCTTTTGCGTCTTCATAAACATTGTTAATAGGTCTTCGCGTGAACCGCCAGCCCCATGGATAGGGGTGGCCTCGCGGAACCGCTCCTGCATTCGGGCCCTTGCAAAGATGGCCACCGCGAAGGAATTGTCGAGGAGTCCCCATTTAGACAGCCAGTCCAGAAGCGGGTTTTTCCAGAGGAGCTTGTCCAGCCACGGCATTTGACCAATCTGTCATAGAAAATTGCTTTAGCTGCAATTCATGTAGAAGAAGAAGAAGAAGAAGAAGAAGAAGAAGAAGAAGAAGAAGAAGAAGAAGAAGAAGAAGAAGTTCGAGGACAAGGAGCTACCCACCGGACCAGCGTAGTCAAAAATGCGCGCAAGCTGGGCGACGATATCATCGACATCCTCGTTCTTGTCAATAAAGCCATGTCGCTTGCTGTACGTGATGCTGCCAATGACATCGAAAGCAAAGAACTGCAGCCAGCGTGCAAAATCACATGGCTTGTCCTCGGCAGCAAATAACCTCTCGGTCTGGTCCAGGAACACCTGAGTGGTATCATTGATCATGGGCTCATACTGAACCAAAGAGGTCATAGAAAACGCATTGTTGACGCTGCGTCTCAGATTGGCATGGAACTTCTCGTCCGTGGCGGAGAAGAGGGACGGAAGGGGCTCGCCTTTGGAGGTGGACATCTGCACGGGATAGAAGTCGGACTAGATATGGGATTGGTAAGCCGAGGAAGCGGATAAGTTCAAGAGTTGGCTGGATGATACCTTGACCATTCCTTTGTTCAGTCCATAGATCGCCTTGAGTGCGTTTGGGTCTGCGAAGGACAGGACATTTGGGCCCAGACGCACTATATCGCCGAATTTCCGGTGCAAACGGAGATGCGTGATGTCTGGCCGGCGACGAAGAACATCGTGGAACCGCCAGAGATGGGTGAAATTGGCGATGAATGGGCCGGGGTATTTGTTCAGTCCTCCATGGAAATATTGCGAGACGAGGCTGATCGCTAGTATACCCACGACCAGAAGGCTGAAGTGACCATAGGTCATATGTTGCAAGAACTCTTGCGCAAACCCCATGGCAACGACAGAGAAAAGGAATAAAAAAAGAAACAAATATATCAAGAACTATATCTGATATATGGCAACGACAGAGAAAAGGAATAAAAAAAGAAACAAATATATCAAGAACTATATCTGATATATGGCAGACGGAGGGTTTTAGGTGGTACGGCTCACTCAGATCAATCTCAGTCAGAGTCCCGTGGGAGGAAGATGAACCACCAAAGAACATTGCAATTACTCTTAATATATCTATTGTCTTCTACGCGACCCTAATTACTCGTATAGTAGAAAGTACTTGTTTAGTTGGTATGCGGGGGACACGGCAATTGACGGGAGCGCGAAGTGCCGATGGGCAACCTCCCCGGGAAAAGGGATGACGTATCTGATGCAATCAAATCCATCGGAGAAAAAAGCGTCTGTCTTGGATGCACGTCGGGAGAATAGATTGGTCACTATTGGTTACAACACTTTTCTCAACCATGAAAACTCATAGACGGGTCCCTCGTTTGTGGGGATGGGGGATATCCGTGAGGCCTGATTTTGTATATCGGATCCACTTTGTTACTGGAGGCGAGCCGATGACTACAATGCTGGTAGTAGCCTTGGAGTTGTCGGAATATTGTTATTTCGTTATTAATAATAGTTATGAGAATTTGCTAGCATTACAGTCTGTTGTCGTCGCTGTTGGAGAATGCGGGCCCTAGAAGTATTGCACACATAATCCTGAATACTTCCAAGGTTATTGCTGCCTACATTCATTTTGGAGGGGGAAATATAAAGAAGCAATTCAAAGGGGGAAACCAAGAGTAAGGATATGGGATCTTCCGAGGGAATTATTGATAAAATAAAAGCAAGAGAAAGAGATTAGAGATATTGAGTTATTGATAGGGTAGTAGATAGACAAGGAGAGATATCTAGTATTTAAAGCTCTAGCGCGAAGATTTAAGCTTTGCTTAGGTGCCGAATGAATATTTGCAAGTTCAGACCCACCAGCACTAACCTTGTCACTCTACCCTCGATTGGGTCTTTATGACATTGTAATATTTAAAATATCTTTTTTATATATACACGATAGATAGTATAGATAGTGACCATTTTGTAACCTAGGAGTAAATGACAACTAAAGGAATAACAAGGTAAAATATCTTTCCCCTTCGTTTATGATACTCTTAACTACTATTGATTCGCTTTAGGGTTGCAATAGTCAAAACAGAATCTACTCAACCCTCTCATGCCTATGTCTTCGTCTTCGACCGATCTTTATGTAGAAGACTTGATTTAGTCTTATATGGTACTCATGCCTTCAATATCATGCAACATCCCTAGTCAAAGCTTGGCATGACGTAGGCACTATATGCTATAACTACTTCTTCGTGGCCATTCAGCTGCATATTCCCCAGATCTGCATTAACAAGTGCAGTATCTGTGCTTAACTTGACTTGCTTTACTTGCTTAACTAGGGATATCCAGGGCCTGAGAGATATACTTGCACACCGCTTGAACAAATTCAAACTCCGCCACAATGCCAAGACTGCCGTCTACATCGGATTCTCTTTTTCTCCTCCTTCCTTCTTCTCTTCCCACTCATGCTTCCATGGACCGTCTACTCTCATCTCTGATAATTACCCTTATGAATTCCCACCTAGTCTCCACTTAAATTCACAGCATGGGTCCGGTAGTTGACCTCCCGGCCCGAGCCCTGACCTCCAAGAATGTGAACCCTCTCCAGGAGAAAACTCCTATACTGGAGACTGCCGGCGAGACCACACAGTACAGTTTCTTCAGCACCCAGGTCGATACAATCGCCCATGCCTCTAGCATCCAGCAGCTGAAGTCGTCCTCTTCCATCTTCGAGACTCTTTTCGAGACAGGTACACAGAGTGGACTGTGGTGGCTCCATGTCGCATCGCCCTCCGACAAAGATCTCGAGACGTTATCGCGGATGCTCGACTTCCATCCCCTTACCACCGAGGATATCAAGACGCGCGAGCTCCGAGAGAAGATCGAGCTGTTTGGCCCCTACTATTTCGTCTCTCTGCGGGCCCCACAGCAGCCCAAGATAGCGACAGGCGTGCGCGCCTCGTCGGCGAATGTCTACGCCATTGTCTTCCGCGAGAGCGTCGTCAGCTTTACATATGACAAAAGTCCACATCCCGCCCATGTGTGGAGCCGCATCCAGGAGCATCAGAGTCATGTGGCGTTGACTAGTGACTGGATCTGCTATGCCCTCATGTATGGCCTTGCCATGTCTCTTATGAGCACTATAGAATGGATGAGCTAACCAGCTTAGCGACGATATCGTGGACGGGTTCGCCCCCTTCATCGACTGCGTCCAAACCAGCGTCGAGGTCATCGAAGACGGCGTGTCGGCCACGCGCCCAGAAGACATCGGTCTGGCTCTCCAGAGCATCTACAAGTATCGGAAAGAGGTCACTCGCATCCGCCAACATTTGCACGACAAGATCGATGTTATCCGGTGTTTTGCCCGCCACTGTGGTAGTCTGGGGTCCACGCCCGCAGAGGTTACCTTGTACCTGAGCGATATCCAGGACCACGTCTTGACGATGATGGCCAACCTGACCATTGCAGAGCAGATGCTGTCGCGGTCGCAGTCGAAGTACCTTGGCCAGCTCTCGTGGGACTCGACCTGTATGCGGAATCAAATCGCCGATGCTCTCAGTCGGTTGACTGTCATCGGCGCCATTGTCGTCACCATGCAGGTCATTACCGGTCTTTTTGGTATGAACGTCAAAGTACCTGGGCTGGATGTCGCTGGGTTGTCCTGGTGGTTTGGGATCTTGGGCTTCATCCTGGGGCTTATCTTGCTGCTTTTTGTGATTGCGAGGAGAACCCAGATCATATAGTCACTTGGATATGGCACAACTATACTCTGTAAATCATCTATACCACGCCGGGTATTCTTGAATCGCCCGCCTCTAGCATTCCCCCAACCACAATTCCAAGAAAGTCATGAAGAAAAAGGGTCAATATGTGGAGTTAAGCAGTAGCCAGCCCCGGAGGTTGTCTGGTGACTGACGCGTGTGGGGAAAGGGCTCAGCCTCAAACCGGGGTATAGGTCAGACAGCATAGGGATGGTAATGGCGGGCGAGGCTCGAGTCAGTCTATTCTTTGATCTACACCAATTTACTAAGGACGGCTGCCTTGTCATGAGCCTTGACAAAACCCCTGATTGAATGGGACAGAGACAGAGAGGGAGAGAGTAGTGAGTTGGACATCGTACATATAAAGGCAGGCTGGTGTTTCTGTCTGGGAGTTCGAGTGACCACACAACATTCAATTATATCTGCCCTTCCTCAGTAGTGATTCTTCTATAGAACAAGGTAAGTTGCTCTTGATAATCCCCATATTCCATATTCCATAGCCAATTCTCTTCCCATCATTCCTCACTGCCAACAGACAAAAGAAACAAACCATGCATCTTACATCCCAACTCCTGAGCGTCACCCTCGCCCTCCTCCTAGCAACGCCATTCAAACGCCGCCGACTTCTGGGTCCAGTTCTGCACCAACGACGATTGCACCGATTGCGGCCAGGAAGTCAGCATGGACAACAGCGGCTGTCTCCAGCAGTCGGGCCGGAAAACCGTCGGGATCAAAGGCGACTATGCAGCAGCCGATATCCCAGGACAGAAGTACAAGCTCGTGGCGACCCCGGGAGACCAGTGTGACTGCCAGTCGGCGTGCGAGAGCTTCGACTTTTTGAGGGTCGACGATACTTCGAGTTGTTATTCGCTTCCTGCGTCGGACTCGGATTCGGACTCGCAGTCGTTTAGATGGGTGGCTGAATCTTCGTGTGGGAATAATACTTGTTAGGGGACACGACTTCTGCCCATTCTAAGAAAGACGCTAAGACGCTGTAGATAAAAGAGCATATCTTGGGGGCAATCCTGCCTGCTATCAACCCAACAAAGGAGAGAAAAATCCATTGGCCGGCCCATGGCCGAGTGAAAGATGCCAGCTATACTGTACAGGATGCAACACAATACCCTACTCCTACCATCCACGAAGAGACCGCTCCTCGCCTGCACAGAAACCAATGCGAAGAGAAGCCCTCCAACTGAATCCCACCCCAAAACTAGAGGATCTATCTATGTATCTATTTCGTGCGGCCCACTTCTTCAATGTCCACCTTGCCATCCTTTCGGATTTGGGCAACGCTTTGGCTCGTCCCCCGGATCTCGTGGCTCAGATCATCGACGGAGCGTGCAAGATCCGGGACGTTGTTGACGGCCTCCTCAGCGGCTTTCTTTTCCCCTGCCTCAGCTTGACCACGGGTTGTCAGGCCTCGAGGGGCACTGGCAATCTCGTTTACTTCGCGCTCGGACAAGACGTCGTTCAGACGAGGTCCGCGTGATTGCACGAGCAGCGTGGTGGGGCCATCAAATTGCAGGAAGAGCTGGTTCGTAGGTGTGATGTTAGTAAGAAACTAAGAAAAAAAAGGATTACCATACCCGGTCTCCCCAGATCGTCATTCGAGACCAAGTCCGCAGCTTGTGGAAGAATCGCATTGTGGACTTCCATGTTTCGGAATCGGACATGTCGCGAATGAACTTGTTGTTCTGTAACAGTCTTGGTAGCGTCTTCAGACCCGGGACCTGGAAGTTCAGAGTGGTGGATTTGAAGCGGTAAGGGCGCGGTGGGTTGGAGGACATTGTGTAGGCGACCACATTGCTGTTGATACAGGTTAGTGAGGCCAGAGATTGCGTTACGCGGGCCGGAGTAGACAAGACATACCTGGGATGAGCGATGTACTGTTCCCCGGCTTTCAGTTCAACCGAATAGAGCTGCCCATTGCCAACCAGAGCTATTAATCCCCTGCCAGTAATCTCGGAGCTACCCCAGTGGGCCAGGCTCTGTGCAAATTAGCCCGATATTCACTCTAGAAAAGCACGGAAAACTCCACGGACCAGGTTGGTGTTGATAGTCGGTTTGATTGTCAGAGACCGACCCGTCCATGCGAGCAGAGCTCGCCTTTGAGTGACCATCCAGTCCACAGATCCATTGACATCCACAACGGCAAACGAGGTGTTCGGCGATCGGACGGAAACGAGTGCTGTGACCGGACTTGCCGAGGAAACCTAGTCGACAATCAATTGCTGCCCCAGCTTCAATTTGGATGACACGCGCGCACGCGTCATACCTTCTGGTAAAGAAAGGGCACCCCAACAACAGCCCGCCGGAACGGCTCTAGCACGCTCAAGGACGAGACCACCTGCGCATTCAAAACTGTCAGCGCGACGCACAAAATGTGCCAGAGCCAAGAAGCCGCGTACGTTGTCCGCCTTTCCACTCAGTCCCACCAAGGTTCCCCGTCGTGTGTATAGGTTTTGCGACGCCGAGAGCGATACTGAAAGGAGCGAGTATGGAGCGCCAACCACGTCGAACCGAGCATCTGAAATCCTCCATTGTCAGCGCATGGATCATCAGTTCAAAAAAAAAAAAAAACCATACCGCGAGACTCAGCGGAACTGGGCGTGCTGGCGAGAGGGAGATGGTCCCCGTTCACCGTGGGCCCGGCGGGCGCCGCGCGAATCTGAACGCATCGCGTCTGTCGATGCCGAGGGACAACTCGAGTCCAGGACAGAGTCCGTACGCCTCTCTGGAGAGCGGGACGCATGGTGGTCTGGGGAGGGGAGGACAAGGGAGAAGTTTACGTCAGTTTTGAAGCCGAGATGGGAACGGGAAAATCGTGGCGCCGAGATGCGCCCCAAGTACACAACTGCCCCTCGCGATTGCGACATCCGAAGAAGAGCTACAAGAAGCTCGGGATTGCTTTGTTTTGCTCTTTGCCTTTCTTTTTACTGCCTCCTCGACCTCCGTGGGTTGCATTGACTCGTTCCGACTGCGTTTCCTCCGAACCCGGCGGCTCCCAAGGTTCTCCCCTCACGAGACTATCGAAGACGGCGCAGCTCGCCCATGCTTACTTGAGCTGCACTATGCTTCCCCTAGAACACAATACAAGACGAAATTTACATTGAGCCGCTGAATTCCTCGTTATTAGCAGCTATGCTGCTCAGAGCAGCGCGAGCGCCATGTTGGCGCCCACGATCCGCATATCCGAGCTTCGCCGGCCGGTCACAATGGACGAGGCTCCATGGGACACAACTCCGGGTGTTCACATCAAACAGCCCATTTCGAAGACAGTCAACAGACAACGACCCCAAATCAGTTAAAAGCACACCCACTCCTACCCCGGCTGCCTCGCAATTAGCGAACGCCAATGTGACCCCGAAGACGCAAGAGGGCGGGGATGCAAAGGCCCCGACCAAGGAGCTGTTAAGTGAACAGAATATGGCCACCAAAGAGCAACGAAAAGCGGACTGGGCTATCATGAAAGAGATGGCCAAGTACCTGTGGCCAAAGGTAAAGCCTGGTTGAATGCGCCTATGACGGAACGCAGCAGTGCTGACCGAGTCTGGTAGGGTGATTGGGGTACGAAGCTTCGTGTTGGAACAGCTTTGTCCCTGCTGGTTGGGGCCAAGGTCAGTTCTTGCCCCCATAGAGACATTGGCCTGCTCTAAGTACTGATCGAGAGCCATTGCAGGTTCTTAATGTGGAAGTGCCTTTCTACTTCAAGAGCATCGTTGATTCCATGAACGTGGACTTCGGGGCTATGGGTGGAACCGCTTACACTGTGGCTGGGTCCATGATCATTGCTTGTAAGGGAAATAGTGTTTCATGCGCGAGCCCTGTCTAATGTCGACTTTTCTTTGCAGATGGTGCAACTCGAATCGGTGCCACTCTGTTCCAGGAGCTTCGCAATGCGGTTTTTGCCAGCGTAGCCCAGAAAGCAATTCGCAAAGTGGCACGGAACGTCTTCGACCACCTCTTGCGACTGGACCTCAACTTTCATCTTTCACGCCAAACTGGTGGCCTGACTCGGGCGATTGATCGTGGAACCAAGGGCATCAGCTTCTTGCTCACCTCGATGGTCTTCCACGTCGTTCCGACGGCACTGGAAATATCGCTCGTGTGTGGGATATTGGTACTGTCGCCAGCCATAGAAACCTTGACAACCATCTGCTAACATGCCACAGACCTATCAATATGGTTTCCAGTTTGCTGCCATCACGTCAGCCACCATGCTTGCGTACACGGCGTTTACCATTACCACTACGGCATGGCGGACCAAGTTCCGACGGCAGGCCAACGCGGCCGATAACCGCGGGGCCACCGTGGCCGTGGACTCGCTCATCAACTACGAGGCTGTCAAATACTTCAATAATGAAAAGTTCGAGGTAGCGCGCTACGACAAAGCCCTGAAGAACTACGAGGATGCATCCATCAAGGTCACGACTTCTCTGGCCTTCCTCAACTCTGGCCAAAACATGATCTTCTCTTCTGCGCTGGCCGCAATGATGTATCTGGCCGCCGACGGAGTCGCGACCGGAGCTCTGACAGTCGGTGACCTGGTCATGGTGAACCAGCTCGTGTTCCAGCTGTCGGTGCCGCTCAACTTCCTGGGGTCCGTCTACCGCGAGCTGCGCCAGTCCCTGCTGGATATGGAGACTCTGTTCAACCTGCAAAAGGTCAACGTGACGATCCAGGAACGACCCAACGCCAAGCCGCTGGAGCTGACCCGGGGCGGCGAGATCCGTTTCGAGAACGTTAGCTTTGGCTACCACCCGGACCGACCGATCTTGAAGAATGCCACGTTCACGATCCCGGCTGGCCAGAAGTTCGCCATCGTGGGCCCCAGTGGCTGCGGCAAGTCAACGATTTTGCGGCTGTTGTTCCGCTTCTATGACGCGCAATCGGGTCGAATCCTCGTTGACGGCCAGGATATCCGCGACGTGACGCTTGATAGTCTTCGGAAAGCGATCGGTGTTGTTCCGCAGGACACGCCGCTGTTCAACGACACCATCGCCCACAATATCCGCTATGGGCAAATCACCGCGTCGGACGACGAGGTGCGCCGTGCAGCCGAGCGCGCACATATTCACCAGCTGGTCGAGCGGCTACCCGACGGATATCAGACCACGGTCGGAGAGCGCGGTATGATGATCTCGGGCGGCGAAAAGCAGCGACTAGCAATTTCTCGGCTGTTGTTGAAAGACCCGCAACTTTTGTTTTTCGACGAAGCGGTATGTTTTGTTTTGTTTTTTTTTTCCCCAACCCTTGTATCATGCCCTGTTGTGGATTATGCGACTCACATGATGTAGACCTCTGCCCTCGACACATACACCGAGCAGGCGCTTCTTCAGCACATCAACAGCATCCTCAAGGAGAAGAGTCGCACCAGCGTGTTTGTGGCGCACCGGCTGCGAACCATCTACGACAGCGACCAAATTCTGGTGCTGAAAGACGGAAGTGTGGCGGAGACAGGATCGCACCGTGAGCTATTGGATCTAGACGGGATCTATGCGGAGCTGTGGAACGGTCAGTGCTCTTAGCCTCCTTTTCTCTCGAAATCCTTTACTGACTCGCATCTATAGCCCAGGAGTTGTCGCTCGCAGAGGATGTGGAGGTGGACCCGAAGGAGCAGAAGTGACAGGCTGTATAGAACGAAAGGATTTGAATTGAATATAACCCATACAATTCTGGAATTGACAATTGCACTTGAAACGTAGCGTCGACTTTAGCGCGCCCGACAGAAAATAGCGCTTGACGTTTGGGGGGTCCACGCGGAATCCACGTTTCTTTCCCCACCCCTTTTCCCTCCAACGTTATCGCGATTCTTCATCTTTTTTACAATCTTCGTATTCTGTTCATTCTTTCTCGGGCACCTGTGCCCTATCCATTCTTTTTCTTTTTCTCCTTCTCTTCTTTCTCGGCTTGTAGGGAACCTCCGGTCCCCCGAGTGTCTTTCTGTTATCGAGTCGTGCCCGAGTCCGACACCCCCAGCGTTGCCCTCGTGCGCCCCAAAGTGCCCCCCCCTTCCCACACAATCCGCAATCTCGGCACCCCCTGAAGGGCCTGAGACTGGACTTGATAGAATCAGTTGATTAGTGCTCGGTAAGAATTGACCAAAATTAGCCGAAACGAAAGCACGGGGGAAATATTCGAGTCCTCCGACCACAAAACTCGTACAACTAACACCCAGGCTTCCGCACAGACATCAATTTCTTTCCAGCCCTGTCCGCTGTCGGTGATTACGACCGATTCCGTTGCTTTGCATTTGCTGTGTGGGGAAACGATAGCCGCTCGGTTTCGATCGATAGAGCTGCGCATTCCAGACCTGCATGCGTCCGCGATCTCTCAGCTGCGACTAAAAGAACGACAATACGACAAGAAACAAAACAGGACGGCTTGTCTCGCTTCGACGAGTGGGAAATCCATCTCGTATACAACAAAAACATTTGAATCAACACCGTCACAATGGGTCTAATCGACAAGCTCCAAGCGAGTACGTTTGTCTTCTTCTTTTCCGAGGAATGCAATGGACCAGCGACGCTAACCAACCCTCACAGAACTCGAGATCTACCGACTCGAGCAGCGCTACGCCCGCCGCAAGCACCGCAGCACCTTTTCCACGGGCGCGCTCTATGTCGACGGCGAGTACGTCTACGCCCACGGCTCCGGTGGCACCAACTCGCCTGCAAGTCCCGCTTCTAAGCACTCGACCGGCAGCTGGCGGCCATCTGGATGGGGCTCGCAGAATCGTGCTGGCGGGCATGAGTGACCGACTTCACCTCATTTTTTGATTCACTTCATTTTGCTTCCAGCGGGGTTATTGGTGCCTTTCTTTTCTCTTTTCTCATTTCATACATCGCCCGTCTTCGCATGATGTGCCTGCGGAGACTAGACCTCGACGAAGGACTTGTACAGTCCTTCGTCTCTCTCTCTCTCTCTTCCATCTCCTTTCGTCGGTTTCACGAGACCCGAACATCAAAAGTTCCATACTCGCCGTCACATTGGAAAATTTCCCAAGGGTATCGACTTTTGAGTGATATGATCTCTTTTCTCTCTCTTCATTGCATTGATTTTGTTCATGGGCTCGATATCATCACTTTCTTGTCTATTTTTTTTTGTCTTCACTGTCTATATAGATCTTGGTGTTGGATTGTTTATACTACAACTATGATTGGTTTCAATCAGTCTTTGAATTGGTTGAGATTCGTAAGCTCCAGTGTCTTCTGAGTATTTGAAATAGTAACTCAACCAGATATGGCACCTGATGAGAGAAGTCTGAAACTAACTATTATGATTCCAAGAAAAAGAAGAGGCTAGGACGCATGCCATCATATTACAATATGACTAGAGATTTTATGGACCGGTGGATATAATCCACAGCAACACAACTGATTAGCCTCGGACGACGGGTATTTATTCCTCTTCACCCACGGTGCACCATTCAACTCAACAGGGAAGATAAGTACATAAATAATTACAGCACATAGAGAGAACAAGGGATGAAGGAAGGAGAAGAAGACAGGGAGCCACAGGGACACATTAGACCCTCCCACCCGACTCTCCTACTAAGCAAATCACCGCTTCGATTTGCGACCCCCGATCCCGAGCCGGCCCAGATTCGGCAGACTTGACCTATGCTTATGCGCAGACCCCAGGATAGAAGATCCACCACCCTTGGACGCAGCCGCATCCAACACACCGCGGGCACTGCTGCCGGCATTCGCCCCAGATAACCCTGCAGCACCGCCCGCCGTACCGGGATTCGCAGTGCCGGCACCGGCAGATCCGGCGCGCGGGGGTCGGGCAGACCCACGCGGTCTCGGGTGCGGTCTGCCGTTGCAGCAGCAGAGAGTGCAGCGGTGAGAGAGGGGTTGTTGTGCAAGGGACCGGTTGGGTCGAGTGAGGAGGGGCGCTGGCTGGCCTGGGAGCGGCGGGCGCGTTCCTGGACAGACTTGAATTTGTCCAGGAGCTCGACCCAGCGGATGGTGTTTTCGTCGCGTGGTTTCAGGCGGCTGCCGCTTGGGCGGTCGTAGGATGGTGCTGCTTGGCTGTTGGCAAGACGGGGATATGAGCCTTTTATTTCGAGGTATAAGAAGACTTTAAAAGACAGGGTTTTCACGTACCTGCGGGGTCCGCCATGGAGAAACCCGATGTTGCTGACGCTGTTGAGGCGGTTCTTGAGTGCAGCAAAAGCTGAGCTTTGGGGGAGAAGCATGAGCACGCCGTAGAGACACTTGTAGAGGTAGGGGTATTTTTCTGGTTCGAGAAGCTGGAGCCGGAGATCTAATGAGGGATCAGTTAGCCATATTGTCACTTCAAGGATCGAAAGAACCACTAACAGGTGAATACTGGAGACTCCAAGAGCTGGACGAGTTTGTCGATCTGGATCAGCATGTTGACAGTCATTTCAAGCTCGGCACTGAGAGACCTGTGTAAGTAGACGCAAGCAACGTGGGTGTCATAAGGGACTTACAAGACTTGGAGAAGATTGTACGCCTGTTCATAGGCCTGGGCAAGAAGACACAGAGAAAAGGTAGAGACGGCGTTGTGGCACCATGACCTGAAAAGCGCAACAAAGAACATTTGACCGTCCTGGGGAATTGTTAGCAGAAGTTTAGTGCAAAGTAGGAGATGATTCTATAATTACCCTCGAGTCAAGGTTCCTCAACCGTTTCCTTAACTCTGAGAGCTCCGGGGCGGTGATGAGGTTGTTGTTGAGATTTTGTACCATGATACTGGCGAATTCGATATCCTGCCAAAAAATGTCAGCACTTATTCCTCGAAGAAAGACTTAGAGACTCGCCTCTTCCTTCTCAAGGCAATCCGCCAAAGTCCGGTAGATACGCTCCGGGCTGAGATTCAGACAAAGCTGTCTGATAATCAGATTCCCCCGTACCTCCAGCAGATGTCGATCGGTGGAAAACAGCTGCAAAAGGTTCACCATAAACGAGGCAAAATAGCTATCCTCGCTATTCCTCGAGATTTGCGAGAGAAGCTGCAAGTCCTTCGTAACAACCGCTTCTGCAGGGTCCGACAATGTTTTCAATAGAGCCGGGAAGGTCCCGTCGTTAAACGCAACCACTTTCCGTGGGGCTTTGCGGTGTAACATAATAAGCCACGACAGTGCAGCTGACCGGGTGGCTTCATTCTCGTTGAGGAATTGTAATGTAAGGGAGTTGACGGCGGCGGCATAATCGAGATCAGCCGGATGGACCGGTGCTGAGATGATACTACTGCGCGGTGTTGCTGCGGCGGAAGATTCCTGTTGCGGCGCTGGTTTCTTTGTATCATTGCCCATATCTGAAGGTTTTCCTCCAGGTGTCGACGATCTCCTTTCCACGCTCTCTTTACTGGCGGTAATAGATGGAACCTTAGGCTGGGCTTGGACCACCTCCTCGGTTGGTTCATCGGATAGAGAATAGATGTACTCGAGCAGTGATGTGTTGACTCGATTTGCTGCCTGCCGAACTTGATCCGAACCACTCGACATTGCTGGCAGCACTTGAGTCAGAAGCCGCGGGACGAATGGGAGGATGTCCTCAGGGCTGATCTCGAAGAACGTATCGATCCAACGGAGGGCAGTGAGCTGTATCTCTTCCTCTGCGAGAAAGTTAGCATTAAATTTGGTGTATGCACCTGGGAAAATCATACGATAAGATGTGTCGACAAAGCCGACGAGAATATCCAGAATCTTTGGATAATCGATCTGCACATCTTGCCCCGGGATCCAGTCCCCATCGGCCTGAAGAACTTCTTCATCGATGAGCGATTCAGATGCGGAATCATCAACGGCGATATCCTCCTTCTCGCCATCTTCAACGCCACCAGTTCCCACAGTTTGCTCGGTCTTGGTGCTCCCGGTATCACTTGCAGCTGAGCGTCTGCGACTGTGCTGATCCATGCGGCTTTCTTCAATTCCCTTCTTCAAGCGCGTGATCCTCTTGATCTCGGATAAAAATCGGTCAAGGAGGCCTTGGGTAGCAACATTGACATCCTTGTTGGGCCCACCAAGGAAATTGATCAATCCCTCCAGGAACTCGGGCAAGTAGCTTACGAGCTCCAGGTCGGGAATCGTGTCCAATAAAGTCAGCCACGACACTAGGAAATTCCGAGTAAATGGCCCGATCACATGGATGCGTTCTTTGAGCAAAGGGATGAACTTGGCGAGTGAAAAGGCTGTTGGGAGCTCGATATCGTCCAACGCCCCCGGATCTGCCGCTTCCTTCTCAGACAGCTGGAGCACTGATACATATGAAGCTGCGGATTCGGCCACAATATCCTTTACCAAGCGGTCGAGAAGCTCCGCACCATTCTTCACTGAAAGCTCGGAATCAGACGCAAGCTAATCTGCGTATTAGCGCTTGCAAAACATACACCCACAAGAAAACCGCGATAGGCGCTCACCTTGGCCAGCGCATCAAAGATGTCGTTGAAGAACAGCAAGATTTCCCCTTTGGCCACCTTGGCAATGTTGTACATGCTCTCGCAGGCATAGTACCGGACTCGCGCATCTTGATCGGAAAAGCACGCCAGGACCGGCGGCACGATCTCCTTCAAGTACGGCGCAACTCCTTCCTAGACACCAGGTATCAGTACCAAGCCCTCCCAATCGTATCTGCAGTATACCCCAGCGACTCACTGATCCCAGTGCAATCGAGGCCGCAGCCAACCCGATCAGACCTCCATTCCTGGCGTGGGGTTGATGAACAGCGTAGGCATAGTCGTGGCAGAGCTGCTCAACGATCTTCTGGATCTTCTCGACTTCTCCCTTGAAAACAGCTTCGCGAACGATTTTCTCGAGTCTGCATGGGAGTTACCAGTTAGTATATGGTCGGTCTCCACCGGTTCCTCCGGTCCCCGACCTCTCCCCGAGGGTTCGGCTCCTAAACGTACTCCAAGGCCCCCTGTTTTCGTTTATCATAGAGCTTGTCGTTCAGCAACCGCTGGATTGAGTGATCCATCGCTCCAAAAAGCGACTGTGCAATCTGCCCCAAGCTGCGACCGGCTACGCAATGCTCATGGTGAGGTGGAGAGGGGATTTGGTCGTATCGAACGGAGCTGTCGCGAGATCGGCACGAGCTCGAAAATGGGCTGGGCGTCGGTCGAGTTCGGGGTCGCGGTGACAATCTCAAATGGCCCGAAGGCTGGTTGCTTCAAAAGCTGTGTTGGGAGAGTGCAAGCAACAAGTACGAGGGGAGGGAGATGCGTTGTCAACGTTCGCAAGGTGGAGAGTCCAAGCGCGGTGTGACGTATGTCAGCAGCGGAGTTGTCCCGGCTCGGACTCTCTTCTGGGGGTGTTTCACCCCCAAACACTAGGGGATTTGGCATGATTAACTTGATTGTATGGGTATAGGTGTGAAAAATACAGGATTCGGTTTGTCTAATGGCTATCACGCTTCTAATTGACAGTTGCATATGCTTCAAAATAAAGATACGTGGGTACCGATGTACAGTGATGCGCCAGAGTCCCCAAATCCATTGCACTTCTCAGTGGCTGATGTACTGGAAAACCGCAGAGACATCCCGTTCACTTGTCTCTTGTCGGAGGAGCAGGTCTTGGATCTGATTCAGGGGCCCCTGCTCTCCACTATTAACAAAATGGTTCCATGAGCTCGTGTCTCCATAGAGCATGGCCGGAGCCTTGATAAACTGGGTGCCGTCGGACCGACATCGTTTGCATTTAAAGGTATCGTGGGTATCGCAGGGTGTCTCAGGTTTGAACTGGAAAAGTTCCCGCAGTGATTCCAGCGAGAAGTGGCGCTCGACGTCCTCGGCCGAATCGACAACGCAAGACGAGAGCGACTGTTTGTGTGATTGACGTTGGAAGATCTTTTCCTCAATCGAGCCGGTCGCAATGAACCGATAGACAAAGCAGTCCTTCTTCTGTCCATCACGCCATACACGGGCCAGTGCTTGCTGGTCAGCGGCCGGGTTCCAATCAGGATCGAAGAGTACCAGCCGGTTGGCTCCGATCAGGTTCAGACCACATCCACCGGCCTTACTACTGAGCAGGAAAACAAACTCGGGCCCATCCGGGTCGTTGAATTTGTCCACAAGCTTCTGCCGCTTCTTGATGTTCATTGTGCCATCGAGCCGCAGACTACCATAGGCTCGCGATCGACAGAGCCGTTCAAAGAGATCCAGGGTCTGGGTGTAATTGCTGATGAGAACAATCTTGTCGTTAGTGTCTTGACGAATCCGTGCTAACATCCGATCAAGCACCATCATCTTCCCAGAGTACCAGCTCTTGACGTCTCGGTCACGGCCCCTGGCTTCGGGCGGCGTGAAGTCCTCGGGGTAAGTATGCTCGCTCCCTGGAAGATCGCTGGCTATGTCGAGTAGATCGGGGTGGTTGCAAAGCTTCTTTAAAATTCCGATTGCCTTGAGAGGTTGGCTGCCTTTTCCTCGAAGCAGGCTTCGGATCTCCGGGCTTTGGATGAAATGATTGTAGAGGTCGAGTTGGAACTGGGACATGTTGCAGAACACGACATGCTCATATTTGATGGGCAAGTATTTCGAAAGAATGTCGTTCGTCCGGCGGATGATGAACTTGTTGACAATGCCGGAAAGTTCAACCAAGCGCTCGTCACCCTTCTTTCGGTCTTCTTCAGTGCCTGCGGCATCGCGACCCCGAAGAATCGGCAGTTCAAACTTTTTCCGAAACTCATTCTGAGAGCCCAGGAGGTTTGGATTGGCAAAATGAAGGAGAGCAAAGTACTCGGACAGGTCGTTCTGGATGGGCGTTCCGGAAAGAATTACCCGACGACTAACATTGAGGCTGTTCAAAGCTGTCCATGTCAAGCTCTCCTTGTTTTTGAGCCGATGGCCTTCGTCACATAGAAGCAACCCGATTGGAGTGTCTTTAAGTGCCTCCACATACATGCGCAGCGTCTCGTACGACACGATAAGCACGGGCCTCACGATGCTACGTCCTGACGCCATGGCCCATTGCTTGATTTGGGTCGTGAGTTCTGTCTTGGTAGCCTTGCCATCCACCGCGAAAGGTATCGTAGCATCCTTCCCCAGCCATTTCGCTGTAATTGTTAGATGGAGCCGGAAATGGAATCGGATATACCACTTACTGAGTTCGTTGGCCCAATTCCCTACCAAACTGGACGGGCAAGCTATCACGCATTTCTGGATTGTTGTTTTCCCAGCCTCCGAGGACTGTTTTAACAGGCTCCACATTAGAGCGATGCATTGAAGCTGTGGATGTCAGTATCGAGACAGAAGAGGTGATGGCCACCTTTAATCGTACCGTTTTGCCCAGTCCCATACCGTCCGCCATGATGCAGCCATTTGCATTCCTGTCGACCATCCCAGTTGTGCATCTATAAAGAAACTGCAAATACCCAAGCTATTTAGTAGTGGTTCAGTGGTTCAGAATGGGACAAGACGGTACCTTCACACCCTCCACTTGATGTGGTCGGAGAACCTTGGCCAACCTGGGATCAATGACCACAGGCACCTTTGGCCGGTCTTCCACTTTCTTTTTGAGACCAAGGATATCAGCCAGACTCTTATGAACCAGTGGCTCATCCAGCTCGGGCTTGTGCTCTTCCTTCTGCCCTTCTTGATCCTTGGGCGCAGACTCCTCGGCGACATCGTCAACGGTTGGGTCATACAAGACAATGGCAAATTCTCCACTGGGATCATGAAGTGGCTTGACCACAAACGTCGCACCTCGTCGCATGCCCAAGGTCGGGGCGGGGCGACCGGCGTTGTAGTCGTCGGTGACTTTGTTGATCAAAGGGATTTGGAACCTTTGTCTGAACGCAGCATCTTTATCCTTGGGCTTGAACACGGGAAATTTGTTGGCTTCTCGGGTTGCTAAAGCCAGCCGATCTTCATTAGTGTACGGCTTCTCCGCCCCATCTTCCGCACTTCCATCGGCATTGGCATAGTTCACCTTGCGCCTCTTCCTGGCCGGCTTCTCTGAGGCTCGAGTGTAAGTTGCCGATCCCGGGCACTTGAAGGGCTTGGCGAGGCGATTAATTGAGTCTGACGATTTGGGTTGTAATGGTGTTTTGGCACCGCCGTCTGTTGCGGATGGCCGCGGTCGATACCTTCGGGGATGTCAACACATGGATATTTCCAATATAGGGGTTTGATGGTGACTCACATTGTTTTTTGTTAGAAGGTTAACTCATGCCAGTCCCGCAATATATCATGCCCAAAGTTTGGTTCGCCGGGTGTGTTGGAGTGCCGTGGAAGGGCGTAGTTGCCACCGTCGACGCGTTTCTGCCTCGCGTCTGCCTTCACCAAAATGCCACGCTCTCACGTGACCTGATGTGGTACCCCGCCATAGTAGAAGCCGAGGAACATCGAGCTTCAATTGACACCCTTTTTCGAGTCTCCAGGTCTTATGTCTTCGGATTTCTGGGCCGGATATCTCAGCGGGGCCATTGGTATCATCATTGGCAACCCGCTTGATGTGATCAAAGTAAGGCTACAGGCAGGTCACTCAGATGCAGGTACATCACGTCTAAACGGCTTTGAGAAGGCCAGCTCTCTTGTACGAGGTGTGTGTCGCATTGTTGCATTATTAGTAAACGTCTGGCAACTCCTCAAAGTCGCCATCATTAATTTAAGTTTTAGGCGCCGCTGCCCCAATCCTGGGATATGGGGCTCTCAATGCCCTTCTCTTTGTCGCCTACAACCGCTCGTTGACGTCAATAGACAGCTCTGTGACGGATCCAACAAATCCTGACGGGGTTCCTCTGTACAAGATCTGGCTTGCCGGAGCCGCAGGCGGACTGGCCAGCTGGACGATCTCGTCGCCGACGGAATTCATTAAATGCCGGGCACAGCTGAATTCTCGTCCGGGAGTGTCTTCGTGGACAGTTGCCAAGGATATCTATCGCACTCGCGGTTGGAAGGGACTCTACTTAGGGGGAGGGATCACTAGCGCCCGCGATTCAATTGGCTATGGATTCTAGTATGACGCCCGTCCCCCCTCCCGATTCCCGGCAAGCCGATCCCGATCCCTTTTATTTACAAATCATCCCCGCAGTTTTTGGTCCTATGAGATTTGCAAACGAGCTCTGGCGTCGCCGGATGATGGGGCACATCATGCCGCGATGAAGATCCTTCTCTGTGGTGGCATTGCGGGCATTGTTACGTGGGGATCTGTTTTCCCTCTGGATATGGTCAAGACCAGATTGCAGGCACAAACGATTCAGGACCATTCTTCTATGGGGACACCCACTGAAGGCCAGTCATTATTACGGACGCAGCACCAGACATTGAACTCGGTTCAAATTGCGAAAGAAGCCTATCGCGCCGAAGGCTTGAAGGTATTCTACCGTGGGCTCGGCATTTGCAGTATCAGAGCGTTTTTTGTGAATGCTGTCCAGGTTTGTTTTTCCTCTATTACTGGCAATTTTATACTAATGTGCTATGAGTAGTGGGCAGCATATGAGTGGCTGATGAAAAGTTTTAACTGTACTTGGGGTTCACCAGAACCACTGCCCGGCATGTAGATGGGTATACATCCATGGATTGACCGAGGTGCAACTCACAAGCCCTACATTTAGACCGAACGCTTTTTCAGGTTAGATCCTACTTGGTATTGAGGGATATTCGATTGGAATTACTCCGGAGTATTGCTAGTAAGGGGGGTAAATTTCACCCTGATGCCTTTGTATCCGCCGACAACCGGCACTTTTGGGCAGACCCGCAAACCGGAAGAAGGCAGACCCGCCGCGCATCGGCGATATAAAAAAAAACATCACGTGAGACTCCACTCAAGATGCAAGGCAAAAATAGCACCCTGGACTGGTGCTGAAAGGTCCTTCGAAGCTGAGCGTTTTGTTTATTCCTCTTGGTGATCAGACGGACGGTTCCTGGCCGCGCCTGATGGAAAGGTTACGATGAGTAGCCCGGCGCAGTGTCGTGGCGGTCAAGCCCAAGAATCAATCGTCCATTTCCATCGTGGTATCCTGCGATCGCTTGCCGTTGTCTGTGCCCAGTCCGACGGCAGCTTCGGCGATCTTTTGCGAGTGAGGTTCTTCGCGCAGAAGGCGGATTCTATCAACCCAGACACCGTGTCAGTAAAGATGTCGAGGGGAGGGGGGAGGGTCGCAGCATTCCTAAGATACACTCACCTTCTCTTGTGGTTTTTTCCCTTGGCGTGCGCCTTCAGGTTATAATCGCTTTCAAACCATTTCGCACACTCGACACAGTAGTGCTGCCCGAGACCCGGGAGATCCTCTGCATCTTTAGTCTCTTTGTATTGCGACAGATGACGAGGCGAGTCGATATCAGCGCGGACCTGATCGTAGTCTCTGTACCACGACAATAGGTCATGGGTTAGTCCACTGGAAGCAATTCAAGAGCGCACAGATCCAGCATACCTGGTCCGGCGCTTCGTCTTGATTCTTCTCAAGGCGCCCATTGTCGACGATCACGTTGCCCGTCAATGAAACATTGGAGGGAAAAGGGCTTTAATCACCGATTTCCGGAGCAATCCTGGCAAAGAGTCAGCGGGTCACAAAGGCGCGAAATTTCCGTTGGTTTGTGGGGCGCAGCGATTGAAACGCCTCGCTGCTGATTGGCCCGTCGTCAGGCTTGGCCTCAGCGCGCGGGAGCCCCGTCGGCACGCCTCGGCTCGCTCGGTTTCGTCACCGGCTTACGCTGTGTATTTTATGCGTATTTTATGACGTTTGCATGCGATAATTCCTGCTCCGGGGATGTTTCCAGCAAGGCTCGACTTGGATACTGGCCAAGCTAGGCTGATATATATGAAGGATTTCCCCTATCCGCAAGCAGTGGCATGTTCCTGAGATTGCTATCCCCAGAAAGGTATAGAATGTGTGTCCATGGACCTGGTTTCCATCAAATCCACATGCCGAGTTGAAGCAATTCGTACAGTAAACCCATCCCGAGCAAAAGCCGCATGCCCTTTGGTCCGAAAGAATACCCGCAAAATGTAATTGGAATCGCCGTGATTGGTGGCTCAGCGCTGCCCGTCACATGCCCTGTATTGTATTTACCCCGGTTTTCTGTCTTCGACAGATAGAGACAGAGGTCTGTTGTGGTATATAGTAGTATGCTTCTCTAATATATATATATATATATATATATGTGAGTATACAAAAGAAAATAATATGACTCTCATTAAAACATATGATTTTACTTGAACTATTCGTTAGAAGAAAAGAAGGAAATAAAAGGATTAAAGAAACATGCAAACCCAGGGTCGCATGCGGCCGCCAGGCCATTACCGCTGCGTAATCGCCATGGTAACAGCGATTACGGCTCTCTCGGTCCGCTTCTCCCACTCAAAACCACCAAGCTTCCCTCTTCTTCCCTCATTTTTTCTCTCTTCTTTTCCCTCACTCTCCACTCCCTTTCTACTTTGGCGGTGGTTGCTAGCTCTTTGATGTTTCCTATTTCCACATAGCGAGAGCTGTCCATCATGATCTCCACCCGCCTTGCGCGCGTCGGTGCGCTGGTAAGCATCACCCTACCTCGTCGCCTTGGGAATGTGCCAGCGATGGCCTTCTCCAAAGCCTGCTGTCTCCCTGTGTGAATTGGAAGCTAATATGTCTGATGCTTATAGGCCCCGAAATCCCGTCTGGTAAGCTGCGCCTTTTGATGCCAGGATCACACGTGGTCTTGGACAACACAGAGCTGTATGGGGGTGATTTATGCAATGACTGACTCGAAACTTGATAGTTTTTCGGGACTCGGGCCTTCGCTACCGTTGGCGATTCCCCCCTTGACAAGAAGGTTGAGATGACCAACTGGGAGAAGGTGAGTGGCCCTCAAGTCTTGGAGCCTCACAACCGGGCGCTTTACCAGAACCGTGATGACAGTGGCTGACAGCTCGAATAATAGGGTAACTACATTAACTACAAGTACGATCTCGCCTTGCATATATTACTTTTTCTATTTCTTCCTCCGCGGGGAGTTGGATAGCTGCGCATGTCTGTCATGGAAAATGCAGTATCCGCGACCTGGGACGGTAGAAAATCTGCAGAAATGGCATTTGCTAACAGAGCTGCACCTATAGGAAGATGTCCGAGAACCTCGACATTGTTCGCGCTCGTCTGCAGCGCCCTCTCACCTACGCCGAGAAGGTTCTGTACTCTCACCTCGACGACCCTCACGGTCAGGACATCGAGCGTGGCGCTTCCTACCTGAAGCTGCGCCCCGACCGTGTTGCTTGCCAGGACGCCACTGCCCAGATGGCCATCCTGCAGTTCATGTCGGCTGGAATGCCGTCTGTTCAGACCCCCACCACTGTGCACTGCGACCACTTGATTGAGGCCCAGATCGGAGGTGACAAGGATCTTGCTCGTGCCAACGATATCAACAAGGAGGTCTACGACTTCCTTGCGTCTGCCACAGCCAAGTACAACATTGGTTTCTGGAAGCCCGGTTCCGGTATCATCCACCAGATCGTCCTGGAGAACTACGCTTTCCCCGGTGGTCTGATGATCGGAACTGACTCCCATACTCCCAACGCTGGTGGTCTCGCCATGGCCGCCATTGGTGTCGGTGGTGCTGATGCTGTCGATGTCATGGCTGGTCTTCCTTGGGAATTGAAGGCCCCCAAGGTCATTGGTGTCCGCCTTACTGGCCAGCTGTCCGGCTGGACCTCTCCCAAGGACATCATCCTGAAGGTCGCCGGTCTCCTGACCGTTAAGGGTGGTACTGGTGCCATCATTGAGTACCACGGCCCCGGTGTCGACTCTCTGTCTTGCACTGGTATGGGTACCATTTGCAACATGGGTGCTGAGATCGGTGCCACCACCTCTATGTTCCCCTTCAACGACCGCATGTACGACTACTTGCGCGCCACCAAGCGTCAGCACATTGGTGACTTCTCTCGCGACTACGCTGCTCAGCTGCGCGAGGACGAGGGTGCCGAGTACGACCAGCTCATCGAGATCAACCTGTCGGAGCTCGAGCCCCACATCAACGGACCCTTCACTCCCGACCTGGCCACCCCCATCTCCACCTTCAAGGAGGCCGTCGAGACCAACAAGTGGCCCGAGGAGCTCAAGGTCGGTCTGATTGGCTCTTGCACCAACTCGTCGTACGAGGACATGTCGCGTGCGGCCTCGATCGCCCGCGACGCTCTTGACCACGGCATCAAGTCCAAGTCTCTATTCACCATTACGCCCGGTTCGGAGCAGATCCGCGCCACCATTGAGCGTGACGGTCAGCTCCAGACTCTCGAGGAGTACGGTGGTGTCATCCTGGCTAACGCCTGCGGTCCTTGCATTGGACAGTGGGACCGCAAGGATGTCAAGAAGGGCGAGCCCAACTCGATCATCTCTTCCTACAACCGTAACTTCACTGGCCGTAACGACGCCAACCCCGCCACCCACGCCTTCGTTGCCTCTCCAGACCTGGTCGTCGCCATGACCGTGGCCGGTACACTCAAGTTCAACCCCGTGACCGACACCCTGAAGGACAAGGATGGCAAGGAGTTCAAGCTGAAGCCCCCGACCGGTGACGGTCTGCCCAACCAGGGCTACGACCCCGGCCGTGACACCTACCAGGCTCCTCCCGCCGACCGTGCCTCGATCAATGTCGCTGTCTCCCCGAGCAGTGACCGTCTGCAGGTCCTGGGCGGTTTCGCCAAGTGGGACGGCAAGGATGCCACGGACATCCCGATCCTGATCAAGTGCCAGGGCAAAACCACCACTGACCACATCTCCATGGCTGGCCCGTGGTTGAAGTACCGTGGCCACCTGGACAACATCTCCAACAACATGCTGATCGGTGCCGTCAACGCCGAGAACGGTGAGGCCAACAAGGTCAAGAACGCCTTCACTGGCGAGTACAACGCCGTCCCCGCCACTGCCCGTGACTACAAGGCTCGTGGCACCCAGTGGATTGTCATTGGTGACTGGAACTACGGTGAGGGTTCGTCGCGTGAGCACGCCGCCCTGGAGCCCCGTCACCTGGGCGGTCTCGCCGTCATCACCCGCTCGTTCGCTCGTATCCACGAGACCAACCTGAAGAAGCAGGGTATGCTGCCCCTGACTTTCTCCGACCCCGCCGACTACGACAAGATCAACCCCGAGGACAAGGTCGACCTGCTGTGCACTGAGCTCGCCGTTGGTCAGCCCGTGACCCTCCGCGTCCACCCCAAGAATGGCGGCAAGGCCTTCGACATCAAGCTCAGCCACACTTTCAATGAGTCCCAGCTGGAGTGGTTCCACGATGGGTCTGCCCTGAACACCATGGCTCGCAAGTCGGGCAACTAAGCGATCCATCCCTTCACTCAAACCCTCTTTCCAAGCACCGCTGACCGCTGACTCTCGGCTGGTCGAGGTGTCCGTGTAAAACTATTCTCTGGTGTGTTGAGGAACCACGAACACACGCTGTGTGGGATGTGTGCATGTGTCCCTTGTTTTTGAGCCAGGTTCGAGGAGTTGTGCTCCGGGGAAAAATTTCTTTTTTTATGACTGATCTGCTTGTTTCCTTTTTTTCCGTCTCTTGATTCCCAATGTTTCTGGGTGGGTTCAATGAATATAGTTTGGTTTTCCCCCTACATCACTCTGTATGTTAGATGCATACAACATTTCCTTGGTTATTTTGGTTTCCAGCTAGTAGATTGTAAAGCTATCTGCAGAACTGTATAGAACTACTGAACTACTTATTCATCAGCTCTGATAGACGAATGAACCTGCGGGTTTTCAGGCTGAGATAATCTGCCGAGGCCCAACTCGGCCCCGCGTCGACTGTCTCTCTGGACAGTCTTTTAGGCGCGCCATCTCTCCAGGAAATTACGTGCTTCCACCCTCTGCCAGGTGAGTAGTTGAGCTATCAAGATCACAGCCATAGGACACCGCAGTCTTGTCATCTCGTCAAATAGCCTCGGTGCTCTTTTTGCATTGAAGCCCGTTAAGCTACAGTTCTAATTCGGGCGTCTCATCAAGACTTCACCAGCACCAGCTCAGTGCTTTGAACCATGGCAACGCAACTTGTTCGCCTGCCGGAGGTGGAACGACTCAGTGCGTCCGTGGTGAGGATCCTGGGCGGGAATCCAGGAAAGGTATGTCTCTCAATATTTTGCGTATAACTCGAACTCATCAGGCTAATGATACACTATATGAGGATGGGACATTCAGTTTACACTACAAGGTGAGTATTGCATCCTTGCTATTTCACCGGGCCAACACTAATTGCTACTCGCCAGGAACAAATACATACTTGATTGGCAGTGGGCACCAGCGCATCCTCATCGACACAGGCGAGGGCAAGCCAACATGGGCGGCCCATCTTCAGTCCCTGCTATCGGAAGAGAAAGCCACCGTGCACCAGGCCCTGATTACACACTGGCACGGTGACCACGTCAATGGCATTCCGGATCTGCTCAAGATCTGTCCCCGCGCGCAAGTCTTCAAGCACCAGCCCGATGCCGGGCAGACAGAGATTCAAGACGGGCAGGTATTTCGCGTCGAGGGTGCGACGCTGACTGCATTCCATACTCCCGGACATACAGAAGACCATATGGTATTTGTATTGGATGAGGAGAATGCACTATTTACAGGCGATAGTAAGAAACTACCAACTCTCTCCTTCTCCTTTCTTCTTTTTTTACTTGCCTTTACTAAATGTGCCAGATGTCCTGGGCCACGGCACCGCCGTCTTTGAAGACCTCCACGTCTATTTATCCAGCCTGCACCGCATGCGCGACCGTGTCTCTGGCCGTGGATATCCCGGCCACGGTGCCGTGATCGACAACGCAACGGCCCGTGTCGTCGAGTACATCAAGCACCGCCAGCAACGGGAGGATGAGGTGCTGCGTGTCATGCAGTATGGGAAGCTCGATGTCCCTGAGAATGAGCCCTCGCCCAACCCGAAACGTGGGTGGACGCCATTACAGCTGGTGCGGGTCATTTATCGTGATATTCCGGAGAGTCTGCATTTGCCTGCGTCGCATGGCGTGTTGCAGGTGCTGCTGAAACTAGAGGCGGAGGGTCGGGTGGTTCATGACTCGGATTCGGGGGACTGGACGCTGGCAGGCCAGCGGCCTACATTATAACTACTTTGATTTGGACGTGTGATTATACCCATCCGTGGATATACTCCTTATGTCTGCTGTGGGTAGCATGGTTGATATGTCCAAGATGGGAATGGAGAGCCACAAAAATGTCACAAGGTATCCCTGGAGAATAATAAAAGTAAAAATAGCCATTAGACATACACAAATCCATTGATTATACTTGTATTTCTGTGATACTTAGACCCAAGTATATCCATGGTGATTGACAGCCTCTTATGTAATTCGGCTGGCGACGTCAGCGCGGTGTCATCACGAGAAGCAGAGTCACCCTTGGAGCCCCCAACTTCGAGCGCTGACTGGCTGGGCGGGGGTTCCAATAGCAAGTGCAACTTGGACACGAAAACAACCGACATGCTGGACTGTCCAACCGGTCCAAAGGAGCACTAAACCAGGGAGGTTACTGGTGATCTGCCCCTCTTTTCTGTTATTAGCTCTGGATAGAATAAAAAATACATACAAAACTCGGTCATCATCAGGAAATTCTGAGATTCTTCTTTTCTCCCCTTCACACCCCGATGTGAGCGTTATTGAGGAGCTCCACCTCGTAGCTGTTCCAAGTTTCTTCGGGGCGCTGACCTCACCTCTCTCCCCGCCCTTCTGACCCGCCTTTTTTTTTTCTTTCTTTCTCTGTGCAAGACCATTCCAACCGGCCTCGTTTTCGTTGCTCGTCTTATGGAGACGGCCTGAGAGAGCCTGTCTAGCTTTCTCAGCGTATTCGCTGTCGCTGTCCCTGCAGTCTCGCTCGTCTGCGTCCAAGGAAAGCGGTTGGTTCGGGTCTCTCCCCCGCATCTCCAAGAAAGACTGAGTCTAACCGCACGAATTGCCGGAGCCACAGGAACCTTCACGGGGTTGAAACTACGCCCAGTCTCTCCTTTCTTCTTGCCTTGCCTCCTTTTGTCTCTACTCCCTGGTATCCGAGCTTCCCGCGATCATGCCTTCTCTTGAAGATCCCAAGCCCAGTGAGGCGCGGCTGCTTCTGGTGTCGAATCGCCTGCCGATCACGATCAAACGGTCCGCAGATGGGAAATACGACTTCTCCATGTCGTCTGGTGGTTTGGTCAGTGGCTTGAGTGGTCTCTCGAAATCGACAACCTTCCAGTGGTACGGCTGGCCCGGTCTGGAAGTGCCCGAGGGAGAAATTTCGGTGGTCAAGCAGCGCCTGAAGAATGAATATGGCGCGGTGCCGGTTTTTATTGACGATGACCTGGCGGACCGACATTACAATGGATTCTCAAGTCAGTTTGGCCTTGAATTCCCCCGCAAGATGTTTGAAGTGACAGGATATGGTATACTAACTTGGGTGATTCCTCGGAATAGACTCAATTCTCTGGCCCCTCTTCCATTACCACCCCGGTGAAATCACCTTTGATGAGTCGGCTTGGGAGGCCTACAAGGAGGCCAACCGCTTGTTCGCAAAGGCCATTGCCAAGGAGGTCCAGGATGGGGACTTGATCTGGGTCCACGACTACCATCTCATGCTACTTCCTGAAATGCTTCGCGAAGAGATCGGCGATAGCAAGCAGAATGTCAAGATTGGATTCTTCCTGCACACCCCATTTCCCAGCAGTGAGATCTATCGCATTCTTCCGGTGCGGAACGAGCTGCTCCTGGGTGTTCTGCATTGCGATCTGATCGGCTTCCACACCTACGACTATACCCGACATTTTTTGAGCAGCTGCTCGCGCTTACTGTAAGTGTGCTTCTGTATGTGAGTGTGGAAGTTCTGCCTAACGGGAATTAGGGGCCTTGCGACAACGCCGAATGGCATTGAATTCCAGGGCAAGATTATCACCTGCGGCGCTTTCCCCATCGGGATCGACCCGGAGAAGTTCAAGGAAGGCTTGAAAAAGGAGAAGGTTCAAAAACGCATTGCCATGTTGGAGCAGAAATTCCAAGGCGTGAAACTCATGGTCGGTGTCGATCGTCTGGATTACATCAAAGGCGTGCCACAGAAGCTGCACGCGCTCGAGGTATTTCTCAGTGACCATCCGGAATGGGTGGGCAAGGTCGTCTTGGTACAAGTTGCCGTTCCCAGCCGACAAGATGTCGAAGAATATCAGAACTTGCGGGCTGTGGTGAACGAGCTGGTTGGCCGGATCAACGGAAAGTTCGGTGAGTACCTATCCCCTCGACCTGAGATCCAGGGCTTGATGCTGATGTATTCGATTTCTCTAGGCACTGTGGAGTTCATGCCTATTCACTTCCTCCACAAGTCCGTCAACTTCGACGAGCTCATTGCCCTCTATGCGGTGTCTGATGCGTGCATCGTCTCGTCTACTCGGGACGGAATGAACCTCGTGGCCTACGAATACATCGCAACTCAGCAAAAACGCCATGGAGTTTTGGTGCTTTCCGAGTTTGCGGGCGCAGCCCAGAGTCTCAACGGGAGCATTATCGTCAACCCTTGGAACACGGAGGAGCTGGCCGGCGCATATCAAGAAGCCGTCACCATGAGCGATGAGCAGAGAGCACTCAATTTCGCCAAGCTGGACAAATATGTCTCTAAGTACACCAGGTATGGTGCATAACCCCTACGAGTCATCTGATCATAATCTAACCATCTGCCTTACAGTGCCTTCTGGGGCCAGTCCTTCGTGACTGAGCTCACCCGGATATCTGCCCAGTCGGCGGACAAATTCCAATCCAAGAAACCGACTCCCGCCAGTGATGGCGAGGTCTCAGCGCCGAAGCAGGCTGCGTAATGACTTTCAATTCTTCTCTCTTGCATTCTCTTTTTTGAGACTCGCACGTTCTGATCCAACTTTGGAATGGACCTGCATTGAATGAAACGAGGATGCTCTACACGAACAATGGATGTGGCGAAATGTATTTTCTTGGTCTTCTCTTCTTTTCTCTTCAGGCGACATGGGGATATATTCTTTTTTCCTTCTTTCTTATCGGGTCTTTCTTATTTCTTTCTGTCGATGGGTTCGTTTCTAGGAATAATCATTTACTCTCTCCATTCTAGATGTGGTGCATCTGATGACTTCGCTGGTCGTGTCTTCCAATGTCTTTGGGTATCTGTTGGATAGGTAGAGAGATAGACAAATGTTTCATTATGTTTTATGAGCTATTTATCAACTGGTCCTGACATACTGTGATCATCGACCACAACACGTAAGACAACACCAGGATATACCATACCAAACCAAGGAATCCTATAGACACAAGTAAATTAGCCAATTGCTTTTTATCAGAGTAATATAAGCATCCAAACCCGTCCATGAATCTGCCTTTCATTCCCCTGCACCAAACACCATCGATACCCGGGCAACACGCCCCGAAGGGTATGCAGCTACCGCCCAAGTATCTCTGACAGGTATATAGATATTGGCGGTGTATAATCATGACAGATAACAGATGTTGGAGGTTTTCGAGCATAACTCACCTTATGAACGAAGACGCGTAACAACTCTGCTGGGAATTGTGTAGGTGTTTGGCGAGGTTCTTGTAAGGAGAGAGGGTTGAAGAAGAGAAATACCTTTCTCGGAAAAACAATTTCGAGGATACGCTAATCTGCTTTTGCTCTATGGCATGGCTGTACCTAGATCCTAGATACAACAGTGCAATTATTTCATTATTTCATTATAAACACCATGACGCCGTGCAATCTCGACGAATGGATTGGCAGTTCGGAAACAAAACTACTCTCCCACAGTGTGCGGTCTTCAGCCAGCACCTTTCTCGCTTCCTCCACTTTGCGCAAGCCGTGGGCCCCCCAATAGGTCGCCGATGCCCCTCACCAGGTCATTAAGTTTGGTTTAAATAAGGACGGGGGATCTCCGCCCTCATTTTCATTTTCTTTCCTTCATCTTTACTCCAAACTCGAAATCCAAACAAGACAGACAAGTCTTCGTGATATGGCTTCAACAGTATGTACCCCCTTTTGTAAGGAGCCCTTGGAATATCGAGTTAGCGGGACTAGATTCCCCCCGGCTGGTAGACAAATTCCGACGTGTTGCAGGTGGATTACTACTGGGACGAGGACGGTCCTGGTGCAGCTATCAAAGCTGAAAAGGGCTTCAAACTCGTTCATCCTGTCGTGGGCACCGAACCCAAAACCGGTACCTCGGTCTATATGTTCGAGGCAGACACCCAAATTCGATCTATGGAACTTGATAGAAGATACTGTATATGAAACCACCGGTCCGAAGACAGAATCGGAGATCATTCAGACAATCAACAAGGACAACGTGGCGGGCTTGCAGGTGGAACAGGTGTGAAACCGGAGAGACTGATATAAACTACTGCTGTATCAGAATCGTTCGGGTGTTATATAACAGGATGAATTCCCCGCGAGTTTCAATGGGATATAGTTAGGTGATCTAGTCAAGAATATACCATGTTGTAGCATTTCTTCAGGGAAATGAAACCCCGAGGCGCGGGCAGCCTTGCCAAAGGGAATTACAAGACCATAAAGTCGACTCAACTATTTGGACTTTTGGGCTAGTGTGAATACTGCGAGTATATACATGAATAAATAGGGTTTTAGTTATCCGGGATTCGACCGCATAAATGCTACATATAGAACTTGTGGGTTTTAGCTAAATTTATCTTATCCGGACTTGGTACATATCTCGATAGGTACGGCCGTGTTTATGGCTCGATAGGAAATAATTCTTAGCATTTAACTCACAAACCAGGCGTCAATTAATCCTCTCAGTATCTTCCTAATATAGTTCATTACTGTGCCGAATATAGCTTTAACTATTCTTTCTGTCGAATCAGTTCAGTGGCTTCATAGTCGGTGACCTCACCTTGATGCATGACAGCCATGTTCAACATCCACTATTTTGTGAATATACTGGACTCGAATTAAATTAAACCAAATGCTAGAGACTGCTGGTTTTCCAATATGCTGGATTTCTCAGAACATCTGGTAATTGAAGTCCTATAGTTCTGCCCGGAACCTCATACCGAGTGCAAACAATGCAAACTCTTACCACCCCGAGAAATTCTCGACCGCATCAGCTCTGCTTTTCCTGGAGCTGTCCGAACAACCTGACATTCAGTGGGGGTGTTCTTGGTCCCGCAGTGGTTTTCTCCTTGATCATCGTTCAATTTTCCTTTTCCTGATACCTCCGATCTCGTCGGGATCTGCTCCGCGAGCATTGCACGACAATGGCACCAAGCCACCTCCTCCGGGCTATCATGCCCTTCAGCGCCGCAATGGCACCGTCGGCGACCCTGGCCCGGTCAAAGATTCCCTCATCCGCAGCATTAATTCACTCCGTCATCCGCTCCGCCTCAACGAAAACCAAGATCCCCAAAAACAAGCAGCCCTCACAACCACCACCCAATACGTACACACCAGCAGCACTACAGCCGCCCTCGCGCCTTCGCACCTACGCCTACAGTTCCAAGACCGGCACTGTTATCTCCGTCGGCCGCATGGACCGCACCGTCCGCGTCAGCCACCGCCACACGACTTTCGACACAACCGTGCAAAAGGTGTACCCGAAGGAAACGGAGTACCTGGTCTCGGACCCGCGCAACTCGCTGCGCGAGGGCGACGTGATCGAGTTCTCGTCCGGCGCGCCCAAGACCCGCCACGTTCGCCACGTCGTCGAGCGCATTATCAACCCCTTCGGCTCGGCGATCGAGGACCGTCCGCCCGTGATGTCGCGCAAGGAACGTGAGCAGGAGCGCGAGCGCAAATGGGCGGAGAAGTATGTCCGTCGCGAATCAAGGCGTCTGGGTCAGCCTATTGATCTTGCTGCTGAGGCGAGGGCGCGTCTGCCGAAGCATGACCAGAGCAAGATGAAGAATGCTTCCCTGGCGAGCTTGGTTCATCGTATTCATCGCAACAATGAGCGTGCTGGGAAGGTTAAGACGTTGGTTCTGAGCCGGACTGGGGGTAACTAAGGTCTCTTTTATGGGTGTGTATTGACTACTGCTCGAACCCAGGGTTCCTCGTTGGGGGTTCTTCTTCTGAGCCCAAGTCTTCCTGTGGACTTGTGCCGTATCTTTATATTTCTCATGTCTGTCTGATATCTGTTCTGGTGTTGCATATCGGATCAATGTACTATACCGTTTCTGCGTGCAATTCTTCTTTTCATATATCCATGGCGTAGATATGCCCTGGCATAGATCATCGGCTAGCCCGGTGTCGATAGGAGCAATGCTTGTAAATGAGAAATCTACATCGACTGCAGAACTACTTGGCTCTAGCGTGGATATGTGTACCTGATCCATATTCGGTACTGGATCCATCGCATGCCCATACCCATACCTCAACGGCAGCATCTACCAATGTTATGCTGATAGCAATGATAAATCTAGCATTTTCAGAATTCTGATTAGATAGAGCTTTCAATAATAACAGTTTCCAGCTGCTGTGGCCCAGTGACGACATATCCAGGTTCCGGAATTCATTCCCGTTGCTCAGGCTGTTTAGGGCTGGCCGTGGCGAGCAGCCAAGTCGTCATTAAAGTGGCAGGAAACACCCCCCTTTGATATCCATCTTCTCATATTAAGCGCTCCATTTTCCCTATTCAAACATTCGTAGTTGAGCATCAACTTGTCAGCCCCATTCACAATGAGTGCAATCAACCCTATGTCACCACCGACACCATCCTCGAACCTCTTAGTTAAAAGAGACGCCGACACCTACGTCCCCGTCCGCGCCCTAATAGCCCACGGCTTCCTAATGACCTTCGCAATCGGGCTCTTCCTCCCCATCGGCGCCACAATCATCCAAGTCGTCCCCTGGAGCAAGAAAGTAACACAGCTACACGCGCCCCTGCAAGCATTCGCCCTGGCCATGCTCGTCGCAGGCATGGGCGTCGGCATCTATCTGGGCGTGGAGACTGACAAAATTGACACCTACCACCCGATCATCGGATTCATTGTTGTCGGCGGCCTGCTGCTGTTCCAGCCGCTCATGGGTCTCCTGGCGCATCTGTACTACCGCCGCTCCGGTCGGCGCAGCCCGCTTGCGTATGTGCATCGCTGGTGGGGGCGGCTTTTGGTGATTCTAGGCATCGTTAATGGTGGGCTGGGGTTTATGCTTGCTGGGATTGGGTCGCCTGGGTGTCCCGTTGGTGCTGTTATTGCTTATTCGATTATTGCGGGGATTGTCATTTGTGCGTATCTTGCTGTTGTTGTTTTTGGGACTTTCAGACAGTATTCTTCTCGGCCCAAGGTTCAGGAGATGAGCAAGCCTTAGGATGAATGTCTTGTTTGTTCGAACGAGGTGCTGGGGCCTCGGCTTTGTATCAAGTTTACATCAAGGCTTCGCTTGTGTCTCGGTGCTAGTTCGCAATAAGTAGGTTGGTGTCTATTCTTATGTCCAGACTCCACACTATATGTGACAAAACCCTGGCTGGTCGCCTAAGGATTATATCCAGATACCTGAAACATACTACCTAATTAGGAATGATAAACATGAAATCTGTACAATCTCTTAAAGCAATTACTTAACCTAAATGAAATGCATGCGACCTATCAGAAGAACAATCCAAGCCTCTGGTTGCTTTAAATACCTCCAGTCCAGGAAATCATCCATGATAATAGCACTATAGCTCTCTCGCCTTTTGGGCGCTTTCATTAGGAATAACTGCATGAATAGTTGCTGAGACAGGGAGAAGAATGGAATCGACGAAGAAACAAGGGTTCATTTAACCTGTTTTCTTTTTCCTTCCACGAGTGTCTCCCAAACATGGAGTGTGGTATCAGTTCCACGATTGAACCATGACATCTCCATAGGTAGGAGGTTGCTAGAAACAGGCTTCTGAGACAGGACTCAGCATCCAGGCATCATTAGATAAGTGTTTCATTAATATTGGCTATCGGCCTAGTGGCTTGTGGCTAAGAAAAAGTAGATCGCCGTGCTCGGGCCTCGGCTCCTGGCCTTTAGCTAAATGATCCGTAGGAACCTTGAATGGCGGGAACACTAGAAGGGTAGTTTTGTTAAATCACTTAAGAGGAACTGATTTTGATTTTGATTTTGATTTTGATTTTTCTTTTGTTACGGACTAAGCAATCGAGAACAGCCGTCTGTAGAAGCCATGGGCTGACAAGGAGAAACAAGAAAAATCAGGGAAAACACTGCCCCCACCCCTTTGACGAATATCCATAAGATTACATTTTATTCCTAGATCTTGCCACCTCGATGTGACTTCGTTTGTCTTTATAAGGAGAGATCTTTCCGACGATGTAACCAAGCCTAGCCCTTGAACTGGCTGCCTAGTTTAGGGCATCCCACTACATGGTCCATGACAGTATGAGCCAAACACCACACACTGATGGCATACCTAGTGGGACCACCAAGATTTGAGATTATAGGCCAAATTAATTAGCAAAACTACCATAAATATATTGAATGAATCAGTGGACATACCCTAATTAGGCAAGTGATAATAAGCCCCTGCTGAAACAGACTAGCAAGGCTTGTTCATTGTCTTCAGGCGTGCAGAGCCCCCAAGACTAGAATAGGAAGTAAAAAAAGAGTAATTGGTAATGCTGGAGGCCCAAAGAAGCTCCATAGCTGTGAATACTTGAGTATAAAGGAGTTGTGAAGGATCTCGATCCAGTGGTTTCTCCCTTACTCCCATAGCATACTTTTCTTCTGTATTATTATCCAACAATAATGGGTCATCCCATTGGAAGGGGGCACTTGCTCCACCGTTTCCTGCTTGTTCTGTTGGTGCTGAATGCCTATATAATATCATCCGTCTGCGCTGCCCCTCGCCATCGCCCTGGATCCAAGCTCTCCTCAGCCCCCCAAATCTACAGCAGAGACGACAGCGCCTTCGACTCTAATGACTGGGACACCCTCCACAATGCCTACGAAGCCTACGTCGACACCTTCTTTGCACCCCAAGGCTTCCCCCACGACGTGCCCGAGGGCGAGAAAATCGACCGAACCACCTACGAATACGCCGAAGAAGACAGCTGCGAGATGAGCAAGCTTGTCCTGGGCGACAAGATCGGCACAGGAGCCAACGCCCAAGTCTTCCGCGCCACGCTATCCGTCCCCCACCATCAAGACCAAACCGTGGCGGCCAAGCGAGCCGCCGACGGAGATTTGATGGTCAATGGCGCCATCCTCCAGAATGGGACCCGGAGTGACAATGTCATGAAGGTATTGGGTTACTTCCGGTACGGAGAGGAGGCGGCGATTATCTTCATGCCCGTGGTCGGCGGCGGCGATTTGAAGGGCAAAATTGCCCAGTATCAGCGGGATGGCCAGAAAGCTGTCAATCGGGCGTTTAAGCAGGTCATGGAGGGTGTGCGGGCGGTTCATAAGGCCAATGTTATCCATGGTGATCTCAAGCCTGCCAATGTTCTCTTGGAGGGCAGTACGCTGAAGTTGACGGACTTCGATAACGCGAGGAAGACCGGCAATTCTCTTGTGTGGAATTTTGGCACTGATGGCTACATGGCTCCTGGTATGGTCCTTTTCCCTTCGTGTCTGTGTCGTCATGCTAACACCGCTTTTCATAGAAATTATCAGAAAGAAATCCTACAACACAAAGATCGATGTTTTTTCCCTGGGCATGATCTGGCTCGACATGACATATCCCGACATGGGAGGAGATGCCAACGACAAGCGGTTGTCGCTGTGGAAAGCTTTGATCACCAGTGGGGTTGACAGCGAGTGGGTCAAAGCCGACAAAGTGGAAGAGCTCCTAAAGAAGAATTTCTCGGATTTGAACGACGACATGCGGACGCTGCTGGGGACGGTTCTTTGCGAGCCGGAGTCTCGTCTGGATATTGAGAAGTTCTACGAGGAATTCAACCAGAAGGCAGAGTTTTAATCGTAGATTTTAATAAGAATATAGTAAATACAAATCGCCGACCCTTGCTTCGCTCGGTGGCTTTAGGAGACATGGTAGATACTAAAAATTAAACTTAAAGCCTTATGAGCTAAATTTTATCCAGATAGCTAATTTACTACTTTGTCTCGCTTTTTTATTTTTTATTTATTGATTGATTGATTTTTCAATCCTCTTTTTAATATCTATTCGCCTCTCTTCCCTATATTTATTCTGATCAGCTGAACTAAGGTCAGGGAAGTTTTTTCGCTGCGGTGACATATTACAATATGAAGATCCACAGATGCCCACAGGGGCTGTTTTATACTTCCTGTTTGAGGGCAATGCATGGAGGATTTTGGTTTGGGCATTTACCGCCACGTCAGCTTGCCAATGTGATCGACACCCCAAAAACTGTTATCTTTCGCTGTTTCGCTCAACTAGGCACTTTGTTTTCTTTCTTCTTCTCTCGAGCAAGAACCCTTTCATTTTTGATATATGATGTGGCCATGCCTCTCTTGGCCCTTCCCAACGAGCTACTGCTGCACATAGCACAAAACCTGTCGGTCCAGGAAGACATCAGTGTCTTGTGTCAAGCGAATCGACGCCTTTATGATCTACTGCAAGATTATCTCTACTGGTACAACGCACAGCATGATAAATCCTCGGCCTTGGTATTCGGTGCCTTGCGCGGGCTGAGAGCAGTTGTGGAAAAATCACTAAGAGCAAAGCCCCTGGACATCGATGCACCGCCGTTACCCACGTCCAGGCGCTATATGGGGCATAATGCCGTCTGCATTGCAATCAACAGACAGCACCCCGACCTGGTCGAATTGCTTCTTTCGAATGGCGCAAGTATCCACGGCCACTGTCGCGGCAAAGTCACCTATCTGGGGACCGCGGCACAACACGGGAACCTCAAGACCATGCAGGTGCTGCTTGACCGTGGGGCGAGTATCCATGCAACAGATGGGAATGGCATGACGGCGCTGCACCATGCGGTTGCGTGGAATCATCTCGCCAGTGTCGATTTCCTGCTCGATCGCGGGGCCGATATCACCGCGATGGAATATCTAGGCCAAACCCCGCTCTGCAAGGCTGCGTTGCATGGCAACATGGATTGCATTCAACACCTTATAAAGCGCGGCGCTAGCGCCGAGCTACAGTCCCCCACAGGTCGCCGGGCCCTCTATATCGCCATGGGATCCGGTCATGCGGAGATCTCCCAGCTTCTCCTCGACCGCGGCGTGATCCTTGAGAAACGCGAAGAACTCTTCCACCGCGCCGCACAGTACGGATACCTCGCCTGTCTGGAAATGCTCCTGAAACTAGGCGTCCCCGTTGATTGTAAGGGAGAGAACAATACGACAGCCTTGTACTACGCCGCATCAGACTGTACACCCTCAGACGGCGGCCTCGATATCATCACCCGACTGCTGGATGCAGGTGCAGATATGAATATAAGAAGTTTCCACGACCGGACGCCGTTATTCGCTGCAGCCCTGCGCGGACAGAAAAGTGTCGCCAAACTCCTCTTGGATCGAGGCGCTGACCCTAACGCTTATGTCTTATATGCTGGAGAGCCCCAAACCGCCCTATGGGGAGTTCTCAATGGCGATATGCGCAATTGGGATATTGCCGAGCTGTTATTGGAGAGAGGGGCCAACCCAAACCTCCTTTGCACGTTGCAGAACCAGCATCCTCTTGTACATCCGAAAGAGTATCCCGATGATCATATGCTGCAATTGATGCTTTCCAAAGGGGCGGATATGAGCCGTGGGATTCCTTGCACATAGAAAGTATTTATAATGCAATCGCATAGTTGTTTCTTAGCGCTCAGGTGACCTTGGTTTAATTAATTAGGATAAATATAGAGAAGGAAAGGGGCAGGGGTTTATGAAAGGTCAGAAAAAGGATTAAGAAATAGTGACAGCAGTAGTAGAATAGCCATCTATATATTAAAGATAGATAATAAGACCCGTTGGGCAAGATAAAAATGAGTTAATAAGGGTTTAATATCTAATTTCTATCATATACTACGTCTCCTAAAACCGCCTGAGCGAAGCAAGGGTTAGTATCTTGTGGCTATAGTCATTGATAGTGGGTTGACTCAGAGTCTGGTCACATTGCGAGAGTCGAAGATCACAGTTCCCAGATATCAGAAACCGTGTTGTAACTGAGATGAAGTGCACTGTAGAGACACTATAGTCATGCTCAAGGAGGGTCGGGTATTTTTGTATTCTGCTGGGACCCACAGCTTCATCGTGAGGCCTGATGAGCATGACGCAAGGGGTGTCCCCGCGCTGTCCTCCATGATCCACATGTAGCGTAGGCCTTGATGTCCCTTGATCGCCCAAGTTCGTTTCCCGGCCGAAGCTAGGGACGGAGAAGTCGGGTTAAAGGTGGCCAAGTGACTAAGTAGCGGTGCGATTCCAGATTGTGCTGCGGTGGTTCCCACGGCAGCCAGTAGTATATCAGGCCCTTCTTTCTCCCAGAGTAGATGTGGGGTCGGTCGTGTTGTTGATTTCGACTTGGGGCAAGACACATCACGATTCGAAGTTCATGATCTACCCCGTAGACGGCGGATTGACAGCGATTGTCTGCTTCAGCTCTTCGACTTTCTTTAGCGTCCTATCATGCACTGTGACTGAGTCGCCGAGTTATTGCAAAAACAGATAGGTCTAGGGCAAATTCGCCGAGGCTAATTAGCGCTGGTGGGACGCTCGTATCTGCCGCAGAAAAAGGAGTCAGCCTTCATATTGTTCTCAGGGCTCGAAAGGAGCACATATGACTCCATCTGCTGCACCATAAGCAATCCGCCCATAGTGGTGCCACTTTGTGTTTCTAGCAGCCTCCAGTATACCTCCGCATGCACCGAAGATGGATTGGGGGGGGGGCAACGGTGTCGGCGAGGTATAGGCGAGGTACCGAGTCTTCAGGGCACCTGCAATGAGGGCAATTGCAATTCATAGAAGCATGGAGTGTTTCATTTCAAGCGAAAAAAACCAAGTGACGAGCAACCTGAGGATTGCCTGAGGATTGAGAGTGTCGATCGAAAGGCGGTCCACCGCGGGGTCACAACAACCTGACCGCCAAGGCGCTTGTTTACTTTCCGATCCTCCAAACTCGGCTGTTTACGATCTCCATCCTCCCCCCCCGACCCTGTGCTTGCTTGATCATATAGCGCTTGGGGTCTGTGATTTTTCCTTTTGTACATTCTTGGATGCTCGTGTTTCTTTCAGATCGACATCCCTCTCCCTTGACCCCAGACTGAAACTGTCTGGGAAAGTCATTGATCTCTTTTGGGCACCAAAGTCCATACGGTAGGCTCAGTGGAATTCCATGTGGTCTCAGTCGCAGAGCGGTTATCTTCTTCGGTGCGCAGAGACCAGACAGTCACAGTGTGCTAATCGTACCCCCTTTGTAGTGCCAGAGATTCCTCCATTCTAGTGTCACAGTTCTCAGGTCATTCAGACGGCCGTCATGTCTGAAGACGACTTCTCAGCCCTGCCTCTGCCCGACCGGTTTGCGCACAAGGTTCGCTCTTCTCTGTGCATGGCGAAGACCCGTTCAACGTTACCGATCGCTGACATTTGATCGATCAATAGAACTGGAAGGTCCGTAAGGAGGGTTACGAGGATGCGAAAGCACAGTTTGAGAAAACCCCTGATGAATCCCATCCGGTTTTTGCGCCGTTCATCCAAGATCCCAGCCTGTGGAAAGCGGCTGTGGCCGATTCCAACGTCGCCGCACAGCTCGAAGGTCTTGCATCATACTGTTCATTCTTGAAATTTGGAGGCCCCCAGGCTTGCACAAGGTGTGTATCATACTCATTGGGTTTTCCCAGTTTGCAATGGGTATTGTGCCTCTTTACAGGCTTGCTGACGAAATCCCTCTTCAGAACCCGCGGACTCACGATCGGCCCGATCGCGGAGAAAGGTCTTCCGTGTGTACGACCAGCTGGTAAAGCCAGCGCACAGGAAGCTCTTTTGCTATGTGTGGAATTAGACAAAGCCGACCCCGTTATCGAAGAACTCCTGCCGACTCTCTCTCATAAAGTGCCCAAAGTGATTGCTGCTGCTTTGACGGCTTTAACCACCGTCTACCACAACTTCGGATGCAAGATTGTCGACCCGAAGCCTACCCTAAAAGCTCTTCCCAAGGTCTTCGGCCACGCAGATAAAAATGTTCGAGCGGAAGCACAAAACTTAACGGTGGAACTGTATCGGTGGCTCCGAGAAGCCATCAAGCCGCTTTTCTGGGCCGATCTGAAGCCAGTGCAACAGCAAGACTTGGAGAAGCTCTTTGAAAATGTGAAGCAAGAACCTGCGCCAAAGCAAGAGCGGTTAACTCGGGCGCAGCAAGATGCCATGGCCACGGCTAGTGAATCCCCGGCAGGCGAGGAGGGCGAAGAGCAGGGTGGTGAGGAATTTGGTGAAGATGATGGTGGAGAGGTCGATGCTTTCGACCTCGCGGAGCCGATTGATGTCTTTCCTAAGATCCCCAAAAACATCCATGAGCAACTAGGCTCCTCGAAATGGAAGGATCGGAAGGACGCCTTGGACGCTCTTCATAGCGCCATTAACGTGCCACGAATCAAAGATGGTCCCTACGATGAAATTGCCAGGGCGCTGGCCAAGTGCATGAAGGATGCGAACGTTGCTGTTGTCACTGTGGCAGCTAACTGTGTCGATCTGCTGGCCAAGGGCTTGCGCGGTGGATTTGTCAAGTACCGACCCACCATCATGGTGCCGATGCTGGAGCGCTTGAAAGAAAAGAAACAAACAGTGGCCGAGGCATTGGGTCAGGCGCTGGATGCTGTCTTCACATCCGCTGGTCTTTCGGACTGCTTGGAGGATATCTTGGAATATCTCAAGCACAAGAACCCGCAAGTGAAACAGGAAACAGTCAAGTTCCTGATCCGCTGTCTACGCACGACCCGGGAAGTGCCCGCCAAACCGGAAATTAAATCAATTGCCGACGCGGGCACCAAGCTGCTCACCGAGTCTACTGAGGCTATCCGTTCGGGGGGTGCTGAGATTCTAGGGACGCTGATGAAGATTCTTGGTGAACGTGCTATGAATCCGTACCTTGATGGCCTTGACGATATTCGGAAAACGAAAATCAAGGAATATTTCGAGACCGCCGAAGTCAAAGCCAAGGAGCGACCCAAGCCAATCGTCGGACCCCCCAAGGTCAAGGCTGCTGCCACCCCAGCCGTCGGCAAAAAGGTCGTGGGAGGAAAGAAACCAGCAATGGGTCTGAAGAAACCCGCACCTGCCGCCGCTCCTGCGGCGCCCCCTGTGGAAAGCTCTCCAACCAAGCCCGTCGCTAAAGCGATTCCTTCGAAACTGGGTGGGGTTCCAAAGCCCGGAGCACCCCCCGGAGCGGGACTCAAGCTTGGACGCAAGATCGCTGCCCCGGGAAGTGTCGCCTCGCCGCAGAGACGGGTCGCCTCCCCGCCGTCGGAAGAGGCTGCGCCCCCGCCAGCTGCTCCCAAATTTGGGCTTGGTCGCGGTCTTGCGGGTCGTCCCATTGCTAAACCTGCCGCGTCTGCTGAATCTGCTCCTGCCCCCGCTGCACCAGCAATGAGTGGAATGCCCGCTGCTGAGCGAGCTGAGCTGGAAGAATTGCGGCTAGAGAAGGAGAAGCTCAGCCGATCTGTTGAAGACATGAAGTCCGAGCGCACCAAACTCAACTCGCAGATTACGGAGCTTCAGAACCAGAACGCCCAGCTGATTGAGGACCACACTCGCGATGTCTTGAGCGTCAAAGCCAAGGAGACACAGTTGGTGCGGGCACGAAGTGATGCCGAGACTGCGGAGCAAAATGTCCACAAACAACAGAGAGAAATCGAACGATTGAAGCGGGAGTTGGCTCGGGCACTCCGTGCCTCTGCCATGAGTCCGGCCAACGCCGCATCCGACACTGCCAGCATGGGTATCCCAGATGCAGGTTCTGTTTACCCAGAAGCCGTCAGCAATGGCCACACTGCTGTGCCACGATCCGGTCTCCACATGGGCTCCCGGTTCGAGAGTGCGCGCCCTCAGAGCTATGCCTCCGCTAGTCCTAGCGAAGAGAAGGAAAACAACGGGCTGGAATCCCCAGGACTGAGCAGCCGCGACGGTAGTCTCGGCCGACGCAAGCTGAGCCCTACATATGGTTACTCGGCTGTGGGCAGCCCGACGCGCTCATCTACCCGAGGCTCCGGCAATCCCCCAGACGACGAACAGCAGCCCAGGTCTGCAGAGCCAGCGGAGAACTGGAAGCGGGCGGCTGAAGTTACCAGTCAATTAAAGGCGAGAATTGAACAAATGAAGGTGAGTTTGTACAGGTTGTCCTTGTGACTGGGCCACTTCTAACCTCGAAAATCAGGCAAGACAAGGACTTTCACGAAATCCCGCTCAACGTTAATGACCGAATGATTGCGAACATATTAATGCCCTCTGTCTTTTCTCCGTTGTACTCTTCTTGCACTGTTTCCTTGATTCTCTTTTTCCTTTCTCTGGGTGTCGTTAGAATGGGTCTTTTTTTGCTTAGTTTCTTCTTGACGTGTCCACATTATGTGGCTTGGTGATGAACAATATCTTATGGTCTCTGAAAACACTGGGCGGGGAATTCTTGGCTTCTGTACTTTTTGTCTCTTCATTGCCTTGCCGTTTGATCCTTTGATCCTGTAATTTCATCATACCAACTCTTGTTCCCCCCACCCTTCTGGTTTTTCTTTTCTCGTGAAAGGCCTGTCTTGCTGCGCCGACTCGCTGCTATCTCTGCATGGAGCTTAATTCATTGTCTTTCCACTTATTTTTTTTTTGATTTCATGGGGTGTTGATGTACAAAGCCTGCCCGGGAAATGGGCTGTCATAAGTGTTCTTTTTTTACTCTACTTTTCTTCGCCTCTTGGGTTGTTTTTTGGAATCTTTTTACAGGACTCGGGAATGCTCATGTCTTGCAGTGTGAATATTCGCTCGGTTTTGAAGCTGGCAGCATTTGAAGACCTGGTATATACATTGACGACAAGACTTTTCTTTTCAGGCATTCATACATCCCAGCCTATTCCAAATTCCTTACAATTCGTCCGAAAAGGTCTACCCGTGGCGTTAGGGAATGATTCTGGGAAATACATGCTTGTTAAGATGTAGTAAAGTGAGGTAAAGTGAGGTGAAGTGAGGTAAAGTGAGGAAATTGACTTTATTTCTCGGTTGGGCTTCACGGAATCGAACGAACATGTTGGTTGGATGTGGACCCTACCAAGCGAACTAATCGGCACGAGTTCGCACAGCCCATCTATAATTCCGTATACTTTTGAGATGAAAAAGCTACAGAATACTTAATACGAAGCAGACTGCATGAATGGCTATTTCTGTCTACATTCGAGGCCATGGCACCGCAGGCCAGGCGGGCACATTGAAGAGAAATGCATTCATGGGTATCTGCAAGAAAAGTGGTACATGAGGGCCATCGAGGAGTTCGTAAGAGAAAAAAAAAGTTTTTGCTTTTTTTTTTTGTTGGTGAGAAGTAGAGGACTCGAAAACAAGAGGGAATCAAGGACTCTTTTCTCACCCATCTAAAGCTAAAAAAAGATTTTGGCCGTCAACAAAGTCATCCGGAGCCTTGAAAACACCTTGCTTTTTTGCATTCCCTACTCTCAAAGAACAAAGCGCTTTTTGGAAGGGTATCCCAGTCGGACATCAAGAGGTTAAGTCTCGGGAAGACGAGCTTAGACCTTGATGGCGGCCTCGAAGGCCTTGCGCTTCTTCTCCTGGCGGGCGTTGGCCTTGGCGCCCATGATACCACCACCCCAGTGGCGGCGGGTCTCCTCGTACTTGTCGGTGTAGCCCTCCTTGATGGCGGACAGCAGCTTGGCGAACTCCGACTTGTCCTCAGAGCGGACCTCAGTCAGGGCCAGGACGGCAGAGGTCTGAGGGGTTGAGTTAGAACATGGGTGACAAAACAAGACTCAATGAAAAAAGTAGTGACATACCTTCTTGTGGACAACAGTACCGAGACGGGCCTTGCCCTTGACGATGGCGTAGGGGACACCCATCTTACGACACAGAGCGGGCAGGAAGACAACCAGCTCAATGGGCTCGACGTCGTGGGCGATCAGGACCAGAGAAGCCTTCTTGTTCTCAACCAGGCCGACGACGTGGTTGAGACCGTACTTGACGTGGTAAGGCTTCTTGCTGACGTCCTCCTTCTTCTTGCCCTCCGAGACGGCGGTGGCCTCCTGGAGGAGACGGTCCTTCTTCTCGGCCTTGGTCTCAGGGCGATACTTGCTGAGGAGCTTGAAGGTCTGGGCAGCGGTGTTGCGGTCCAGGGTGTTCTGGAACTGCGCGATGGCCGGGGGGACCTTGAGGCGCATGTTCAGAATCTTCTTCTGACGCTGGAGGCGGACATATTCGGGCCACTTGACGAAGCGCGACAGGTTGCGCTTGGGCTGGATGTCCTGGCCGATACCGAAGTTGCGGGGACGCTTCTCGATGAGAGGGTTCTATGAGACAAAAGTCAGCATCCCCCAAGAATTCTCTTTTTACAAGACACCTCCCGGGTGGAAAGAGAGAAAACGAACCTTGGCCTGCTTCTTGCCAGCACCAGCCTTACCCTGGGGGTAGGGCATGGCGGCGGTCTTCTTTCCGGACTTGGGAGGCTATCATTGAGAAAAAGAAGATCAGCCATCTACTCCTCCTAGTGCTGTATCTTCTTTGAACTCTATGGATGACATGAGCCAGGCCGTGTTACGGGCCTGATTCATGTCTCCAGCCAAATCATCGCGTCTGCCCACATCTCTTTCGAAATGATGTGCAATCGGCGGAACTGCTTCGATACTTTGCGATCTGAAGCCAGACAAATTGTCTCACGACATCGCGGAAGTAGTCGAAGCCTCTGCGATGTTGAACAGAAGGCTTTAGGTGCTTACCATTGTCGTCGACTGGGGTTGGCGGCGCTGGTTGACGGTTGACGGAAGGGAAAAAAGAAAAGCTTCTGGCGCGGATCTTATGAATTTGTCGTGGGTCTGTGGACACGTGATGCAGGGTTAATCGCTTAGGGCTAAGGTATCATGTGAGAGGTCTACTAGTCACATGATCGAATATTGGCATCTTGTACCGAGTATACTTAAGTACTTGCAAGCTGATGTTACCGGAGTTGCTTTGTTATGCTGTTTTAGTATACGCAAGGTAGTAGTGGATGTCAGGGTGTCATGATTCAACCCAATGTCTCAATTTTCAAAGATTGACCCAATATTAGCTCAAGCTATCGCTGACCAACTAAGGTAGAATGGCCATGGCCGAGTGCGCCGGGCACGAAAAATGTCTATGTATAACCAGAACGCCCTAGCATAGAGTAAAAAGCGTGCACATTCGTCAAATTCTCTGCTCTGTGTAGGGTAACAGAGCTGTGGTTGTGTCTATCACCGCCACGCGCCCAGTCCCGGAAGCGCCCCGCGACCAAGACTTGTACTCGCAGCTTGGACGGCCTTCTTTTTGCCCAGCGATCCCTCCTGATTGCGCACTCCTGCCATAATCTTGTCTATGTTGGTCTCAATCACGACACCACCGACAATCATCTCGCCCAGCACAGCGTGCATGGTCTCGTAGCCGAAGATAAGGTCCAGCTCACACACGTTCTCGAACATACGGTCCAGCGCCTCGACAAATACCTGAATGAGATCGATGAGAGCTAGCGGCGACTCAGTCGATGTAGAGATCATGATGAAGGACAATGTTGCGTAGGTGCGATAGGTGATCTGGGTTGGGGCATCGGATGGGCCATGCACGGAGGAGCTCGCGCCTCGCGAGAGAATAGGAGGGAGAGGAAGGAAGTTGCATGCGCTGGGTGGGCGCTGCGAGACGAGGTGATATATTTGCGCGATGAGAGACTGCTGCGTTTGGGTGTCCTGGTTGCCGACTTGTCAGCTGCTTTCCACGAAGGTGGGGGGAGTGGTTCAGGATCAGAACGCACCAGCTGCGTGTAGAACTTGGTCAGCCGTGGCTGCCCATTATTATTGAAGACCAGCACGGCGTTGATCATTTCGCTGGATGGAGAGCAAGAGTCAAGCGAGTTGAGCAGAGCGCATGCCGATAAATCGAGATAAGCAGAGCTCGGCCTGGCTCGGCCGACTTGCCCCGTGCGCCGAGCGAGAATCTGGAGAAATCGCCGGTTTGTCGCTTGTTCCTGATCAGCTTGAACTCGCTCGCGACATCGACAGAATGCTTTTTTACAGGGCACCGAAGCCCAACCTGCGATTCTACGCGACAAAAATCCCTCCGGCATCATCCACACCCAGTCCTTCCAATCCAAACAAGCGCCAACCCCAAGACCTTACGCCTTCTGACCTCTGTTCTTACTGGGATACAAAACCCCCCAATGACGCGCAATTGACCTTCGCCAACAAGTTATTCACTCCCTCCAACCACGGGCCTATCAAGCTCTGGTCCGCCAGCAAATTTCGCACAACACCGCTCTCCTCAATAACACCGGAAGTGGCCTTCCTAGGTCGGTCAAATGTCGGGAAGAGCTCGCTGTTGAACGCGATCATGGGCCGAGAAATGTGTTGGACATCTTCGAAACCAGGTCGGACGAGGGAGATGAACGCATTCGGCATTGGAGGCACCAAGAGCGGGGAGTCGAAGGTAGTGCTACTAGATATGCCGGGGTACGGCAAGTCCAGTCGACCAGAATGGGGAATGGAGATTATGAAGTATCTCCAAGGACGAAAGCAGTGAGTTATTGGATTCTATATGTGACCCCAGGATGTTTCACTGACCAAATACAACCCCAGACTGCGCCGAACATTCGTCCTCATCGACAGCCTCCACGGCATCAAGCAAAACGACGCGGATATTCTCAGTCTTCTCCGAAGCTATGCTATTCCACATCAAATAATTCTTTCCAAAGTTGACAAGGTCCTTGCCAAGAAGAAGTCCCAAATCAAATCTGGAGTGTCGGCATGCAGCATCCAGCAGCTTCAGAGCATGCTCCAAGACCTTAAACCTACTATCCAGCCAAACCGGCGGGTCTCAGAAGGCCCCGGTGCTTTGGGGGAGATTTTGACGTGCGGTGCCGAAACGTTGATTGGCCCTGGTCAGGCCTTAGGAGTCAGTGCTGTTCGCTGGTCAATCTTGTCCGCGGCTGGACTTGACGGAAGCTTAGAGCAAGCCAACATCGCTCCCACACCTGCGCCTGAATTTCCAGCCGCATCGTCATGAAGTGCAAGTCTGGGGAGAGAACTTGTCTTGTCGAGTATAGCAGCTGATCTAGTGCGCCAAACACAGAACATTTCTGGCGGTGCCAGCTCCCGCCCCGGTCTTCTGGTATCACTGCAGCTGAAGATGGCAGATGCAGCCATACAACCGAGGCGTGGTATAACAGCTGCGCCCTTCAGGTTATGGCAGGGAAATTCGAGGTACCATCTCAAAATACCCGAGAGATATATATATTCCACTCTTTCCCGATCATATCTGGCACCGGTCCGTGGGGAACCGAAATTATGTTCGACGAAGTGCTTGCATGACATCTTTGCATGGCAAATATCGCCCTTTGCTACCCTCGAACTGGCCATAGTAGCCCAGCTCGTTGGAATCGATCTTTTGAAGATTCGAGGGCGTTGCATTCTTGCGATTAGGGCAACAAGGATACAACTCTGAGACTGGGCATTGCAATGCCGGCGAACCCTTTCCTCCTGGCCTGGATGCTAGCTAGTTTTAATAGTTTTCTCCAGACCAAGCTTATGCTCTCGTCATCCCAGTTGATTCTTCTACTCCAACCCCTCAAAGGTTCCAAGATTGTCAGTCACGTAGTAAGCATAGTCTTACAAGTGAAACCAGCTCCGCTCTGTCGGTATATATAGGACACTGGGTATATAGACTCGCGGATATCCCTGAGTCACATCTTTCTGCTACTCAACTCATCTATTTGCCATGGCCCAAGCAACACGTTTAGTCCTCTTCCTCATCACTCTCCTCCCTGGGATCCAGGCAGGGCTCTCCTCACCGTCCTGCCGCTGCTTCCCCGGGGACGCATGCTGGCCATCAGTCAAGCAATGGAGCGACTTCAATGCCACTATCGGCGGCAGGCTGATCTCCACAACCCCCCTCGGCAGCGTGTGCCACACGAGCAAGGCCTTCGGCGCTTACGACGCCCGTGCCTGCGCCGATTTAAAGACCGTCTGGCCCCTCCCGGCCACGCATTACGAAACCGCCTGGTCCCCGATGCAAGCCTGGTTCACGAATTTCTCTTGCAATCCCTTCCTGCCGCCCGACGCCCCCTGCACCACAGACCCGTTCGTGCGGTACGCAGTGAATGTCAGCTCGGCAGTTGACGTGCGCAAAACCCTCGCCTTCACGTCGCGCCACAACATCCGTGTCGTCATCCGCAACACCGGCCATGACTACCTGGGCAAATCGACCGGCCCCGGCGCCGTGGTCCTGTGGACCTACCATCTGAAACATATGGAGTCCCTGCACTATACCTCCCCCGTTTACTCGGGCCCCGCTATGCGCGTCGGCGCAGGCGTCCAGGGCTTCGAGGCTATGGCTGCTGCACATGCGCGCAACAAGCTCATCCTCACGGGCAACTGTCCTACTATTGGCGTCACTAGTGGCTACAGCCAGGGTGGCGGTCACGGCCAGCTTGCGTCGCTGTTCGGCCTGGCTGCGGACCAAATACTCGAGTGGGAAGTTGTCTCCGCTGCGGGTGAGCTGCTGACTGTCTCGCCTGAGAAGCACCCAGATCTCTACTGGGCGCTTGCAGGGGGAGGCGGAGGGACCTATGCCGTGGTTCTGAGCGGCGTCGTCAAGGTGTACCCCGAGCGGCGCACTGCTACGGCGACCCTGACGTTTGATGGGTCCGAAGTAGATCCCCGCGTCTTCTGGGATGTGATTCAACACTTCGTCGTGGCCGTTCTCCCTGTCGTGGATGCCGGGGGCGTGGCGGTCTGGGCGGTCATCGAGGACTCGTTCAGTGTAACCCCCATCACGCTGCCGGGTGGCACGAGGGAACAGCTGCAGAGTCATCTGCAGTCGACGGTGGAGCTGTTGAAGCGGCACAAGATTCCATACGGTATGAAGCCCCATGTTGACCCCTGGAACCACGGATACGAAGGGACTGACTGACGCATGCAATGCAGAATACGACATCCAGGAGTTTCCTACTTTCTTCAATAGCTACCAGAAGATGAACCCGCAGAGCAATATCACCGATGCCCAGCTGGGGGACGATTGATCCCGCGCTCGACAGTGAACCACAACGCCACCGCTCTCTTCTCCGCGCTCCGGAGCATCGCCGCAGACGACGCTGTGATATCAGGCATCTCCATGAATGTATCAAGGACACAGCCGCCTAACAACGCAGTCAACCCGGCGTGGCGCAATTCCGCTATCTCCGTGACACTAGGAACGTACGTGATGCCTTTCTGCGTGGCGTAACCTGACTGCTCTTGATCATGGACCTCAGCCGAACTAACTGAACCAGGACATACAATTATACTGACCGCGCTGTCGATGTACAACGCCAAGAGCTAATGACAAAGGAACTCCTCCCTCGCCTCGAGCTTCTCACACCTGGGAGTGGTGCGTACCTGAATGAAGGAGACTTCAACCAGCCGGATTGGCAGCGGGTGTTTTACGGCAGAAACTACCCCCGGCTGGAGGCCATCAAGGTACGGTATGACCCGCGGGATATGTTCTATGCACGCACGGCCGTGGGCAGTGAGCGATGGGTGGAGCGGAAGGATGGAAGATTGTGTCGGCGTGGATCTGGGATATGATTGATAGCCATACGTGTCGAGAGGATATGGAAGTAGGATGCAACTCGAAGACTGGACTTAGAACACGAGTTCAGTAGGGACATAACAAGGTGAAATGAAAATTGTCTATAAGAAAGAGACATGAGTCTCATGGATTCATCAAGACTCGATTTGAGAAGGAAAAACAAACAGAAATAATAGAAAAGAAGAAAAAGAAAAAAAAGATATAAAAAGGGGAGGGGCCTAGAGGCCTCGGCGCCTCTAAACCCTTCCCCTCCCCCTCTTGGGTTCGTACCAAGGACCACCCTCGGCCTGCGAGAACTTGGTGTACCGGCTCCCCCTTTGGGGGATGGTGGTGCACCATATCCGCTAGGCTACTAGTCCCTGGTTCGTGACTGGAGGAAGGTTACCAAGAATATAAGGGAGCAGGAGCAAACAATTGCCTAATCGGGAAGGATGTCTCATCCATGGATATCAGGCTACGACAAAGTCACCTGATGCTCGGGTGTTCTTCCTGAGGAACCAGCATCAGAGATGGGATGGGAGATATTGAAGATGGATGTTACTATAATGGGTTTATGTGTGTGCTGTAGAATAAGGGTGGTTTATTGAGAGGATCTAATCTAGTTGATATGACCAACAGCCAAGTTCAGCCCTACTTTTCAAACACTCATATATGTTTATCTTATATGGTCAACTTGCAAGCTTTACACTCCCCGAATAATATCTGCCGCCCGCTCAGCCACCGCATACACAGCCGCCAGAGGATTCGCATGAGTGATAAGCGGAAAGATACTCGCATCAAAAACGCGCACATTAGCCGTCCCATACACCTAGAGCTCTTGATCAACAACACCTCCAGCCTCACGAGGAAGCATGGAAGTTGTCCCGCACGAATGATGCGTCGTGAAAGCCATAGACTCACACAGCCTCATCCTGATAGTGTCCAGATCAGGTGGTGCCGACTCTGAATGAAGGAAGTCCTGCCGAGCTGGGGCAGAGATCAGACGATACAAGTTCTGGGTATGGCGGGCCAGGATCTCGAGGTCGAGATCGTGCGCGAAAAAGCGCGGGTCTATGGTTGGTTTGACGTCTGCGTCTGCGGATGAGATGTGTGTGCTTCCTCGCGAAAATGGGTAGCTGGGAATGATGGCTAGAACGGCATTGTTTCCGGGTGCCGTACTCAGGAGCAAGAACGCGGAGGCTTCGTCGGAGCTTTGGTTGATCGACTGGATAACCTTCTCGAAGGAGCTGTCGGAGCCGGTGGTCGAAGTCAGAAGCTACTTTGTTCCTCTGGATCCAGTCGTGCAAAGGCCTTGGCTTTAATATAGGCCGTGAGGTCTTGAAGGTCTGGTCGAGACGCCAGTGGCACGGGCAAGATTCCCATGACATGGTTTTGCAGATTTTCTCCCACGCCGGTGTGGTCCAGCACGACCGGAATACCCAAAGCACTCAGCCGGTCTTTGGCACCCACACCCGAGATCTCGAGCAGTTTCGGGGTGTGAAAAGCGCCTGCCGCTAGGATTACCTCTTTGGCAGCCTTCAACGTAGCGGTGCTTCCATTCCATTCAACCTCCACGCCAGTTGCAGAGATATTCCCCGAACCAGAGTCAAACAGAATTCTGTGCACTGTCACATCGGTCACGATAGTCACGTTTGGTCGACTGGAGGCGACTGTGCCGTATTCACCTTCGGCACTGCTGGGAAGACCAGAGATTGGGTCAACAGTCGCCGCATACGGACGCGTGCTAACGGTCCTGTCCTCAGCGAACAAGTCGGTGGTATACTCGCAGCCCAGGTCCTTGAAAGCATCATTCCACGCCTGGATCAGCGGATGGTTTCATTCCTCCGAAAGAAAAGGGTACGTTAATTGAATCGGGCCGTTGATTGTTGAATTGCGCCGATCCGCTTCCTGACCACCACCACCACCACTACCAGACCCCGGCTGCCCGGATGGGGAGAGAGTATATGACTTCTGGAGATACGGCCGCAGCGATGCCCAGTTCCATTCTGGGTTCCCCAGTTTCGCCCGGGCATCTATTCCTGCTGGGGATGGGGGAACGAAGATCAGTCCGTTGATGGCTGAGCATCCGCCCAGTACTTTCCCGGCGGAATGGTCCTGGCTGCGATTATTCAGTCCTGGCTGCAAAAAAAGGGCGCTCACAGTTAGTTTTGCCCTTCCCGTCCCCCCCTTTTTCAGGTCTTAGAGTAGCACATACTTGCGGAAGAGTCTCCAGCTGCCAGTCCAGCTCCGAGCCGGTCAATGCATACCAGCCATTTGGATTCTATACCTGTGGATCAGTGATGCGGTTGGGACCACTCTCCAGCTCGATAACTTGCGTGTTAGGTAAGGTCTTCAGAGAGTCGGCAGGCGACGACCAGACCGGCAGTGCCTCCGCCTACAATGGCATAGTCAACAGATGAAGGGAGGGTGGCAGACATGGTGGGGATGTATGGATATGTATAATAAGCTAACAAGATTTAGACAGTTGAAGCCAACAAGCAGGCTGACCTTATTTCATAGATTAGGGACTGTTATTCCTCTGCCCCAGCAGCTACAGGAGACTAAGTCAAGGCTTTGGCGCAAAGTATGATTTTGGCCGACAGGATTTGACTGCAGTCCCTAGCTTTCAAGAGGCACATAGTCAGATATTACAACAGAAAAGAATGACCGATATCATAGTGAATCTAATTACAATCAAATCACACAAGGTATGAACTTGAATTTGCCTGGCGTCGCAACACAACGGAAGCCAGGATCGCCGACTTAATGATCACACAAACGCCTCACAGACATAATGAGATACAGAAGGAATGGCAAGAGAAAGAGAAATGAAAAAGATACTCGTAGAGACAACCGATGTAAGAAAATAAAAGAAAATCAGATAAACGCCTTCCCTCCCACCGTAATGCAGCATGTTCAAGAGAATGCCGGCCGCGCTATGCAAAGGGTGTCAATGGAAGACAAAGAGCCATAAGGATGGGTATCGTGAATGGGAAACAATGGGGTAGACATAGGAAAATTGAGAGACAGGGGACATAAGAAAGGATGAATAGGGGTATGTCGATCATGAATAGTCGGTTTCAAGTGATGGCGAGGTTTATTCAGACATGTCATCGACGGCGCTGGGCAGGATCTCCCGACCTCGCCGGTTGACGACTCGACGGTGCCCGAGTTTATTGACAGATACTCCGTCCCGTGCTGCGCCGAAATCGAGAACCTAAAGTAATGCCGTTAGAGGAAGCAATTGAAAGCCGACTCGGAGATGACTTACTTCAATGTAGGTGAGGTTGTCGCGTTGCACGGCAGCAACGCACTTTCGGTTGTTGAATCTGACTTGCCACACGCCGCTGAGGTCGGTGAGAAGGTCTCGGACACACTGCCCGGTGGTCACATCCCACATTTTCAGGGTCCGGTCCGACCCCGAGATGACTTTCTGTCCGTCATGCTGAAAACACGTGATGGCCCCAGTGTGTGCACTCAGCTTGTACCTGCAGTGGCCATGTTCGGGATCCCAGATGCGGAGCGTGGAGTCTGCGGCGGCCGAAACCAGGAAATCACTTTCCAAGGCAAGCAAGCCGACGAGCGAGGAGTGGCCTTCAAGGTTGTAGAGCACTGAACCATCGTCCAGCGACCAGACCTTGACCGTATGATCCATGGCGCCACTGATGCAGCGGTTGCGCTTGGGGTCGAGAACCACACTATACACTTTCATGCTGTGGCCTTGCAAAGTATGCAGGGTCTGTCCGGTGGAGATTTTCCACACCTTTACCGTGCAATCGTAGCTGCCGCTGACAAGAGTGTCGCCATGTGCTGCAATGGCACGAACGGAATGATGATGGCCCGGTAGCACGCGAACAAAGTATGGACATTCCGTGTCATCCAGAAGAGGTCCGGTTTGATAATAAACGGGGTCTCCCGGCTTCGGGAGCTTCCACACTCGCAGATTGGAATCACGAGATCCAGTGATGATCAACGGCTGCTTGGGCATGATTTCAGGATGGCCATTTGCATCCTGACCGATTTCGGTGGGCAAGAGAATCTGCAAGCATCGGACAGTCGAGGTATGGCCGTGAAAGACCTGGGTGCATCTGGCCTGTTCAATGTCCCAGACTCGCACCGACCGATCAGTAGACCCGGACACCAAAGTATTGCCATGATACTCAAGAGCCCAGACACCACCTTCATGACCCTCCAGCGTCGCCTTCAGTGCACCGGTCCTAGTGTCGTACACATTGATATTCGTGTCATCACTTCCCGTCAAAATCTTGTCGGCATCGAACTGCAGACATGTCACTACATGGCGGTCGTGAGCACGGAAAGCGATGTGCTGGGGCTTGAGTTCCGGTTGCATCCATCCCTTTCGCATAGCATGGTGTCGGCGATAAAGAGACTTGAACAGATAAAGTCCGCGGAGGGATGGCAATCCGACATCGGGATAAGGTACAGCGGCGGCAGCGGCGTTGGCAGCAGCGTAAGGAGCTTCCGACGCAGCAACGCCCTTCTTCCAATCGGGCTCGGTGTATCCGTTCGTGCTGGATGAAACCTTCCGCTTAGCAAGTTTACGGCTCGAGGCGCGCGTGTTTGCCTTCCGCTTGGGTCGCCGATTCAGTGAAAGCGATGGCAGTAGAGCCCTCTCACTCGGACCAGATGGTGACAGAGCTGGAGATGTCTCTTTGTCCGCGCTGGTCGGTGACAGCACGCTAAGATCCTTTTCGTGGCCATCGGTTCCACTAGGGAACTGCCAGCCCCAACCCTCTCGAATGGCCTGATCTAGCTCGCCGTCTGAAAGAATGTAACCATCACGTTCCAAAAGTTCCTTCCAGGTCTTCTCATCCGAGTTAATTATATGTCTCCACTTCTTGGACACCTGTGCCGCGCGGCACATGGTCTGAACATCAAGATATTTGACGATGTTGAGGCTGAGCTCCAGAGGCAGCAAAGCAAGGAAATCACATTTCAGAGTTGGGTTGACCACTTCGGCCACGAAATGGAGAGTAGGTTTGGGACATCGTCGAAGGAACTGGTACATGAGATAGGTTTTCAACTCTTCAGGGACCGAATCGAAAAACTCCAGCACTTTGGGCATGTCCATAAGGGATGGCGAGGATATCTTTTTGGCCCGAGATCCCACATCTTGCAATCGATTGCTCTTCGGGAGACGCGAGACACTGTGATCGAGACTCGAGTCCGTATCGACGTCGAGGCCTTCAGACTCAAATGAGGACTCGCCATGCAGAGCATTCATCGCGGTAACTGGGGATAGACTTGGGCTCGGAAGGCACATATCCTGCGCCATCACATTATCAATCGCTGAACGTTGGGAGTAAGGTTCCGGCCTCTGCGGCTCGGTAGGTGCATTATTCGTGTCCTCGGGCTCGTTGAAAACCATCGCCTTGTCGCCGATCTTGAATTTCAAGTTCCGCAACGATGTCGGGGTGGGGGACATTGCGAGAGGATAGCGCCGAGTATCCAGATTCCTGACCGCACGCGGAGGCCGCACAACCAGGGGTGGAAAGGTGGTCGTCGTAGTCGTGGTGGTGGTTACCACCGTGGTGCGGGTGGCAGGAGCCATGGCAAACTGGCCGAGGGCACTCGATGGCCCGGAGCCCGAGTCATCTCTTTCTGGCTCCTCCATGTCGCGTTTTCGGGGTCGGACGAGACGAGACTCGGTGGGGATTGTATGAGAGGATGGTGATGCAGAGAGAGACGCGCTTTGATCGGGAGCTGATGAGTGGACTTGAGTGATTTCGATAGAACTGGGGCCGTCGAAAGACATGGTCACGGTCTAGTTGGGGGGAGCGAGAAATCCAGCAAAACGCCCCGTCGACACGAGTACGTCTGCAAGAGCACACAGAAGAGAAACGCTTAGAACATGGCCACAAAGGAAGGGGATGAAACCAAAGTAAGGACGTTCGAAGGGAAGGGGAGAAAGAGTGGCGGCTGACAAGGGAGTTGGGGCGGAGAACAACAATTAATCCGGGCCGGGCATTGCATGTCATCGTCTCTTTTTTTTTCCCCTCGTTTTCCCTCAAACTGTTTCTTTCTTCTTTCTCCGTTCTTCGTTCTTCGTTCGCTGTTCTTTCTTTTATTTCAAAGATAACTATCTCGACTCAAAATCAGGCGAGTTTGTGTCTTTACATTTGCTTCTCTACATTTGCTCGGAAAAACTTATCGGCCTCGGGTATCCCCCGACCGAAGTTGTAGGAAGGCCAGTTTCGCATCCCCCAAAAAAAGTACCTTGAGAGTCTGGAGTTTCTCAGAGAACTTTGAATCCGGAAACTGGCCCTCCAGACTTGGTGGATTCTCTTTGACAGAACCGGTTGTGCTCTTTCAAGTGGGGATCCCGCGGACTATGACATCGTGGATCTTGGTTCTGAGCAAGTAGGAAGTGGCGAACCATCCTGAATCACCAGCCACTCCATCTTTTTTGGATCCTCTTTCTTTGAAGGGAAATGTGAAATGTTCACCAGACTCGCCACGGATCACGTGTGGTGGGGGCGTTCTTGAACCTGCACCAGTATCTGTATCGGAGAGAATATATATATATACATACATACATATATATATATATATATTTCAGTAGTAACAGGTATTAAAAGTGTCTAGAAGTACTGTTCATTTCAATCCGAGAATCAAGTTGATTCTCGCCTTTTACTTAGTTTTCCTTGGCACCATATCTTCTTCCTGTAGAGGTATAACTTTGCACTAAGCATGTTCGCCAAGCCCTCATAGCAGATTGTCCGCTAACATCGATGTCGCCTGATAGCGTTGGTGTCTCGAGATTGTCCAACAACCCTTATAGTGAGCGTAAAAACAACAGTTCAATATTACAATTAAATTGAATTGAAACAGCAGGAAAGATCCAGGTTGAGCTATGTAAAAGAGCCTGTATGTCCAAGGATGTAAAACTAGGGCTTGCTATATCCCAAAATGGAAGTCCATGTTGAACATATGTCCTTGTATCGCTGGAACTTCCTTTCTTCTAAATTTTGATACTGACAATTATTTTTCTATTTTTGATCAATCTGGCTGCACGAAGCGAAAAGGCTAAATGCTATATTATTAGGCACAGTTCATTACCTATCACCCTATTTTGCCAACATGACCGAGCTCCATGATTCGAGTTTCTCTCGCGAGCGCTGTGTTTATTAACACCGTCTATCTTCTGCGCTATTATCAATACTGGAAGATCAGGGCTACGTGCCGTCAATCCCCTTGATTTCTTCTTTAGGTGCATGGCGTACCTTACCAAGTTCGGCAAGCGAAAAGAAACTGGCAATGGGGAGGGATCCTCTGCGCCGCCTGAGATTCGATGCCAGTGTGGCGACAAGTCGTACGGCGAGCAGGCAATGGTAAGAATGACATTGATCTTTGAAACCTTTCCCTTGGAACCTATGTTCAATCAGATCTAATCATCGTTGTAACAGATCAAGTGCAATTTCTGCTTTACGCTGCAGCACTGGGAATGTTACGGCTACAATGCCGAAGACGACTACCGCATCCCCGAACTCCACGCCTGTTACGACTGTCTGGTCCCATCGATGATGCCCGACAACCCGGGCCTCCTCGCAGAAATGACCAACGTGGTTCTGTTGCGTAAGGGTGTCGCGCTCATCCTCAAGGAGGGTGTTTCGAATCTGAACTCGACTTTTGCCGAGAAGCTTCGTATGGAATCTTTCCCTTGGGACTTGTTACTTTATATGTGGATACGCTTCTTAACTCTTTTGCAGACTGCACCGAAGAGCAAGCCCGAGAGATCGTCTACCGACTGCGCAAAGAATACCTTCTGACCCCGACACGCGGCTGGAATCTTCCTGGCTTCTGGACACAACAGAAGCCCAAGTTCACTTTCGTCAAGAGCCTGCAATCGGTCCAGTGGGTGGTCAGACATGTCTTGGACCCCATGCTGCACATCAAGGACTGCGTAAGTTGTTTCTCTAGATATTTCTTTGTGGATGGATCTAACCCATGGAATCGACATCGCAGTACGAAGCACCCAGTCCCGCGCAGCGATGGGAATGGAACAAGGCCAGGAGACGGGCCGAGATGGAGGAGACGCTGAAGCGAAAGCGTGACAGCGATGAAAGCGCCGAGTCATCTGAGTCGCCCGAGCATCCGTCCAAGAAGGCCCGCACCGAGGAGACTAAGGAAGCTTCGCCGGCGAGACGTACGACGCCTCACTCTCGCCTCTCGCCTCCGTCACAAAGCCACAGTCCCGCTGATCCCGCCGCGAAAACCGAATGAGTCGGTGACAATTTCCATCTTCATGTTCATTTTCATTTTCATCCTCATGCTCGTTCTCATGTTCGTTTTGATTATTATCTTTTTATCAATCGCAGTGACTTGCCCCAGTCGCTTGCAAAGCATGTACCATCCTGAGAAGAAGAAAACAGGAAGAGGGAGGAGGGAAGGGGAAAGAGTGGGGGAATGCACATCACCCTGGCAGTGATCAAAGTTTGTACATACAAGTGTCAATGTACGCAAGGCCAACCCTGGCCCCAAAATCAGGGGTTTCCATCACCAGAGAAAAACAACCCCAAATACATAATGCCTGGAGAACCGCAATCCATGGTCGAGTCTGGAGAAGAGTCATGTCCGCAAATCAAACTCGAGGAACAGACACGGCAGAGAAGGGATCTGCGCGATCTGCACGAGAGGCAAAAACCAGGAGAGAAAAGAAGAAAGCTGGGAGAAATACCAGACTGCCAGAATCCTGGAAACTGGAATCGCACTATTGTTATTCGAGGCGACTATTGGGACATAGAAACACGTCAGAATCCGCGTATTTGGGACCATTGCCACTGGAACGTGGAGATATCCAAGTCGTGCAGGTCGTTGAACCTTTTTTTTTCTTCTTTTCTCGGGTTGACTCGCAGAAAAAGAAAAGAAAAAGGAGGATTGCAAGAAATAGGAGACACGCAAGTAACTCCGACTGATCGGGTCCATAGATCTGGTCTATCTGGGTTATTATTATCGACACTATATACACTATTCTTCCTTGTGGCCTTAGGGTTATTCCTCTTTCTCTCCCTCTCTCCCCGGGCTGTCAGAGCCTGGTTCTTGCCGTGGGTCAGAGACGCGCCACACTGGAGACACGACAGGATCTCGCTCTCGATCGGAACTATCGGAGATCTGCGGGCTTGTGTAGAGCCTAGGGGCAAGTAGCCACACCATTGGACCTGATTCTGTCACTTGGGCACCCGGACATTAAAAAAGAGACAGACATCGACAGTGTGCTCAAGGCGCATATCGACATGTTCCGGGGGCAAATCAAATCCCAAGCCATGAACAAGCCCACGGAATTCGTCAGTAAGAAAGGGAAAAAGGGATCTGTGGGCATATTTGTCACAGTGGAGAGCCGATCCCGTCAATAATCACCGACTATGCTCCATAGTTCCTGGAATAGCGCAAGATCGATTCTGCAAAATCAAATTAGCCCACGTTTTTATTTATTTTCCTTTCTCCTTTTCGCCCCTGGATACCTTTTCCCCGGGGGCTTTCAGGGTCTCTCACACGTGTGAACCCTGGATTATTCAGGGGTATGCGCCACATCTATACAGATGGCATGGTAAATGGACGGCCCTTTTCCTCGGTAAACATACGTGAATAGCTGATAGTTAACATCCAAGTGATCCATGGCACACTGTGAACCACACTTGCTTCTCAACTGGCACCCTTGCCAATTGGTCTGGTGGGGGGACGTGCCTGTCGATTCCTACTCTTCCAGGCCATACTCAGGGCCATCCCCCCCCAGTAGCTGAGGTGGAAAACAGCAGTGGCCACTCCTCCGCCTGATTTAATTGAGACCGTGGCGTCTTCAGCTCCACTCTTTTTCTCTCTTCGAAGGAGGGATGGTCAAAGTGTAAAAGACGACAGGTGGGTCGCCCCTTTAAGCGTCCCGATTGTGTGAAGTCCCGAGAATCGATCGAAGTGACGCCTATTAGCACGGCTCATCTCCCTTTCTTTTTTCTTTTTCCCCCCCCCAAGAAACACCTCTCGCCTGTGTGTACAGGGATCTGGGGGACATCATCTGACTTCAAAGAAATACCCTGGTCGTGCTCCCCCTCTCCCGTGTTTCCTGTCGCCTGCAATCACGGGAAAACTGGGAAAAAGTTGACAGTTTGCCGAGTCCCGCTCGGGTTTCACGGTACGTGGTCCACCGCGAACATATCGCCCGCTTGTTGGTGCTGGCGTGGTGTAACTGACCATCTTGCAGAGTGAACCAGATCGATTGAGGGAAAACGAGCGATACTTGAGATCCTGGAGATACTGGAACCTCCGGGGGACCCGCAACGTTTATAACCAACTTGGGTTGCTCTGCGACATCCCAGGAATTTCCAGGGTCGCAACGTACAGAAGTTCGGGGCAATTGGACTGCCCCCAACATCCCCGATCCTTTGACCATGGCGCCCCCCGAACAATCTCCCATCCACGTGCCGCTCCGAACGTCAAGTCTCAATCCAATTCGAAACCGCAGCGCACAATGTCAAGAGGACGTGAAGATCCCCCAGCGAAAGGCGTCCAAAGCCTCGCGGATCTTGGGGACAGACCTGTCAGTCCCCAATGAGCATGGCCGTTGGCACGAGCCTCGGAAAACTCGACCCAGTCGAACGCCCGACAGCGCCCCGAAGCAGAACACTGGCTTAGTTCCGTTTCCGACGTCAACGAACGATGCAAGACCCCCTCACCAAAACCTTCGCGTGCGTGCCTCATCTCCTTTGCTGGGCCAGAATTATCACTCGCACCCCGCGCCGCCTCTCTCCAAACCCTCCAAGAAAATCCACCAGTCTGGCTCTTCGTCTACCCTCTTCTCCTATTTCAGCTCCAAGGAATCGTCCAAAATGAATACTCAGAACCAAGGGCTGCAGCCTCAAGTGCAACATGAACTTCACGCTGAGCCCCAGGTCACATTCAAGCAGCCTCGTGGTCCAATGAAGGAGTCCAAGCGAAAGATGCGACCTCCGCGCATTGATCTGTCTCTGCTCTTCCCGAAGCCTCGAAACACTGGCCCGCCTCCTCCTTTACTTTCCCCGCAACGAATGACCTGTTCCCCATCGCCGGTCTCGACGGTGGTTCCCGATTACCCTACCACAAAGATCGAACGGCCGCCCAGCCCCTCGGCTAACAGGAGATACACCGAAGCGACCTCCCATCCCCATGCATCATCTACAAAAGACGACAGGCGCCAGCACTCCCGAAAGCCAGATCGATCTAACGTGGAGGCGAGAGAGAGCGAGTGGTTCGAGCATCCCCTCGAGCGCACAGTGGGGACCAAGGAAATAGACCTGGCCCTTGACCGGTACGACGGGCGGAGATCTCCCTTCAGCCGCTCGAGTGTATACACCGCAAGTCGAGAGCAATTGCGCACAGATCATCCAGAGCGTCATTGGGCTGCCGAGGCAATCACGTCTTCGAGGCGCCATAGCCCCCCTGCCCGCCAACCCAAGGATCCTTACTTGACCCCAACTTCGCGCAAAAACTCAGTCCGCCAAAGAGCCACGAGCTCTCCTGAGGAACCATGGCGACATGGCGAGTACCAACAGGCCCGGAGTGTCAAGAGCAACGTGACAAAGAAAAGCAGCAAGAGCACCTTGAAGAACAAGGATCTGCAGAACTCCAGTGTTCTTTGCCTCTCTTCATCAGAGGATGAGGAAGAGGAAACTCCAACGGCCGAACAACCCCGCAATCACAAAAATAGCAACAAAACGGCCTACAGAGAAAGCGTGGCCACTTACGGGGAATATGAACCCCAGATCTACACAGCATCTACTGCCCAGGCGGCTGTCGGCCCAGCATTACGGCGGGTCGAGCGCGCGCCGTCCACCAGCAGTCACGGATCCCACCATGTCCCACGCAGCAGCTCGACGCGCAGGAACCCATCGATGTCATCGACTGGCAAATCGTCGCACACGACCCGACAAACCCAATCTCGACGTTCGAGTGGAATCCCCACCATCGCAGAGCCAACCATTCTGGAGCAGTTCCCGCGGCAGCCTCTGAGCTCTCCCGAGGAACTCAAAGAGATGAACCGAAGAAGCCGGGTTATCGCTGTGACTCGACAAGAGCAGGATCTGTTAGACGCATTTCGCAAGCGAAAAGGCAAGGTCACACCAAGCCTGTTTAACTACAATGCCTCTCGCGCCCCCACCGAAGCGGATCGATCCTCGATGATATCGGGCCCGTCGCGCGATTCCTTCTGCGGCTCCGAAACATCTTTCCTGCGCCTGAGCGCCGTACTCCCGCCCAACGCCACCCTCCCGTCCTACCAGGCGCGGACAAATCAAGGCGCAACTCACAAGGACAAGCAGGGATCTTTGTCACAGAGCTCTAGTTCTGATAGTGAGCAGAAGACCGGTAACTCGGTCGGCTCCCCTCAGTTCAGTCTGGGCTACTCTGAGAGCCTGCCCTCGCCCGCCACCAGCGGCGCCTCGCCCCTCACCCCGACTCTGCCCATCCACCGCTTCTCGCCGCTGCCCTCGCCCAAGCCTCCGCCTCGAAACCCGCCCCCTGCGGTTCCGGAGGTTCGGCGCCAGCATACCCGTCGCCGCACCGACAGCAGCGAGGCTATCATGCTGGATGAGAATGGCGAGTCGCGACGCAAGCACCCGCTCTGGTCTTTTGACTTTGACTGGAACCACGATCGAGCCAATGTGGCGGCTGTGCATTGACCTACGTTCGTCGTATCTGCATCGGCTGGATTGTCTGCACCGATACTGTTCTCGATATCTTTTTTTTGTTTTGTTTTCTATCCTTCTTTGTACATTTTTGTATATTTTGTTCTCAGGCTCCTCGCTCCTGTCTCGAGTTGCTGACATTCTTTTACCACTGCATTGATTTCCTTACTCTGTCCACTTTGCATCCTGGCGTTTTTGCTTTCTCGTCTTGACCTCGTCCTTGGCGAATTACATAGGCATTCTGCCTTCTCACTTTCTTTTCTTTCTCTTCACATATCTTCTACTATCGTCTGTCTCATCTTTTTCTTTTCTTTTTCATGATCAGCCCTCTCGAACGGGCTTCCATACCCGCTGATATGTCATGGCCTGATGGTTTTTTGTGTTATTTTAGAGTCATTCGATTTCTCCTACCACAGTTTGGAAGAAATAAGAAATCCTGGCTCACTTTTCGGACGAGTTGGAAAGATTCCACCTTAGAATAAGAATTTTGGAGTGCCTAGATGTCATCGGACTGACATACGTTGGGAACTAACTCTACGTAGGATATTGTACCATATTTCTCTGCCGAGTGGAGGTTTTTTCCTCTTAATTTCCGCCGCTTGTATGAGGGCGCTCAGAGTTAGGTTCCTACTTCATTCCCATCATTGCGCGTGTACCGTGTGGTGCGTCGAGTGCCCACACATCCGGATACTGTGAGATAAATGAGAAACCCGACTGGTTCAGGGTATATTCCTCTATCTCTATTTCTCTCTCTTTCTACAAGCCACTGAGTAGATTCCAGTCTGGCCTCAGGCTCAGTGGCCTGTTCCCTGCTCGCTCAGTGAGTACCCAGTGATTCTCCGAGGCATCTATGAAGCAGTCAGTGAACACTTAGTCCATACCCAGAGGAGCACCCTGCCTCTGTTGTAGGGCGATGCCCGTAAAAAGTCCTCAAGTCTTAATCAATAGATGCAAATGCCTAATCATGAATTGGTGCTATATCCCTTAAGTGTTGAAGATAACTTTCACGACTCGCTCTCTACGTCAGTTTATCGGTTCTTTAACTACTTTCTAATATTCTTTTAGGAGTGTATCTCGGTATAGATTGAACCATTTCATTTACTAATAGTGATAAGATTGCTAGAAGGGAAGGGTCGCGAATAGTTAAAACAAAAACATGTGGTTATGTGTTCGGCGCTAATGCAAGGACTCTAAACGAGAAAGGTTAAAGGATGCCCAGGATCAAGATGGCGCACTGCTAATATCTTAAATTATATACAGCATTTCTATCGAAGGAAATACTGAGTTGCTTTTGGATTTATACACAATAGGACCTACATAGTTGTGAAACTCCAAACCATCCATTTTTCAAAGGATTTCTTCCCTTGTATAGCCATACTATAAAAGGGAAGATAAGCCAAAATAGACACCCAGTGACGACATCAGTCCTTATGTGAAAAGAGTGTTTGCTGAATTCCATGAAACCATGGAAATCAAAATTCTGAAGAAGGGCTGCATCGAGATAATCCAACGTGAGTTAGGACAAGACCCTTGCACTTCATGTTCCAGTGTAGAGATCAATCTAACAATAGAACAATGAACCAGAAGATCAAGGACAGATCAAAGAAAAGGACAAAGGAACCAGAAAGCAAAGAATATCGAGATCAGGGGCCACCAGCCTCACGAAGAATTGCATCCGAGAATAGTGTCCTAATTATAGTTGGATCATTGTCGGGTTACCCCTGGTTTGCTTCGGGCTATTTCATACTGCCCCTTTAATTAGATCTTTTTACCAGAGTTAGACAGAGAGCGTTTCTACTCGCCCATAACAATGGAGATCAAAGGGACCTGTGATATAAGCACAAGGACTTGGGGCCGCGCTAGGACCGCCCCTAATTCCTTCAGCTAAACTGGGACAGGGAGAACGCTCGCGTAATATTCAAAGAGTTGGGGACAGATATTGAGCCTCAGATAGATACAAGTTGGATAGATTAGATAGAAAAAAGCACGCATTAGCGTTGTGGTTGTCCTAGGCCGACCTTTTTCTATTCTATCGATCTTGTCTTGTTCCTATCATTCACTAACCGGACTTGAAGGTTTAGAATTGGAATACGTGGCTAGCTATTTTCTTCTAGCTATTGCCCTCTAGTACGATTTATCCATGGATATTTGAATAGTGGAAGGAAGAGATCAAACGAGAGACTCGATGCTTGGTGGGATCAGGCAGACAACCCTTCCTTGCCGATTCGGCCTTATCTTATAGATAGTAATATAAGAGTCGCTTGACCTGATCGTCGCAGCGTATGGTCGGCTCGCTTATTGAGTGATACTCATAGACGCTACCCACCTATGGAGGTATGGGGATAAGCAGGCGAATAAAAAATGACGAGCCCATATGACCACCATACCTATCGAGGCATGCACGAAGTACTCCCCGAAAGAGTTATTGTCACAGTCTAGCACCGACTGGTCCCTCTTCCCTCGGTCAAAATAGCTCAAATTAGCTGCCCACTTCTTTTTCTTTTCTTTTCTTTTCTTTCTTTTGTTATTGTGCAATGATCGAAATTGATATCTACACTTTGCGGGCGTATATATGAGAGTGATTCTAAGCTACTACAGTATCTTTCGGCGGGCAGTATTTAATACAAGATAAAAATGTGGGGCGGGTAGATGGCATGTACACTTTGTGTGGAACCTATAAATAGTGTCTATAAATAGTTTCTGTACACGAATTTCGACAATCAAGAATCTTCCTTCTATGCTGGCAGTCCCTACGCGTAAACGCCGAATAGTCGAGTCGACGCGAAACAATCGGTAATCTATACAATAGAAGCACTGGATACCCACAATGATAAAATCAAAATTCACGGACCTCAAGAGAGAAACCGAAAGAAGACTCAAAAATTAGCCGAAAACACAATTATGGGTCGCAGTAAACTTATGCGCGGGTTACTCATGACCGATGATGCTCCCATCCCACGACTGATCTACAGTACACTCGTACTGTATGTATGTATATATATACTATAGGGGGCCAAAGTCGAAACTCTGACTGGGGGCCAGTGTACTATGCAATGTTAATGGTCCTCTGATACTCCACTTTTACACTCCAATCTTCTACTAATATTACGAACTAGGCGGGAAATGGGAATACCCCTGGCCCCAATTGTCAGATTGTGGGTATCCCAAGACATCCACTTCCAACACTGCATGCACGCCATCATTCGAATCATCTCAGTCCATGCCTGGGATCTTGATCAGGGGTAATCCGTTTTTCTCGCGATGGAAGTCCCCGGGCATAGATCAGCCCAGAGAGGACGTACATAGACGAATATTCCATAGTGCCGTGTGCTTCACTTGATCGGGTGTCCTTATGCAATCACCTTACGATATGCGGATAGTTCTTACATAGGGGGCGGGCTCCACAGGGGCCAACACGGTCGTATGTAGAGGGGTGGAGGGATAGAAATTGCCCCCACGAGAGGGATCATAAGAGAGGACAGAAAAAAGCCAGGACATCCTCTGATTCCTCGGGGGATTTTGAACTCATTTTCCCACTCTCTGTCTTTTTGTGTTTTCACGCTGAGAGGCCAGCCAAACCCTCTCAACCCTCCACGATGCGGTTCCAACTGCTGCTCTCCGTCCTCCTCCTGTCCATATGTGGACAATCTTCTCCTGTGGCGCCAGTCGAACAGGAATCCTCGTTAGAGCGGCGAGCAGGAGTTGTCAAGCACTCGGTTGTGGCTACCTGGCCCGTCAAGCAGGACGATCGATCCGTGAATCCGATTCCCTACTGTGTGAAGGGCTCCAACCCCGGCTACGAGGCCCAAATAAAGGGAGCGATTAAACAAGCGGCGGGCCTATGGACAAATCCGCCAGTTTTGAGGAGCCGATCGATTATAGATATCTTGAGGAAAAAGAAACAGCAAAAGATCGAAATCCCAACCTCATGGAACTTGGTTGATTGCCCCTCGGACCGAAAAAATACCCTCATTCTTAGCGACATCCCGGGGAGAGAAGTATTCACCACGCTGGGCTACATCAGCGGGGGGTACACACCATGGAAATCGGGCGCGACGTGCTGGACGGGGAGTACGGTGCGCTCGTGGGCCGGCTTGCACACGAATTAGGTCGGAATATCGGCCTCCCCAATGATAACCAGCTGGACCCCTCCTTCTATTCGATCTCGTGCTCAAACGTGTATGTCCCTCCCCTGTCAATTTCTCAACATCAGCTGATTCCATTCGATCGATAGAAACGGCTTTGACAAGTCCCAAAAATCCAAGTACAAAGCAGCATGCAACGACTACGCCAAGGCCAAGGAACTCGGTTGGAAAGAAGGAATGAATATCGGGCCGCTCGCGGAAAACGACTTCTTAAAAGCCACCGGCCCGCTGTCCAAATTTCGTCACAACTTGCAGTGGGACGACAGGAGCATCATGAGAATGCCCAAGACTGCGTACGGCCGAAAAAGTAGCATGGGGTTCTACTACTCTACCGTGCCACTCAAGTCCTCGCTTCCAACTATCAATCTCAATTGGGCAGACTTTGCTACAGGTGGACCGACTCTTTATGATCTCCAGGCCGTGGTGGAGATGTATCCTTCGGCAAGAGTGGCAGCGGCATTGTTGCAAGGCCTGGCCCGAGATGTTGCAGATGCGAATTTACCCCCAAGCTATGAGGAGTGTGAAATGCCAGCAGTGGCAGCGCCAGCTTATGACGACCAGAACACATTTCCAGTGGATCAACCTATATGATCGCGCGGAGCAAAGCAACGTTGGTCTCTCAACTCGGTTACCAGGAATGAAATGTATGAGGGTGCTGTTCTTCTTGTTCTTTGTTATTTTCCATAAGAATTTTTGAATATCTTGCTTTGTTTTTGTACTGACAATTATTCATGAATGAATGAGACTGGCTAGCCTCAATTGCGATCAATCCTTCTTTCATATGTACCTAGGTATGGGAGAAGATGTGCAAAGGGCGGGTTTTGAAAGCCCCAGCATTTGGACTTTCTCGAGATTCCCAAATTCCATCTATTCTTAGTAGGCATCAAGATTTTAATCATCCAGATTTGCAGCCCCATAAATAGATTCACTCAGTGGCAGGACAGCCCAGGTGATTGTATAGCTTTCGAGAGAGGTGACGTCTCTGCCGGACTATCAAGTTCCTGACCCATCGGTATGCTTATAGAATAGTCGTGGCCAGGACACGAAATGGTAGAGGAAAAATGATAGCCAGGGCTATCCGTAAGGGAATTCCTGAATGATCTAATTTAACTATTTGATGATAAGGTGCTCTCTTTGCCCCCCTGACGGAGGTGTGGGAGTTGCATGATGCTTCGAATTGGGATAATGAGAGTTGCTTTGATTGGCAGGAGGGCTTCTTTGGACGTGAACTGGACGCTCTCTCGGGTGTGTCCGTGGCAGGAGATCTACATCCGCAATCAAGGTGATTACACCGCCCCGTGGTGTCCTTCCCCGGACTTGCGATTTTTCTTTCCTTTTTTTTTCCTTTTCCCCCCTACTCATTCTCTTCACCTTGTTTCTGTTCTTTTCACCGAATGTTCGAGCGTCTTCAATTTGCCCCCCATTGTGGAGTTAGCCGACGCGTAGTCCCCAGCCTCCACGGCGATCGTCTGAAGTGACGTCGGAGCCTTCGATCTGACAACCCCCTTATCCGCAGGGCTGGTCAGTTCAGCTCCAAATTACCCCTTCTTCCCCTGACATTCCAGGACTCCACCCTCTGCCAATTCTTCGAGTGTTCCTTTTGCAGATCACCCCACTGTCTACTGTCTGCTGAAACAACCTCATCATGGGGGACCGCGCACAACGCCAGTCTTCATGGCTGCGAGTCGCGACGAGAAACGCCCCATGGACTCTGGTATGGAAACAATTCTTTTATACTGTGGAAATCTCGGCTAGGCTCAATTGCTGACCAGTCTGGCTCTGTTGGTCACAGCTGGCAGCACAATCTGCTGCATTTGTGTTGGTAAGACATCCCACCACGCCGAGAGAACGCCGATAGGGCTCAATTGGCTAACCACGGCTCCCATGGCATAGTTATCCCACTATTCTCGAGTTATGCCGCCCGCCGGTGGGAAACGATACCTGACTTCGACCGCGGTTTTCCTGAATGAAGTGGTCAAGCTGGCCATCTCCCTCACCATGGCACTCTACGATGTCTCCAAATCTGCATCGCCGTCGATGCCGGCCACCTCACTTTTCTTCCAATTGACTAATGTCGTGTTCTCGGGCGACAGCTGGAAACTGGCAGTCCCTGCTGCGCTCGATGTCTTGTCTAATTCCCTGGTATACATTGCCGTGTCGAACCTGCGGGCAGCAACCTTCCAGGTCACCTTTCAGCTCAAGTTCCTGACCACTGCGATCTTTGGTCTGATGCTTCTGAAACGGAGTATTGCACCCCACAAGTGGGGCCTGCTGCTGCTCTTGGTGGTGGGAGTGGCACTGGTGCAGATCCCTGACGCCAGCTCCGAGGAAATGACGTTGCCAGACGAGAGTGCCCATCATCATTTCCCACGATCCCTTGAGGAGTGGAAAGCCGTTAAAGAAGCCGCGGGTAATCTATACAAGCGCTCTGCCACATATGAGGGCATCGAGGAAGACATGCAGACGGCCGAACCACACCTGCATACTGCAGTGGGCCTCCTCGCTGCCATCGGGGCTTCTTTTGCTTCAGGGCTGGCGGGGGTCAATTTCGAGAAGGTGCTCAAGGATAGTACTGCCAGTATCTCTATGTGGGTGCGGAATGTGCAATTGGCAATCTATTCTGTTTTCCCGGCTCTGTTCATCGGTGTTGTGTTCCGCGACGGGGACAAGATTGCCAACAATGGCTTCTTCCAGGGCTACAATTGGGCCGTGTGGTCTACTATCATCCTCCAAGCGCTGGGAGGAATCTTCTCCGTGCTCTACATTACCTATGCACAGCGAGACACGGAGACTCTGGCGACGACCATCAGTGTCACTCTGTGTATTCTCGGGAGCATGTGGTTTTTTGCCTTGGAATTCACGGCCAGCGTATGTCGAAATTCCCATATCCATCCCATCATTCCTCTGCCTTTATGACTTGCCAAACATCCACTGACTAACCCATCATTGCAGTTCTTCCTGGGCTCTGCAGCAGTCCTGGTAGCTTCCCACTACTATGGTAACCCCATTTTCAGCCCGTCTCCAACAAAGGCGGTTAGCAATCGTCCCCCGCCTATTCGTATCGATAGCTACGAGAAGAATGGTGGCGTGGATGAAAAGGGCTCGTCCGTCACGCCCAACGACTTTTCCATCCAACTCCCAACCACACCGTTCTTGTCGGATGGAGTGTCGACATCCCGGCCCACCTCCCCCGCCGCAGGTCACGCTCGAACCAGCGCCAGCCGGCAAGTAAGTGCGAGCAGCTATTTCGACAAGGATCCTCGAGATACGTGACCGAGGTAATTAGTGTGATTTCGATTCGCGCTTTTTGACCTCAAGCCCCGCGAATTTTAGGGAATCATAGAACGGATAGATGCGGTTGATCATCCACGAGACTATCTAGAATTCTGTTTTGGACCTTTCTGTCTTCGACCATGGTTTCGGACAACACTTGGACAAAGCTGTGCATGTCCCTATGTTGAGAGCCCGCCGGGCTCTCTGTTATGTATGCATATCTATATATACACACGAAGCAATGAGGCATTTTTCACTCGTGGGCCAACGGAGGCCCTGGTGCTGGAGCCACGTGCCGTCACATGGCCTCGCTCACATCCACCCCATCTCTGGCCCTCTCTCACCACAGAAGAGCATCATTCTGACCATCAGAGAATTTGTTTCTTTCATCATGCGAAGAAAGCCTCCCTTCTCTCAACCTAGACCCTTTAAACCCCCTTCCCAGCGACGCGGCAATGACCTCGCATCACCAACATCTTCCCAAAGCTGTCGGGCCGGTGTAATCGACCAGAGACTTGTTGCAGGGTCACAGCAGCCACAATATTCAACCTCGTTCCCCCGAGAATCTGCCACAAGGCCCATCTCTGTCCATGATGAAGATTCGCAGCTGGATGCCTTTGGTGGGCCCCATGTTATATTAGATAGTCTGGCGGCAGTTGACCCCATTCTTAGATCTCGAGCTTCTAGGCCAGGGTACTAGGGTGGAAGCCCCCCATCAAGAATTCGGGTTTCCTACGGTCACGCCTTTGCAAGAATCAAGTTTCCCGCTTGAGCATCAAAATGCAGCACGCCAAGTCTCCCGATTCTTCCACCGTGGGTTTGATCTGCAGTGGCAGTTGCTGTAGCCCTGATACACGTTGATTCTGACACACATTAGCAAATGCCAACAGCACACCCCTTCGAGGCCACGCATCCAGCTCATCCGATACGGGACCGGCCTCCCCCGCGAGCCCATTGATGATGCTGCATCAAAGAAAAGAAGGCTCGTGGCTTGGACGAGGTCGCCCTGAGAATAATCGAGATCCGTACCAGTATGAACCCATTCAATCCTCGCCACAGCCCGCATCATCCCACGCAAGTGCCGAGCTATCAGCTGGGATCGGACAACGTCAAGGGTTTTCCTTTGACAAGATCCCGCTCTCAGTGCGCGGAATTGTCCTTGTCCCCGTGAATGACCTACCCGAGACTCACCGAACCCTATTCCCTTTTCCGTTGTTCAATGCAATCCAGTCCAAATGCTTCCAGCCAGTTTACAATACCAACGATAACATCGTCCTCTCGGCACCCACAGGAAGCGGAAAGACAGTGATCATGGAGCTGGCCATCTGCCGGCTGCTCAACACTCTAAAAGACGAGCGATTCAAGGTCATCTACCAAGCGCCGACAAAGTCCCTCTGCGCAGAAAGGTTCCGAGACTGGAATTCCCGCTTATCCGCGCTGGATCTCAAGTGTGCCGAGCTGACCGGCGACACGGACTATACGCTGCTGCGCAGCGTGCAAAACAGCCAGATCATCATCACCACGCCAGAGAAATGGGACAGCATGACGCGCAAATGGAAGGATCATATGCGATTGATGCAGTTGGTAAAGCTGTTCCTCATTGACGAAGTGCACATCCTCAAAGAAACCCGTGGAGCCACACTCGAGGCAGTTGTTTCGCGAATGAAGAATATCGGGTCGAATGTCCGCTTCGTGGCTTTGAGTGCCACGGTCCCGAACTCGGAAGACATTGCAACTTGGCTCGGCAAGGACGCAACGAACCAACATGTTCCTGCTCACCGGGAGCATTTTGGGGAGGAGTTTCGGCCTGTCAAGTTGCGAAAGTTTGTCTATGGGTATCAGTCGACGCTGAATGAATTTGCCTTTGACAAAGTTTGTGGCTCCAAGTAGGTGTTTTAAGAAACTTTTATTTGAAATCGCGTATCAATTTAGCTGATTGTCTCAATTTAAGGCTTCCAGATGTCATTGGCATGCATTCGTCCCAGAAGCCGATTATGATCTTCTGCTGTACCCGGAACTCGTCTGCAACAACCGCCAAAGAGCTCGCTCGTCTGTGGACGATGACCAATCCTCCGGCTAGACTGTGGAAGGGGCCGAATAAGCGCATAGAAACGCACAACGAGGACCTCAAAAGTACGTTTTGTGTGTCATAAGGGAGCCCAGAAGCGAAGTACTAATTATAATAGCCACAATTGCCGCCGGTGTAGCATTCCACCATGCCGGGCTTAGTCCCGCGGACCGCCATGCCATCGAGACAGGCTTCCTGGGCGGTCACATCAACGTGATATGTTGTACGTCAACGCTTGCGGTGGGTATAAACCTGCCCTGTCACTTCGTGATCATCAAAAACACCGTCGGTTGGCAAGAAGGCGGTTGCAAGGAATATTCCGATCTCGAGATTATGCAGATGCTCGGTCGCGCAGGCCGTCCCCAATTTGACGGCAGCGCTACGGCAGTGATACTGACTCGCAAAGAGCGAGTCTCGCATTACGAGAGGCTGGTATCAGGCTCAGAGAGCCTTGAAAGTTGCCTGCACTTGCATCTGATCGATCACTTGAACGCTGAGATTGGACTGGGCCATGTGACGGACGTGGATTCGGCTGTGAAGTGGCTTGCCGGGACGTTTTTGTTTGTGAGGCTACGACGAAACCCGACGCATTACAAGCTCAAAGAAAGTGCAAATCAGGATGATGAGGAAGAGATGCTCCGCCACATCTGTGAGAAGGATATCACTCTTCTGCAGGAGTACGGCTTGGTTAGTACTGAGGGCCTTCGGTCCACCCCGTTCGGTGATACCATGGCCCGGTACTATGTTCGGTTCGAGACTATGAAAACCCTGCTTTCGCTAAGACATCAAGCCACGCTTTCTCAAATTGTGAGTTATTTCTCCGCTGTCCTATTTACTGGGGATCTGAACTAACAAGGCGCAGCTTGATGTCATTTCGCAAGCGGAGGAGTTCCGCGAAGTTCGTCTCAAGGCAGGCGAAAAATCGCTTTACCGAGAGATCAACCGCAACCCTGGAATAAGGTATTCGGTCAAGGTCGATATAGCCCTTCCAGCACATAAGATCTCGCTACTCTTGCAGTCCGAGCTAGGCGCAATTGAATTCCCCGACGCCGAGTCACTTCAAAAGCACAAGTTCCAGTTCCAGCAAGACAAAAGCATTGTGCTCTCGCACGTAAAGCGGCTCATTCGATGCGTGGTCGACTGTCTCATCGCACGGGAGGACTCAATTGCCATCCGCAATGCCTTGGAACTGGCCCGAAGTTTCGGTGCAAAGGTTTGGGACCAGTCCCCCCTTCAGATGAAACAGATTGACCAAGTGGGCATTGTTGCTGTCCGGAAACTGGCTGCCGCTGGCATCACAAGCATCGAAGTTCTCGAGGGCACTGAGGCTCACAGGATTGAAGTCATTCTCAGCAAAAACCCGCCTTTCGGGGCTAAGTTACTTGCTCGACTGAAGGACTTCCCCAAGTTGCGGGTGGTTGTGAAAATGATGGGGAGGGTTGGTAGTTAACTTGGAAAGTTGAAGTCCCTGGCTAATTCATTGGAATAGGATATCAGAGCTGGCGCTGTGAATATTCGCTTCAAGGCGGAGATAGCATTTATGAACGACAGACTCCCAACTGTCTTCCAGCGGCGACCGATATATGTGTGCTGTTTGACCGAAATATCGGACGGGCGAATGGTTGATTTCCGGCGCATAAGGTGACAGACCCTTGACTCACTTTTTTTTTAATTGCTGACATCTCTGACATCTCCCAAGCGCGAGCAAGCTCCAGGACGGGTTGGAAGTGGTTCTCATTGCGGAATTGAAGAGTGCAGATCAGTACATCGTGTGCCATGTCATGTGCGATGATATCGGTATGTCTTCCCTCCCGGTACCCGTATTTGGCGCTAACAGTGGTATAGCCGGGACTTGGAGACAGGCTGAGATCAGACCTGGAATACCTTCACATCTTTTCCCGCCGAAGAGAGATGGCGACAACGATGTTGACTCCCTCAATGGACCGCGAATGAACATGTCTCGGCCACGCAACCAGGACAAATCTGGAGGCAAGCCCAAGGCCCACGAGGACAAGGACGACTTTGATGGCGATGACCTGCAGTTAGATGACTTCCTGGCTGCAGACCAGCGCACAAGCGCTGGAACCAATCCATCGGAGAAGACATCCCAGGTCCAAGATACAGACTGGATCTCCATTGACAACAGCACCCCCAGTCCACTGCGGCGGGTAAAATGCAAGTCGCATACCCACGAAGACGAATGGATCACAGATATGGGACAGCAAGATGGCGAAGAGTACGAACCGATCCGACTTCCGAATGGGCGGTGGGCCTGCAATCACAAATGCAGAGACAAGACGAGGTTTGTGGAGTACTTGAAACCATACATCCATAGCTCTGCTAACCATCCTGACAGCTGCAAGCATTTCTGTTGCCGAGAGGGCCTAGAAAAGCCGCCCAAACCCAGCAAAAGACGGGTTGCCACTCAAGGCCAAAAGAACACCGGCCTCAGTCAATTGATGCTTCCAGCGAGCATGACAAAACAAGAATCTTCGGACCCTCCTAAGAAGGATGGTGGGGCTGCCAAACAGCATTTGACTGGGAAAACTAGGGCTGGCGATGCATCGAAGACAAAGACCTCGAGGTTGCAAAAAGCATCGCACCAAACTCAGGCGTTTCCCAAAAGTATCGACAAACTCATAGCATCACCGGCAAAGACCAAGCAATCTGTGAGTCCTTTGAGGATACTGTCTAGTGACTATAGCGATGACGGGCTTGAAGACTTGCCTTCCCCGTCGCGGTTGCTAGCAGAGGCTGGGTCCAGTTTTGCACGACCCGATTCACCGGTCGTGAGAGCCCTTGACCCGATGGAGAGATTCAGTACCCGGGTCACCGATGGAACGGCCAATGCTGAGCACCAGCAGCCCTGTTCAATTGATATCACCGGACCCAAATCGACGCTTGTGACCCCCTTGGAGAAGCAAACTGAGATATTCCAGCCTTCGAAGGATTGCGAGATCATTGAGATCTGGGATGATAGCCCTTCAGACTCCGGAAATGCGCAAGAACCGAGTCTTGTGGGGCCTTTAAACCCCAGCGAGTCTGCACCTTTACTCTCTGTCGATGCAAATGTGATCCAGCAACCCAAGCGAAAGTCGAGCTCTCAGGATGATATTAACGATAGTATCACTCGAAAACGAAGAACCCTATCCCGCCTCGCACTTCAATTCCGACATGATTCCTCAGATTCAGAACCAATGTCGGTGAATACCGCCGACAAAATCGCAGTGAATGGCATTCCTGTGGAATGGAATGATATCGACCCGCTATTGCTTGATGAATTCAAAGATATTATTAACTTTTTCTAGTCGATGGGGATGTTTATGGATATTTTGTAGGGATCAATTTCCGGCTGATGCGGACACCAACCTCTTCTTAGGGCTGGAGTATTACTATGCTTCCATTGGGTTACTTGATATGTGGGACTGCGTTGTGGTACGGTGCATAATTATTATGCTTATTATAATAATTGCTACAATATTCATAATAAAGCCATTTCAAGCTTGTCAGAGGTCCCAGTCCGACTCGAAATAAAAACAATAATCCCAATCCCGTAGTTCTGAATTCTATTATATATATTAGCACCATCTTCAAGACAGTGTCTGACTGAGCACTTACGTCTCAAATATATCTACTTATATTTCTTCCCTTGTTCTTTTTTTCTTGTACTTTTGACTATCACAAGTACTTTGTTTCTTCAGAACAATGCCCATCATTCGTCTCTATGTCCTGTCCGTGTCATCCCAGCTTGATACGATGATCTCCGACGACGGATGTTACATCTATTTGGGCATCGGAACTTCAAAGATTATCAAGGATAATAGGAGATGGTGTTTACGACATTTCCTAATGGGCTAGACTAGATATAAAAGTCTATGGGATCTTCTGTCCATGAATTATATACATCGCCTTCATTCCAGAGTTGACGTCTCTACGCTTTGAAAAAGACAAGAGTGCAGACAACTCGTTCGATCAAAAAGTAATTTTGGTTCTCGATTGCTTTAGAGGAAAGGGATATCAGCTAAGGATGATTCGTATTGACAGAAAAGATAAGGCCTAAAGGCCCCCTCCATGTCAGGATGACACGGTTCAACTACGCCTCCGTAAGTTAGCTATGTCAGCATTCTCTGAAACCAGTCGCTAATGGGGCTCGCAGCGGAAAACCGAGGGTCTCCAAATGGGCCAGATCATATCGCGGGATTTGGTATCTCAAACCGTCGAAAGAAACACGCGATAAATTGACTGATAAATGCCGGTACAGAGAAGAAACTGCGTGAAGAATCCAGCTCCAGGACACCGGCCTACGACCTGACCATTGAAATCGACGTGTCCAACCGAAAGCTGATTGACCAGGGGTTCGCAGAGTTCATCGACACATTGCTGGAGCGTCTCCAGAACCAGGACCACTAACAGCCCGAAGACATTGTGCGCCTTCTGGAGCTGCACCTGCAAGGCAATGAGCTGACAGTCGAGTCGCTACCCAAATTGGCGCGTGTGATCACACTCAGCATTGGAGACCTGCAGGATCTATATTTATCCCAAATTCAGATCGAAATCCGCACGGCCGACCAGAAGGCGAAGTGGGAAGGGTTCCTGCAATCATTCAGGGACTGCTATATGCTGAAACGGGTGGATGTTGGAGACAAACCCCTCAGTCCGATGGGGATGGAAATCCTGGTTCGGACCTACATTCGGAGTCGGTTGGATTTTGCTGACGATGTAGACGATCTCGCTGATATTCGCAGCCCGATATCCGGTGAAATAGTTGACTGGACGCCTCAGCCAGCTCCCCAGTCCAAATTGAGGTCGGCGATTGAACACAGGCATTTCGCCCGCGCCCGTAGTTTGCGCTCTGTGCCCTACTTGATCGTGTCGAATATGGCCATGACCCGTGGCGCCGTGATCCATCTGTCGAGCATGATGACCACCCAGAAATCACGAGAGTATCTCCGTTCATTTCTGCCTGCAGGGAAAGTGGTGATGCTCCCACAAGAAGCGCGAAATGTCTGCCGCAGTATCATCTGGTTGCCGAACGACACATTGACTTCACAGTTGCGCGAGTTACTTCATTGTGCAACCACACTCGCCGATCAGACCCCGGGATGCTCTAGCGATGTCTCTGGTAACGAATGGTTCCGGACACTGCCATCTCCCAAACCCAACCAGCGCGCCAGAGAGAACTGCCTCCTGCAGAGCGTGTTCCAGAGTAATCGCCATTTCGAGTATGAGCTGCTCACCAAGAAAATCGTCCTGGAGGCGCTCGAAGCCGAAGGAGTTAATAATTCCGAGCTGTGGTGCGCAGCTGTCAACATGCTGGCCAAAGGGCGGGCCGTCATGATTGACGACAAACATCGTCCGGTAAGTTTGCCTTCCCGCACCCCAATCCACGGGCGACAACTAACCTCGTTGACAGACGCTCCAACCACTATCGGTTCCGCAGACGGCCTTGACGCGGTACATGCCCGAGTTCAACCGAAACTTTCCCGAGCTGGGCTCGGATCCCTGGAGTTTGATGAAGGATCAATTCGCTCTTCTGTCAGCCAGTTCGGGCGAGTCGCCGCAGAAGAATGGCCGCTTCGGGCTCCCGTTGGAAGTCTGGTGCCGCATCGTTGCCGAGGCTGTTGGCGCGCAGAACGTCCTCACTGACCAGCAGCAGATGCAGATCATGCGGTATGCCGGGGATTGGAATACGTTGACAGGGGAATGGCAGAATGAGTTGCAGCCACTGTTGGTATTTCTGGAGGCGGTGCAGTGCCTAACATACTCAGACTGAGGTGGATGTTCTCTGGTTGTGTTTCGCGGGGGAATTGAAGGAGAGTGGGTCTGCCCCTCAGATTTCTCTCTTGTGTCTTTGCTTGTTAGATTTCTCTTTCTGCCATGTTCCTGTCATTTACTCGTTGAGTTTGTCTATTGATTCAGTCCTTCAGTCATTCAACCACTCAGTCCACTATGCTCCGGGGTAAGCGCCAAAACACTCAGCCGCTCGAGGACTCCTCTGTAGCCCCCGCGACCTTCACCGACGGCCTTCCACTGCCCAAGCTGATCGCCTTCGACCTGGACTACACGCTGTGGCCGTTCTGGGTTGACACTCATGTCAGCGCCCCGGTGAAGGCGCGCGACCATAATTCGCGGGCTGTAGACCGGTAAGTTCCCGGTACCATCACGATCGCCATCCACCCCGCGACCCCCCCAATACGAGTACGCAATATCGAAGACACGGGCACTGATACTAACCCAACAGATGGGGTGAGTCATTCGCCTTCTACCCAGCCGTCTCATCCATAATCTACTCCTGCAAGAGCCGCTCGATTCCCCTGGCCCTCGCCTCGCGCACATGCACCCCGGATCTGGCACGCGACATGCTCAAGGCCCTGCATATCATTCCGACCTTCTCCGACAACCCGGGGGCCAACGCGAAGACGACCCGTTCCTTGGATTACTTCGATTTTGTTCAGATCTTCCCCAGCAACAAGACTCAGCACTTTGCGCGCATTCATCAGGCCAGCAGTGTCGCCTATGAGGACATGTTGTTTTTCGATGACGAGGCGCGGAACCGCAATGTCGAGACGGAGTTGGGTGTGACGTTCTGTCTCGTGCGCGATGGTATGACTCGCGACGAGGTTGATCGTGGTGTCCGGGCGTGGAGGAAGAGGAATGGGATCAAGCCGACGGAGGAGTGAAAAACAGTGGAGGGAGAGCTGGGCGTTGGAGAGTTGCGCATTCGATCTGAGATACCCCTTGAATATAGCTAGAATGAATATATCCTATAGACTGATCATACAAATATAGAGAACATTGGGAATAAAATGTAGCAAACAGTAAACAAATATCCGCTGGATCCACGGTCGATGCACGGGCCCATCCACTCATCACCACCACAGCTTCCGTGGTTTCTCACTCTCTTCTCCCCCTCACCACTACAACCAAATGGCAACCCTCAAACCGCCCTCCGCGGGGCACCGCACCTCTTCTTCAACACCCACCGGTCCACCCAAAGCCCCCGTCAAAGCAGACGCCACCGCAACCATCGCCGACACAGCCGTGTTCCAAGGCACGCACCCAGTCAGCATCGGCGCCGGCACGGTCATCCACCCGCGTGCGCGGTTCTACGCCTACGAAGGCCCGATCAGCATCGGCGATGGATGTATAATCAGCGAGAAAGCCGCAATCGGAGCGGCGCCTACACCTCCAGCTTCGAAACCAACCTCCGGATTTTCTTCTCCATCCTCACCAACATCAACATCAGACCAACCTCAATTATCTTCCTCGGAAATATCTACCCGCATCTCCTACTTCGTTATCATAGGCCCGCTCGCCACCATCCACCCAGGTGCTCACATCCATTCCTCCGCGATAATCGAAACCCTAGCCGCGATCCACCGCCGCGCGGAGATCGGCGCGCACACGAAGATAGCGGCCGGGTGCGAGATCGCCGACGGCGCGTCCGTGCCTGAATGGGTGGTCGTGTGGGGGTCGGCGCCGGGACAGCGGCGCAAGCGGACGCGCGAGGCGAAGATGCCCCCGCAGGCGGTGGTCGCGGCGGCGTACGTTGCACAGGATGCTGTGCCGGAGCCGGCGCCGCAGGGCAAGATGATTGAGGATGCGCGGTTGATGGTTTTGCAGAAGGAGCGCGAGGTGTTGTCGCGGATGATTGTGCCGGCCGGTGGGGGGCGGAAGAGATGAATGTGGATGGAAATGAGGGTGATACTCCATGCGTACACATGGCATGGTTGGAGGTCCCCGTATGAGAGGAAGGTTTCGCCTTGCCCTGCTGTTTGATTGACCTTGAAGATGTACTTGGTGCTGGGACGTGTCTAATCATCCCGTTTTATATGACTTCATGCCTTATTGTTTTCATAGCTGATACCCCTTATGGCGATGTTGACTGTATATGTATGTATAGACTCGCAGAGCATTACAAAGAATTGATCGAGTGGAATGCAATGAATCGAATTCAAACCCATGCAGACGCCAGACATTAAATAAATACATACACAAGACATAGGAAATAATGACCCTGACAACATCACAAGACAATGGATCACGGGAGATATCAAAATCTCCAACCATCCAACATAGATCAAAAGAAAAAAGAGAGAAATACACCAACAGAATAAAAGGTACATGGAACCATCGCCTCAAGAAGCACCGCCACGGGCTTGTCCACCGCCCCCTCTCATTCTCTTTCCACCACTGCCACCCTCATTGGTAGCATCAGACCCTTCCTCGCGAGAGCGTTTGTTGCCCTGAGGAATAAACTGCCGAGCTGACGCATTCAAGGCACCACGGTTGGCCGAGGGGCTGGGCTGTCCTTGTCCCTGCTGCTGGGCAGGACTAGCGTTTTGGTTACCGCCACGGCCCTGACCACCACGTCCGCCCCGACCACGCGCCACTCCGGCGCCGCGCTGGCTAGGGTTTTGGGCTGGTTGCTGTTGCTGATCACCCTGCTGCTGTTGGGCGTGCCCAAAGGGGTTGTTCTGGACACCACCGCGGCCGCCACGTCCACCTCGAGCGACTGGCAGTCCAGATTGGAGTGCCTTAAGCATACCAGGGGCATTGCCAGCAGGAGGCTTGCTGGGCAGTGTCGAAGGCTGCTGCTTCGATTGCTGATTTTGCTGCAGTTGGCCAAATGGATTGGCAGGAACTGCGGCTGGGGTTTCGTCTACTTGCTGTGACGGTGGTGGCTTGTTCGCTGGGACAGCAGGAGGGCCAGTCGGTTGGGCTGCAGCTGGTGCTGGGCTAGCCGTAGCAGCCGGTGCAGGTGCGGGCGAGGGCGCGGATGCACCGGGAGTGGCAGCAGAAGGCGCGGGAGATGCAGGCTGTGCCGGAGATGCCACTGCAGTTGGCTTGGGTGTTTGAGCAGCTGACGGGGCGGGTCGAGCAGTCTTTGCAACCTCCCACACCTCGACCACGGGCTTCTGCGGCGTCTCTGCGGCAGCCTTTTGAACGACATCGATCTTTGCCTGGGCAGTCCGGATTCGGGTATCAAGCATGCTAATCCGCGCAAGAGACTTCTTGTCGGAAAGCTCAACGGCGGACTTGATCTTCTCGCCCAGCTCCTCTTCGTAAGCCTTCTTGGCTGCCTCTCTTTCCTCGGTAAATTTCTGCTCGAGCTGGGCAAGAGATTCAGCGTTTGCAGCTGCCTGGGCCTCGTTCTTTTCTTTCTCCTTGGTAACCATGTTGCGAATGTTGTTCCGCACAATTGTGTTGATGGTCTTGTGCTTAGCAACGAGCTCTCTTGCTTGCGAATCAGTCAACTCGGGCAGCTCAATTGTCTTCGACGGTGTTGCAGGTGCCTGTTCCGTAGCCGCCCCTGGTGTACCAGGGGCTGATTGTTCACCGGCAGAGAGTCGCTCAATCTCTTGGCGATGGGCGGCTCTGACCTCGGCCAGCTTGTTGTTGAAGGTTTCTTTGAGCTTGTCGGCTCGTTCCTTGATCCGCGCGTCTTGCTCGGCATCCTTCGCTGTCAGCAACCCATCCTTTTCGGCAAGAGCTGCTTCCAGGCGCTGGATCTTGTCTTCCAGGGCCTTGACCTTCTCCTCGTCACCAGGAACGGCAATTGGTGTCGTCGGGGCGGGGAATTGAGAGGCGGGTGTCGGGTTAACCGGGGCCGTTTCCGTTGAGATCGGGGCGGGTGCCGCAGCCGGCGCCACGGCAGGCGGTCCAGCGGGCGTCTCAGCCATCTTAGCCTTGACACCTTCCAACTCCTCCTTCGTCGTTTTCAACTCCTCTTGAATAACCTCCTTCTCCTGCAAAGCCGTAACCAGCTCCGACTGCTTGCCGTTGAGACGTCCAGTAAGCTCCTTAGACCGGGCCTTAAATTGCTCTGTGAGCTTCGTTCGCAGCTCCTGCACTCGATCCTCGCCGGCATGCTTGAGCTGCTCGGGGAGGGTCGTCGCCTGAGCCTGGAGAGTATCCCGGACAGAAATAGCTTCATCCCGCTCCTTCTCGAGTGTTGCAAGCTTCTCCTTCAGTGCCTCCATTTCGGCAGGATCGACGCGGTCGTACTTCTGGAGAATATTCTGAATGCGTTGCTGGTAACGATCGCGGTCCGCGTGCAGCAATTGCATCTCACCGTCCTTGGCCTCTGCAAGGTTCTCCAGTTCGCGAATCTTGATTTCGAGAGGTTCGATTTGCTGGACAAGCTCATCCACGCGGTTTGATTTTTCTACGAGGGCGGCCTCGGTCTGTTTGACCTGGTTGCGAAGCGTCACACTGCTCTCGCGGAAGAGGTTGAGCTCATTGAGCGTATCCATAAGTTTGTTGTGGTTCAGGGCGTTGTGCTCGGTATCTGCCGCAGCACGACGCTGTTGTTCAAGTTTGAGTCGTGTCTCGTCGAGTTGAGACTGAGTGTAATCCAGTTGTTGGCGTAGACGCTTGCTCTCTTGTGTGGAGAGATGGTACTGGACTTCCACAATCTCCTTCTCGCGACGAAGGAACTTGATGACCTCCTGCATACCCTCCAGGTTCGGCGCTGCCTGTTCTCCTTCCTGTTCTCCCTCTTCAGAGATGTTGGTGCGGTCGCGTTGCAACGCAGAAATTTGACTGCTGATGTTTTCGAGTTGTGTGTGCAACAAGGAGTTTTGGTGGAGAACCTCTTCGCGTCGCTTCTGAAGTTCGGTGAGTTCACCCTCATATCGGGCTCTCTGTTCGGCCCAGCTCTCCTCCTTTTGAGACAGGTCCTTCTTGTACGTCTCGGATTGAGTTCGCACTTCAGCCATATCAAGACGTAGCTGATTGGCTTCAGCGCGGACATTTTGTAGATTCTTGGCGGCTTCAGCGTGCTTGACGAGTTCACTCTCGTAGTTCTGCTGCGCGTGTTGTGAAATTTCGGCTTGTGCCTTAAGGTCCTCTTGGTGGAACTGCGCAGTAGCAATGTGTCGTTCGTTGTCGTCTTTCAGTCGAGTAATTTCCGACTCATACGTGGCCTTCTGCTCGTCAAGGCGGCGCGTCGCTTCGCCCTGCTCCTCACGGAGCTTGGACATCTCGGTGTTTGTAGTAGATAATTCCGTTGAAATCTCCTCAATCCGAGTCTCCAGATCCTGTATCTTCTTGTTCTTCTCCTCCATAAGACGGTCAGTCTCCTCGCGGTACTGTTCCTGAGTCTCAGTGGCAGACTGGAGGCGTTCTTCGGACCCTTGGCTGATGGCCTGGTACTCTTCAGACAGTTCCTTGGCATGCTCAAGTTCACCCTTGGCGAGCTCTAGGTCACGTTTCAGTTCAGAAACCTCCATGGACAGTTCCTGCTCACGAGTCAAACCGCTACCTTCGCCGGCCTCCTGTGCAACAACGGGGGTTTCGGCAGGGGCGGCAGAAACGCTGGGGCGCGACTGCAAGACCTGAAGGCGTTCTTCGGCGCTCTTCAACTCGACAATCAATTCGTCCACGCGAGATTGAAGGTGATCTCGAGATGTTTTGGTGGCAACCATTTCTTCACGGACCGAGCCCAGACTGGTCACCAAATCATCGATTCGTTTCTGACTCTGTTCGTGCTCGTATTCACGTCGCAGAGTGGCCTTTTTCGACTCTTCCACCTCATCGTTGAGCTTGCGCTTGGTCGATTGCAGCTCAGCCTCGAGCGTTTCAACATTCGATTGTAGACGGCGGCGACTGTCTGAATCTGCGTGTTCACGCTCGTTTAGGATAGTTTGGAGATTTGCGTTCAAAGCATCAAGGCGGCTGCGCTCGTTGCGCAAAGTCTCAGTGTCCTCAATCAAACGCTTCTCGATATTCTTCCATAGATCCTTCTCGGCTTTGAGGTTTGCGTTTTCCCGTTGAAGGCTTTCCACAAGACCCTTGGCCTCGACAAGATCTTCGGCGGCTTGCTGTGTGCGAATGTCTTGGCGGTTTGCATTCTCAAAGAGGGTGGAGTATCGTTTTTGCAATTCACTGTTTTCGCTCTTGAGCATCGTGAAATTGCTCTGGAGAAGCTCGGCGCGTGAGGAAGCGGCAGCAAGTTGACTGCTAGAGCGACTGATTTCGCTCAAGAGCTCGCTGTTTTTCCTTGACAACTCGTTCACTTGTTGACGGAGCGCCGTATGGTCCGTAGATGTCTCCTCTCGGTAAGTGTCGAAGTGAGCTTGCACCTTGCGAAGGAGCTCAGCGTAGTCGGGTGCACTCGATTGGCTTTCCGTGGCGCCTGGGGGCACAACGCCAAGCGGGACGGACTGCGAGAACACGGACGGGTCTCCAACCGTTTGTCGTCGGTGGACCAACATGCTACGGAAAGTGTCGCGCTCCTTGACAAAGCTCTTGGTCTGAGCAACGAGACTGGCGATTTCGTCACGATAGGTCTGGGAGCGGGTCCTCAGTTCCTTGAGTTCTTCGGCTTCCTGCTGACGCACAGCAGCCTGGGCGCGCGCTTCTTCGCCCTCCATCTTGTCACCGAGCTCCCTCAGCATGCGACGAAGCGTGACATTTTGTTCTTGGAGCCCATGGAAATCTTGATACGTAGTCAGATTTCGGCTGATGAAGCGGCCAGTTGGGGTTAGTTCGGCTGCAGACTCCTCGATTTCCTTGCGTGCAATAGTCTCGAGTTCTTCGCGATCATAATTCTCGCCCTGCTTGGCCATGGCCACTTCGAGGACCAAAACCTTGACTTCCGCACTGAGATCCCGAAGTTGTTGGCGAAGGATATCGCCCTCACGAGCCAATCCTTCAACCTGGCCTTGCCATTTCCTCGCTTCCTTGGTGGCCTCATTCTTATCTTTGGTACCCGCCTCTAGGAGGTTTGACATCTCCACAACCGCGTCTTCCAGGCGGCTGTGATCTGCGCGCAATTCATCAATCTCCGGTTTGCTAGACTCGAGCTCCTGAACCATTTCATCCAGCGTAGAACGGAGTTCCGTGGTCGTTCTCTGTTCCGCGGCGAGAAGAGTGCGCATCTTGTCGTATTCGGTGTACATCTGAGTGAGCGTGAGACCGCCCTTGCCACGAGAGGCCCGAGGCGAGAAGATACCACTGGGGGTTCCAGGTCGGGTGGGGGTACTGGGTCCAATTCCATTCAGAGAGCGAGCAGGACTCATCGACCTGGGTCTAGCTCCACCGGCCTCGAGCTGAGAGACAGTGACTTCAAGCTCGGCCACGCGACGCTCGGCAGCTTGCTTGTCGGTGTGCTCGGCCTCCATTTCAACGCGCAGTCGCGAAATCTCTTGTGCTGCTTCATCCTTGGCCTTCTCCAGTGCGAGCTGGCACTCTTGCACACGTTGTTTGGCGGTCTGTGCCGAAGATCCTTGCAACTCAGCCAGTCTGTTGGAGCTGTCTAATTCGATTCGGAAAGACTCGGCGGCCTGGATTGCTTCTTCCTTGAGCTGGTGGATACTGGCCAGCGACTCCTCATATCGGTGCTCAGTGTCGTCAAGGCGGCTCTTGAGGGAATTCTCACTGCGCCTCAAAGAGTCAATGGTTGTATTTGCTTCTTCATTTTCACGCTGAAGCTCCGAAATCCGTGCACTCTTCTCCTTGCGGAACTTGATGTGGTCGGCAGACTTGGTCTTGAGTTCGGTCTCAAACCATTCATTGTTCTTCTTGGTGAGATCCAATTCCTGTTGAAGACTCTGTTCGCGGAATCGCGCAGTCGCGGTTGCGGCATTGGCACTTTGCAAATTCTGCTCCGCGGTAGAAAGTTCGCGTCGCAGCTCGATTGTTTTCCTGTGTTGAGCAGAGAGTTCCTCGGCCAGCTTATCATGGGCCGCGGATTTGGACTCGAGTAAGGCGAGCGTGTCCCGATTCGAGGCTTCGAGGGACGAGATGCGCGATTTCAGCGAGTTCACCTCGGATTCGCTGGATGTGGACGAAGACTTGAGCGTAGAGATCTCTGATTCCAGGGTAGAGCGAGCGTTTTCTATGCCACGTTAGAGAAAATCCTAATAAGTTTCCAAGCTTGCTTGATTCTGGTGGAGAAGGATTACCTGACTCATGCAACTTCTTTCTTAAATCCTCAACCTCGGCGTGGCCTTTTTCCACCGTGTTTTTCAAGACCTTGATCTTGGATTCATTGCTCCGGACAGCATTCTCGAGCTCGACCTCCAAACGAAGCTTATCCGACTTCAGCTCATCGTACTCGTGCGCTTTCTTTGTGATGGATTCCAGAAGCTGATTGACAAGGTCGACGGTCGGGGCCTGCGTCAAGGTAGAGAGCGTCGATTCTGGAATCGCATAATGCGAAGACAGATAAGGTAGCTCGACTGCAGCGTCAGCCATGGTGATAGATCAACAGCCCGTGGCTGTTTTGGCTGAGAAGGTCGAGGGGGGAAACGTAGATGCGCAAAGCTAGAGCTGAGCTCGGAGTTAAACGCGGTGTGTACTGGGCTTCCAAACGCGTACACACGGCGCTATCGAGGAAAGCCCTAGGACATGGCGATACCGACCAAGGGGAGTAATGTTTGATACTTCACCCAGCCGTCAATGGGTGGAGAAAGGAGGGGGGTGTGGAGGGTCGATGAGGTGAGTTCAAGGGCGAATTCCTTTTCCGCGATTGGGTTGCTTTCACGAAGGCGGCGAACCCGAGCACGTGACCTGCTGCCTTGAATTGGAGTTCCATTGTTCGACTCTTTTGTCTCAATACCCAACTCTGGTCATCTCCCAGCCTCTCTACTTCTGGGACATTTTGGTTTATTTATTGGGCAAAGTCTTGATTCTTCCTATAATCACTCCCGTCTGACAACCGAGCTCGACCTAGTTCCGCCCGAGGCAGCCTCGGGTCCTCGTCCAGCTCCCTTCCATCCATCTCGAGTCGCAACGTCTCCCCGATCCGTCGCAGCCATGTCGTACCTTCAGCAGCAACTCAAAAGCTTCAACACCAGCGTGATGGAGTCGGCGAACCGCATGCCGCAGCAGCGACGTGTAGCCACCAACCAACCGGCCTCCGGCAGCAGTCCGCAGGTTGCATCATCTGCGCCGACTCCGTCGTCCACCGGCGAGGCCAAGAAGAAGCGACACGATGCGGATATCGTCTACTCGCAGCCGGCTAACACTGGCACCGGCAAGGATATCATGACGCAGGTGCTTTTCGCAATCGAGCACATGAAGAACAAGGCGATTCCGCTCAAGTTCGCCGACATCGTGTCGTATCTCTCGCTCCAGCACCGGGCCAACGACCAGGGATACATCCAGGCGCTCCGGAGTATCCTCCGGATGCACGAGAAGGTTATGTACGACCCGAGCGGCGCGAACGGCGAGGGCACATTCAGTTTCCGTCCTCCACACAACATCCGCTCGCCGGAGCAACTGCTGCAGAAACTCCAGTCGCAGTCGACTGCGGCGGGGATGAGTGTTCGTGAGCTTCGCGAGGGCTGGCCCAACGTCGAAGAGAACATCAACCAGCTGGAGAAGGAAGGCAAGCTACTTGTGACGCGGAACAAGAAGGACGACCATGCCAAGATGGTGTGGGCCAACGATCCGTCGCTGATCGAGCACTTTGACGGCGAGTTCAAGCATATTTGGGACAAGATCAAGATTCCGGACTCCCAGACTGTCAAGGAAGAGCTGGAAAGGGCCGGCATCACCCCGACCAACAAGAACAAGGTGGTCAAGCCGCGGCCCAAGATGGAGAATAAAAAGGTCAAGAAGCCGCGGCGCAGCGGCAAGACCACCAACACCCATATGATGGGTATCCTCAGAGATTACTCCCACCTCAAGCGGTAGGGAGGGACCTCGGAGGACAGACTGACTTTCGGCTTTGCATTACATTGGTGTTTGGACAAAGACTGCATATGGGTTGCTTCTATCTGCTTTTCTGATTTTTCGCTGGCTGAAAATTCGGTTGCCATTGTGTACATTTGTTGACCTTAAATAGATACCCAGATAAACCATTCAATTTGATATACCTAAAACATAACTATGATTGACCAAGTATCTTGGGCGGAAGAAGAACAGGCAGACCAACTAGAGATAAAGACAAAAGCTACATTCCGAAGTCTATGAAGCTCGATTCGTCTATAAAAGGCATATACCCAAGAGAAGGTGATCTATAAGTTACATCGGCAGACAGTTGAGCCAAATATACAAGCCAGCAACCAAAGCCAGAATCAAAAGCCCTCCCAATTGTCAGCCGCACAAGAGGAGCAGTTACTCAATGCTTCCCATTAGGAACCTCGGCAGGATTTTCTTCCAAAAACAACACCAAATCCTCAATAGTACAGACCTTAATGCCCCAACGCCTCCCAAAACGCAAGCAAGCGTCCCGACGCATCATACCATTCTCGCCCCGGATCTCCGGCACGCCATCCTCGAGCTCGCCATCCTCAACGAGCTCGGCAATCACCCCGGCAGGCGTCTTCCCAGCCAGACGACAGAAATCCACCGCGGCCTCGGTGTGGCCCTTGCGCTCGCGCACGCCGCCGGGCCGCGCCTGCAGCGGGATGATGTGGCCGGGGCGGCGGAAGGAGTCCGGGTGCGCGGCGGGGGAGGCAAGCGTGCGGCAGGTGAGGGCGCGGTCTTGAGCTGAGATACCTGTTGTTATGGAGGCGTCGCTCGAGTCGATTGTGATTGTGTAGGCGGTGCCTTTGGGGTCGGTGTTGTTGGTTACCATTTGCGGGAGGGCGAGGCGGGTGGCAAGGTCGGGGGTTATGGGGGCGCATATTAGGCCGCTGTTGCGGATTAGTCTGTGCTTGCATCTTGGAAGTCCTCGGTATCACCAAGAGGGAAAAAGATTCTAAGTGTATGTGTAGGTCTCACTCCCGTTGGTGGCGAGAGAGGCGGTTCTCACCTTGTATAGCGCACCAGGAATGCCATCTGCGCGGCGGTGATCGACTCGGCGGCAATGATGAGGTCACCTTCATTCTCGCGATCCTGTGAATCAAGAACAATAATGAATTCGCCATTCTCTGTGTTGAATCACCGTTAGTTGTCTGACCAGTCCCCGCTGACAAACCCCGTGAATGCGCGGAAGTAGAGGAAACAGTGTAATCCGCTCTTTCAGCAGGGTTAAACACTCACTGAATGCTGCAATTGTCTCCTCGATCGAATCGAATTGGTGCGCCGGGTCTGTGGGCGAGGGCATCTTGGGCGATTGAGGGGTGGATGGCGCAATGGATTTTTGCCCCTCACTGCGGAATTCGGAGATCGGAGGAACAGAGTCAATGGCAATGGACGTGGGAAAGGGGGTGAGGAGTTAGATTAGGAAGGGAAATAGAAAGAAATTAGAAAGGGAAGTTTCTGACTGAGAAAAAAGTGACATCTGACTAGGGAATTGGCTGACACGAGCATTAGAAATGCTCGCTACGCTCCGCAATAATCTCGAGAAAATAGGAAGTGGACCTTGTTACTTGACCCACCCTACGGTAGAATGATCACCTAGCCGTCCCCTCGAGTCGGACATTTTCAGTTGTTGGTCCTCTACCCCATACGAAAATTCTCACTGATACAAAAATTTTTCTCTTTATTTATTAATTATTCAACAATTTCACTAACTAAATCTAAAAAATAGCGGAGGGTCTTTAGTAGTTAATTCGCCTTCTTCTAATACTAATATCTTTCTATTCTAATCTTATTATAGGATATATGTAAAGGGTCTACCAAGATGGCAAGGCATGAGGTTATTCCTAACTGACAGAAGGGGTGGATCAGGTAATATCATATGATCCTGAAAGAAGTCGGAACTTGTTACTTGATCTACTCTATAGTGGAATAATCACGATATATAACAGAGACTTAGTCGTTTATATTATCGATAATATATAGGAGTTACGAAGATATTATATAATAAATTAATACTCCTATATCTAGCTAATAAGATAAGATTTAGTCTTAATAGTAATAAAGATATACTATTTTCCCTTATTTCTTCTTTTTATTTCTTTACCTAATCGATAGGCCTTATATCTTAATAAGTATATTTTTTATAATTCTAAATCTTCTTCTTTAATTACCTAAAGAAATAGGATAACCCTATAGACCTAATCTATTATAATATATTAGAGTAATACTCCTAAAGAGATATCGTAAATCCCTCTATCCGAAACTAACTAGACCTAACTAGATAAAGACCTATAGACTATCTAAGAAATAATCGAAAAACTTTAATATCTATAAAAATTATAATAAATAGCTTAATAAATAAGAAATTAGATTGAATAAAGGAATATTATTAAACCCTTAATAAATTAATAATAAAACTAGGGTTTATCTCCTATAGAAGATAAAGATAAGATCAGGATTCGAAATATTCTAATATTCTTAATTTATTCCTTTTTTTAGTAGAGAGAAAAGTAGCTTTTAGATCTCTCTCTTATTTTTAAAGAAACGCTATAAAAATATCGTAATAAAGAATAATAAATTATTATAGCTCTATTATATATAGAATCTATTTACTAATAAAGATAGTATTAATATATTATTAAGAAACCTAAAGAAGAATAGCGAAATATTAATATTTTATAGGCTTATTTTAAAAATTAGACTCTCTCTTTTATTAAAGATATTATAACTCTTAAAATTAATATTATAGGATAACTATAAAAAGCCTATTAACGCCTAAAATAGGATCTATAAGAGTTTTATACTTTTTTAGATTTATTAGAGCGATACTTCCTTTATTAAAATAAAAAAGAGAGAGTATTTATAATATTCTCGAAATTTATCTATAACCTTAAATAATATATATAAGAATATATATATAAGCTACCTAAAAACTAAGATAGGATAGTATCTTTAGCTATTTATTATTAGGGGTTATAATAATTAATATAAAAACGAAAAGGCCCCGAAACCCTTAAAGGATTTATAAATAAGTAATTTTAGATAAATTAATATTAACTAGACTGTAAACCTTAGGGATCTAAAGAAAGGACCTAGAAAAAAGAAAAAACCTAACTAAAAGGGACAAAAAAACCCTTTAATATTATATTTATTAAAATAAAACCTATCTCGCTAATTATTATCTTAATAAATTAAGTAAGAAAGCTAGTATATAAATAGTTATTTAGATTAAATCGGAAAATAATAATAAGTTAGTCTAAATCCTATATAGCTAACTCTATTACCCTAAATAGAAACTATAATTCGCTTTTATATTCTAGTATTACTACGGAACGAAATCGAAATATATATAGATATAGATATCTATATTAAGATTAATATTATTAATATTAAGTTTATAGAAAAGTATAAACTATAGAGAGTAAAGCTATTATTAATATTATTTAAAATAGTAAATAATTAAGGAACCTTTTTATATAGTATATAAAAGATACTTATTATATTTACTGATTCTTAGGGAACTACTAAATTAATAGTTCGTCTTTATCTTATAATTAATAGAGATTTTTATAAATAAAGAAATCTAATCTTACTTTTAATAATAATATTTATTAAATATTATATCTATATTTCGCTATAGAACTAAAATTAGTAGTTTAAAGCTACTAAAATTAAATTAGTACTAATTTAGGAACTTACGAAAGAATATTAAGAATATATTATTATCTATATTATTATAAAACTCCTAAAAAAAGTTAAATTATCTTATAAAGAAAATAAAAAACTAATTATCTATCTTTCGGAAATACCACTAGAACTATACTAATTTATTAATATCTTCTTAATAGAGCGATTATAAATCCTTCTATCTAATAGCTTATAGGATTATATTATTAAACTAGAAAATAACTACTCTTTATCTTATAGACTAATATATCTTTTATTATAAAGTGAATTATAAATATTATAAACCTATATTAATAAAAATCTTATAAATAGAAGGATTAGACCCTTAAAAAGTCCTACTAGAGTATTAATCCTTTTTATCCTAAAAAGAGATAGAGAGTTATATCTATATATAGACTATCAGGGATTTAATAAGATTATAGTAAAGAATTAATATTTTTTATCTTTTATTTTAGAGATTTTAGATTAACTTTTAGGAGTAAAATACTTTAGCAAAATTAATATCTAGAATATTTATTACTATATTTATATTTAAGAAAGTAAAGAATAGAAGACTATATTTTATATATATTATAGTTACTTTAAGTATATAATTATACTATTTAGCTTAATTAATACTCTTATTATCTTTTAGAATTATATCTATACTATCTTATAGGGATTACTTAATATCTCCTATATCGCGTATTTAGATAATATTCTAATATCTTTATCGGACTATAAATTATATATTTATTATATCTAGTAAATCCTTAAAAGAATAAGAGAAGTAGGACTTTATATAAAACCTTTAAAATATATATTTTACTAAAAAAGAGTAGAATTCCTTAGATTTATTATAAACTAAGATAGTATATTAATAGACTAATAATAGATTAATACTATTATTTTATAGCTAGAACCTAAAAGCTACTACGATATCTAAATCTTTATTAGATTCTATAACTTCTATCGACAATTTATCTATAACTTCTTTTATATTATAGTATCTTTAACTATATTATTTAAAAGGAGTAAAAACGGTAAAAAACCTAGAAATTACTAATTTATAATTTATAAAAAAATAGCGTTTTAATATTTAATTATAGCTTTTTATAATATATCTTTATTACGATACTTTAATCCTTAATACTAAATATATATTAAGATAGATATACTAAATCAAGGAATAACTAGTATTCTTTTTTAACTAGATAACTAAGATTAGTATTATCTAATTATTTTTTAGTCGAAATTATTCTTTAGAGTAGAGTTAAACTATAGTATACTAGACTAAGAACTTTTTGTAATTATATACTTTTTTAAATATTAGAGATAGTACTTAAAAGATAATAGATTTACTATCGAAGTATTATTAGATTACTTAAACCTTTAATCTTTTATAAAATAAACTAAGCTAAATAGAAAATAGGTATATTAGTATATATATCTTATACTATTTAATTTTATAGTTAAATACTAATTAAGAAAAAATAATCCTATAGATAGACTCTTAAGAAAACCTAATTCTATTTAAGGGGATACTCTAGGAAAAGAATTACTTATATTATTATAAAAACAGATTATAACTAAAGAGCTATTATCTAATCTATAGAAAACTAGTATTTAAATAATTATAATTATAGATCTTATCGCTAAGAAATCCTAGTTTAAACCTAATAAAATATCTTTAGAGGAAAACGATCCTTAGTTTAGTATCTATATAATAAAGAGTAAAAGAGAGTCTATTAATATAGAAATAGCTAATTAAGCTATCTAAAAAAAACTTATAAAAAATAAAAGAATACCTTAATATAAAATATAGGGTATTTATAAAAAAAAGTATACCTATTTAGTAGAAGCTAATACTAAATTATAGATAATAATTAAATAGATCTAAGATAAGGACTTAGAGATATAAAGGCTAAAAGCTATATTAAATTAGATATCTAAAGGCTTTAAGAATTAGGGTATTAACCCTAAAGGCCTTCTTTAATTTAAGAATTAACTATTTATCCTAATAGAGAAGAATCTTAGAAAGAAGTTATTAAGTATTTATTATAATAACCTTTTAATAGGCTATTTCGGGAGAAATAGGACTAAAATACTACTAAAAAGAAAGTTTTACTAGATTAGACTTTAGAATAATATAAAAGAATATATCTAGATATATATAATATATTAAAGAATAATAACGCTAAGATATCGCTTATATAGTAAACTAGAATCGCTACCGATACTATTATAGCCCTTTAGCGAACTATTAATAGATTTTATTATAGGGTTATTACTAAATAGAAATAGAACCTAAGAAATTAATATAATACTAGTTATTATTAATAGACTAACGAAATAGTCCTTATTTTTTACTATATTAGTAATAATCGATACTATAGAACTTATAGAATTATTCTATAATAAAGTAGAACTATAATATAGACTACTAGATAGAATTATCTTAGATCGAGGATCGCTCTTTACTAATAAATTTTAGTTAAAGTTATACTATATTAGCTATATTAAACTCTGTCTTTCAATAGTATTTTACCTATAAACTAATAGCTAAATAGAAAGGGTAAACTAGATACTAGAACGCTATCTTCGCTATTTTATCGATAAAGAATAGATTACGTAGCT